GGTCTACAGCTGATTTAACACAGACTTTAATATGAGACTCACAGTGTCGCCAGGATTTCCATCAGGTCCAGCTTGACCCTGATGAACAGAAATATTGTTTAAGCAGATGATTCGGTGGTTTGATTTGGCAGCCTAACAATCCTAGGTAGTAAACTAAAATAGTGTGAATCTCTCTGAACGATCCAGATCCAGTACCTTGGTTCCTTTCTTGCCCAGGCAGACCAGGGTTTCCAACGTAACCAGCAACTCCCTGTAACAGAGTCACACTTACTGTTATTATTGTCTAAATAACTAGAAGTTGATCGTGTTTCTGATAACGTGTCCTTCAGCTCCAGACCTTATCTCCACCGTCTCCACGATCACCCTGTGGTCCAGCCCTGCCAATCTGCCCAGCAACACCCTGAAGACAACACAATACCGCATGTACCAGGTGGACAAGACTCATGTTTCAAGAAGCCTATAGAGCCCCACAGTGGAGGTGTCATAATACCCATAAAACCTAGCGGTCGAACAGGGAAATGGTTCCAATTGTTTTTCCACCATTCATTTTTCCCATAGGGAATTTTAGAAACACTTAAAATAAGGGCTGTGTTTCGTGTAGGCTTACACTGGCGTGACGTTTTGATAACCATGTAAATCTCTCTCGGCCAATCGGCTCTATTTACTCTCAGATTCGAAAATGCTAATTAGCATCAAAGTAGACATCATGCAAGACTACAAATCCCTGCAAGCTCCTGCATGTCATCTCTAGCTGACACCTTTGTAACAGGTATTGTGTAAATGTAAAACTTGCACAAGACAGTTCACATAATTGTCAATTTAAAGACATTTTGTCCATTTATTAATTACTAAATTTAGCTAACATTAGATAGTTAATCCAGAGATTCTTACCTTTGCCTCGATTCGGCAGTCTCGTCCAGATCATCATGGCATTTGTAGTTCTTTATGATAGCCACATTAGCAGTTAATTTGCATTTCATTTTTGGGGGGTAAATACAGGAAAATATATTGATAAAAGTCACCTTGTCCTAGAGAGATTTACACGGTTATCAAAACGTCACGCCAGGGTAAGCCTACACGAAATATAGCCCTTATTTGAAGTGTTTCTAAAATCCCCTATGGTAAAAATGAATGGTGGAAAAATGATTGGAACCATTTCCTGGTTTGACCGCTAGGTTTTAAGGGTATTATGACTCATACTGTGGTACTCTATATGGAACAGGACACTGTACAAAGGTACTAAATTCAAGAATCAGGTGAGGAATCCAAATACCTTTTCACCTGGCTTGGCCGCGTCACCCTTGATACCAAAGTCACTGGCAGGACCAGCTTCTCCCTGTGAGACCACAAAGGTGGAGGAGGACATTTATAACCACATGCATACAGACTATGTAGTACATTTACAATCACACATACAGTGCATTCGGAAAGTATTCAGACCCCTTGACTTTTTCCACATTTTGTTACGTTACAGCCTTATTCTAAAATGGATTACATTGTTTTTTCCCCCGTCTTCAATCTACACACAATACCCCATAATGACAAAGCAAAAACAGGTTTTTTGACATTTTTGCACATTTATAAAAGAGAAAAAACGGAAATATTACATTTACATAAGTATTCAGACTCTTTACTCAGTACTTTGTTGAAGCACCTTTGGCAGTGATTACAGCCTTGTGTCTTCTTGGGTATGACGCTACAAGCTTGGCACACCTGTATTTGGGGAGTTTCTCCCATTCTTCTCTGCAGATCCTCTCAAGCTCTGTCAGGTTGGATGCGGAGCGTCGCTGCACAGCTATCTTCAGGTCTCTCCAGAAATGATCGATTGGGTTCAAGTCCGGGCTCTGGCTGGGCCACTCAAGAACATTCAGAGATTTGTCCCGAAGCCACTCCTGCATTGTCTTGGCTATGTGCTTAGGGTCGTTGGAAGGTAAACCGTCGCCCCAGTCTGAGGTCCTGAGCGCTCTGGAGCAGGTTTTCATCAAGGATCTCTCTGTACTTTGCTCCGTTCATCTTTCCCTCGATCCTGACTAGTCTCCCAGTCCCTGCCGCTGAAAAACATCCCCACAGCATGATGCTGCCACCACCATGCTTCACTGTAGGGATGGTGCCAGGTTTCCTCCAGATGTGACGCTTGGCATTCAGGCCAAAGTGTTCAATCTTGGTTTCATCAGACCAGAGAATGTTGTTTCTCATGGTCTGAGAGTCCTTTAGGTGCCTTTTGAAAAACTCCAAGCGGGTTGTCATTTTTTGGTACCCTTCCCCAGATCTGTGCCTCTACACAATCCTGTCTTGGAGCTCTACGGTCAATTACTTTGATTGTTTTTTGTTCTGACATGCACTGTCAACTGTGGGACCTTATATAGACAGGTGTGTGCCTTTCCAAATCATGTCCAATAAATTGAATGTACCGCAGGTGGACTCGAATCAAGTTGTAGAAACATCTCAAGGATTATCAATGGAAACAGGATGCACCTGAGCTCAATTTGAGTCTCATATCAAAGGTTTTATGTTATAAAGGTATTTCTATTTTACATTTTAAATAAATTAGCAAACATTTCTAAAAACCTGTTTTCACTTTGTCATTATGGGGTATTGTGGGTAGATTGATGAGAAAAATAAATAAATCCATTTTTGAATAAGGCTGTAACGTAACAAAATGTGGAAAATGTCAAGGGGTCTGAATATTACGCTCAAAGTCGCTGCATTATCTCACCGGCATGCCAGCATATCCTTTACATCCAGGGGAGCCAATGGTGCCAGTCTTTCCCTGGAAAACAATGAAGTAGATGGCATCAGTAACTAGACATGTCTAAATATACTGTATTTCTATCAATAAGTTAGCAAATAAACAAGACAGACCTTTTCGCCATCAATGCCATTATACCCAGGAGATCCACTTTGACCCTGAGGAGATCCAATTGAGTAAATTGTTCATTGACAATTGGTTACATAGTGCATGTCCTAATGAACTGATCCTGCCGACTACGCCAAATGCTGCATGTAGATAACATCAATCTAATGGAATCATTAATGAACCAATCATGTTTGAGATTAATTCATATCAGTGGAAAGGGAGTACCTTTAGCCCAGATCCTCCAATATCTCCCTGTGAAACAATGACAAAATATGATGTCAAATACGGACATATAAAAAGCTTAGTAGTGTATACGCGAGTATCAAATTGTTAGAGCATTTTCTAATATGTTACCTTCTCTCCTTTGAGGCCTGGAAGACCCTGTAAATATAAATTAGGTAAATAATGTATGAAATATTCAATCAAAGCACCATGGCACAAAAAAAGATAAACGTTAGAAATATCATAATTCCTCTTACCTTCAGTCCATGCAAACCTATCGGGCCCTCGATGCCAAGGTCTCCCTGTAGGAAAAAAGCCAATATAAATGAAAATGTTAAATCATATTGAGTGTAATTGGAGGGAGGGAGGGAGGGAGCGACTGACTGGTTGGCTGAGTGGCTGAGTGAGTAATGTACCTGATGGCCTGTGCCCTTCCCAGGAAGACTGCCGCATCAGTGACCACCTGGCTGAAGACTTCCACGCGGTCTGAGAAGTGCAGCCCACCATAGGCCCACTGGACCCTCTTGGCCCTGAGGGTGGTGGTCTGGAGCCTCTCCACAAACATCTGGAGGAACACCTTGAGCTCCTCCACCAGACTGCCCCAGGGGAACTCCCTCAGAGCAACACTCTCAGAGGTGTCCATGGCGAAGTACACGTTGATGGGGCAGTCGTCCTTTTGGTCCTGGACAGAGGGTGAGAAAATAATGTGGTAGTAGTTCATGAATATCAACCATTATTCCACCACAATGGCTAAGCTACTTGTGTATCTACAATATTGCTAAATAGTATATATCGATCATATCACAACATTTGATGGCTAATTTGTAATTCAGATCCACAGCCACGGTCTCTATGCTTCCGCCCCGCCATACCATTGATGTTCCTGGACCTCACTAGCAGGTGGTCGTATTCTGAGTCCTGGGCAGAGACCCGGGTAGAGACCCGGGTAGAGACCCGGGCAGAGACCCGGGCAGAGACCCGGGTAGAGACCCGTGTAGAGACCCGTGTAGAGACCCGGGTAGAGACCCGGGTAGAGACCCGGGTAGAGACCCGGGCAGAGACCCGGGCAGAGACCTGGAGGACCCACAGCAACAGGACAACTCTCAGCACTCCTGCCATGATGCCTCTGTGTGTGGAGGTTTACAGGTGGCTGATCTGTATGAGACTGTCTCCACAGAAAAGGAAAAGGTTTAGCGTTATATTACCTACTGTGTGGAACGTAATACACGTGTCACACGCCCTGACTCATGGGGTTGAGTCAGAGTGTGGAGATCTATGTTAGTATTTCTATGTTTTGCATTCTATGTTGTGTGTTTCTATGTTTGGCCGGGTGTGATTCCCAATCAGAGGCAGCTGTCGCTCGTTGTCTCTGATTGGGGATCATACTTAAGTAGCCTGTTGGCAGTCACTAGTTGTGGGATCTTGTTCCGTGTTTAGAGGCTTGTATTGTGTTTAGCCTTAGGACTTCACGTTTCGTTGGTTTGTTGTTTTTGTTCGTGTGTTTATCGGTGAAATAAACATAAGTGTGCCTTTCACGCTGCGCCTTGGTCTGACCCGTCCTTAAACGAACGTGACAGAAGATCCCACCCAAAAATGGACCAATCAGCGTGCCCAGGAGCAGCAGACACCCCTGGACACAGGTAGTGGAGCAGAGATCATGGACACAGCCTGACTGGTGTTTGCGTCCCAAATGGCACCCTATGGGTCCTTGTCAAAAGTAGTGTACTACATAGGGAATAGGGTGGCATTTGGGACGTAACCTGGACTTTATCACAGGGGGTACATATAACAGCAACAGTTGACAGATTCACTCACAATTGGAGAGAAGAGGAACTTGTACTGTACCCGCTTAGGTAGCCAGGTGAGATGAATGAAATGGTCAGATACAGTCGAATGAATAGAAAAGAAAGTTGACTAGAGCTGATTTAATTTCTAAGTTTAATTACACATTTTTAATAATACACAACACGAGAACAAAGCAAATCCAAACTAATTATCGGTAACATACATCGTATTTCATTTATTTTCCCCATCGTAATTGTCATAATGTTTACTATATTCCACCAGTAAGTAGCACAAAGACAACTGTAGTTAAGTATATTTTAAATATAAATAAAGTTGCCATAAAGTTAATAAAGTTGCCATAAAGTTAATAAAGTTGCCATAAAGTTAATAAAGTTGCCATAAAGTTAATAACCTGTAGCAAGCAGAGTGAAATCAAACATCCCAGCCAATATTGCTGGTCACACGCCAGTTCTACACACGCGTTTATCCTGAAAGGATAATCACTAAAGACTATGTGTTAGTGAAACTGAAGGGACATCTACAGGACATAGGATATCTTAGCACTCTGAACTACAATGATTACACAATATTCAAATTCAGTATTCCATTATGAGCCCTAATATTATGGTATCAGCGGACAACAGAGAATGGGAGTATTTAAGCAACTATACACCTATAGGTTAACTACTCTACAACTTCATATGACAACAGACAATTATTATTATACAACAATTACATATTTACAAACTTCAATCACAATCCCTTAACAACTCCTTTGCTTGCGGTGTAGACGACAATATTTGTGTTGAAAGTCAAAGCGGCGTGGTGAGAAGGCAATAATACCCTATTTACAGTGCTCCCTCACACAGAGTGAAGGTCATACAGTGAAATGGATCCTAGGTAGGTTTTGCCGGAAGCGTACAGTCTGGCACTAATGAATACGAGGTGAATGTTCCTGTTGAGATGGTCTTAATAGGAGCGGATGGCTGGAGGGATGGCTGAACACGCCTCCTGGTCCAGAGAGGTGTCAATCACTGGTCGGTACTCCAGAGCCACCTGGGACATGACAGAGAGAGAGAGAGATCAGTCTCCTAGTATGCTCAATGGAAATAAATGCTTTTTAGTCCGGACAGGCTTGATTTTGTTCAGGGAAATTGGCCATTTGCGTTTCCACCAAAGCATTACCACCAGACACACAGACAGGAGTTGTGGTAGTTGTTTTACCTTGCCAGTCTTAGGATCCACAGAGGACATGGTGTGTTTCCTCCAGTGCTGTTCGAAAGGCTTCCTCTCCTGTCCTGCCAGAGGCCTGGCGTAGTCCAGCTCATCCATACGGTCCTGGAACACACAACGTCCCATTTAAGTCCACTGCCTATCAATTAACCAATCAACCAATCAATCAATCAACCAACAAATCAATCAATCAACCAACAAGTCAAGCAATCAACCAATAAATCAAGCAATCAACCAACCAATCAATCAATCAACCAACAAGTCAAGCAATCAACCAACAAATCAAGCAATCAACCAACCAATCAATCAACCAACAAATCAACCAACAAATCAACCAATCAATCAACAAATCAATCAACCAATCAATCAATACCTGTATCGCTCCAATTGGGAGATTTGTAGTGCAGCTTTGAGGCCCTGAGTTGTAGATCCCTTTATTTGAGTGTCTGGTTGGAGAGCTCTCCCCGTCTTATTTAACCTTCTCTCACCTTGTAGTCCTCCCGGGAATGTGCTCCCCTGCTCTCCCTGCGGGCCTCGGCAGAGTGGATCGTCTGCATGGCATTCAGCATCAAGTTCTGCAGCTCCAGAGACTCCACCAGGTCAGTGTTCCACACGATACCTGACAGAACGGGAGGGAAACGTCAGTTAGAACAACCAACACCAATCCTGGGGTCTGACGATCCTGATCCTGTGTTTTAATCTAGGTATGGTAAAACCATAACCGCGCAAATTAGTTTGGGGGTGCTGAGATTTTTTCGCGGACGGGGACGGGGGACGGGGACGGGGGGGTGTTAAATGTTTTGCCTGTGCTACAGACGGCTACATCAGTCCGCTAATACAGGACGAGTAAAGGCCCAGTGCACTACTTTTGTGAACAAATCATTTCCCCCCAAAATATAATTTTCATGGTGTGCTGCAGCACCCTCAGCACCACTACGGCTATGAGTAAAAGTGTCTTAAATCTCACCAACAAACGAATGAATATGATAACACAACATAAAGTCAACAAATGTAAGTGAGATCAACTCTGAATATTAATTTGAGGTAAACTACTGACCTCGGTCAAATGTCTTGATGTCCTCCATGGTCTGGTAGATGGCGTCCATCTTGTCACATCCCTCCTTCAGAACATCTCCGGTACGGAACACTGCTGCATGGTTCTGCATCGTCTGGAGACAGAGACAAAAAGACGAGAGGATTGGTTTTAAAAAGCTCAGACATGACAAATGAAAAATCTATGTGTACCACTGCACTGCCTAGTTAAATACACTATACTGTATACAGATGCCAATTCATTTCAACAGAAAACCTTTTAGCCAACATGTATTCCTCACTCTCTGCATGTTGAGTCTGATCTCGGAGGTTCTGGTGTTCCCGTTAGCGAACCTTATCTTGTCCAGGTTGGCCACAGACTCCTCTCCAGCACTGGGCTTCAGTGGGGAAAGCTTCTCACCTAGAATGTCAAAAACAGAAAGTCAAACTCCAAGCATATTAAAGCATTATTAGCTATTCGTTTTTAACATGACTGATAAAGAACAATAAATCAATAAATCAATAATCTAACCAATCAGTCATAATGTGAAGAGCCTGCTTACCTGGAGTGCAGGTGTCAGCGATGGTGAGGGCACAGGCTCTGCCAAACACCACCAGATCCAGCAGGGAGTTGGCACCCAGCCGGTTGGCACCATGGACACTGGCACAGGCAGCCTCACCACAGGCATACAGCCCTGGTACCACCTTGTCCTCCCCTTCAGTATGAGTTATGACCTGAGGGGGAGATGACCAAGATAGTTACAGGTCGGTCTAGAGTCAAATACTGTCTATCTAGTTCTGGGTAAGATTGATTGATTGATTTACGTGAAGTTTCTTGAAGGACAATAAATGTTGTCAGCTAATCAATCAATCTGTTTTACCCAGCCATAGTGATCACAATCCCTTACGGAGAAAATAAAATCCCCAAACAAACAGTGAGAATTGTAAAGAGTGTTATAATCTACCTGTCCCTTGTAGTTAGTGGGGACTCCTCCCATGTTGTAGTGGACGGTGGGCAGGACGGGGATGGGCTCTTTGGTGACGTCAACCCCAGCGAAGATCATGGCCGTCTCAGAGATACCAGGCAGGCGGGTGGCCAGCTGCTGGGGGGGCAGGTGATGCAGCTGCAGGTACACATGGTCTTTCTCTGGACCACAACCCCTGGAAATGAAAAGAGAGTTCTGTGAGAGAGTGTCTTTCTGTGAGAGAGTGTCTTTTTTAAGTAGAATCATTGATTTTAGTGCCGATTTCAAGATGTGGCCTCAAATTCCAATTCAATTTTCACTTCCATCTCCAAGAATGAATGCTATTAAGGGGGTTAGGGATTGAGTCAACTACTGGTGGATAAAAATATGTAATGAAATCAATATTGAGTATTGTTGATGATCATACCTTCCCTCGCGGATCTCAATGGTCATGGAGCGTGACACCACATCCCGGGAGGCCAGATCTTTGGCGTTGGGAGCGTAGCGTTCCATGAAGCGCTCTCCTTCACTGTTGATGAGGATCCCTCCCTCGCCACGACAACCCTCAGTGATGAGGCAGCCGGCGCCATAGATACCTGACAGGGTTACATCACAGCTATGGTGTCAGGTGTCACCTCAGGTCAAATATACACGGATGACCTTGGCATTTACGTAATGAAAGGTCAGTCAGTTGACCTTAAAACAAATCCTCACTGCTTACAGTAAATATGGATTTCATAAGTGGGGAGTGGCTATGGCTCTCCTTACTGGTTACAGTATGGTTACAGTGTGGTTAGTGGCTGTGGGTTTACAAGTTACAGTGTGGTTACAGTGTGGTTACAGTGTGGTTACAGTGTGGTTACAGTGTGGTTAGTGGCTGTGGGTTTACCAGTTACAGTGTGGTTACAATGTGGTTACAGTGTGGTTACAGTGTGGTTACAGTGTGGTTACAGTGTGGTTACAGTGTGGTTAGTGGCTGTGGGTTTACCAGTTACAGTGTGGTTACAATGTGGTTACAGTGTGGTTACAGTGTGGTTACAGTGTGGTTACAGTATGGTTACAGTGTGGTTACAGTGTGGTTACAGTGTGGTTACAGTGTGGTTACAGTGTGGTTACTGGCTGTGGTTCTTACCGGTGGGGTGGAACTGTACAAACTCCATGTCCTGGCATGGTAGGCCAGCTCTGGTTACCATGGCGTTGCCATCCCCGGTGCTGGTGTGGGCTGAGGTACAGCTGAAGTAGGTACGGCCATAACCCCTACACAGACAAAGAGAGATAGTTAACCCCTACACAGACAAAGAGAGATAGTTAACCCCTACACAGACAAAGAGAGATAGTTAAAACCCTACACAGACAAAGAGAGATAGTTAACCCCTACACAGACAAAGAGAGATAGTTAACCCCTACACAGACAAAGAGAGATGGTTAACCCCTACACAGACAAAGAGAGATAGTTAACCCCTACACAGACAAAGAGAGATCGTTAACCCCTACACAGACAAAGAGAGATAGTTAACCCCTACACAGACAAAGAGAGATAGTTAAAACCCTACACAGACAAAGAGAGATAGTTAACCCCTACACAGACAAAGAGAGATAGTTAACCCCTACACAGACAAAGAGAGATAGTTAACCCCTACACAGACAAAGAGAGATAGTTAACCCCTACACAGACAAAGAGAGATCGTTAACCCCTACACAGACAAAGAGAGATAGTTAACCCCTACACAGACAAAGAGAGATAGTTAACCCCTACACAGACAAAGAGAGATAGTTAATCCCTACACAGACAAAGAGAGATAGTTAACCCCTACACAGACAAAGAGAGATGGTTAACCCCTACACAGACAAAGAGAGATGGTTAACCCCTACACAGACAAAGAGAGATGGTTAACCCCTACACAGACAAAGAGAGATAGTTAACCCCTACACAGACAAAGAGAGATATTGGATATAAGGACACATATGAGAACACAAGATGATATGCAGCATGGTGGTTGCTATTGGTGTAGACATTTTGAGATGCATAACCCTACTGACTCAAAACCGATTGTCAGGACATTACAGGGCTTAATTATGAGGGATATGATACATATTAAAGGCTCTGGGACAATAACAAGCATACCCAGTAGCAATGACAGTGTTCTTGGATCTGAAGCGGTGGATGGATCCGTCCTCCATGCAGAGAGCGATCACTCCTCTGCACTCTCCATCCTCCATCAGCAGGTCCAGGGCAAAGTACTCCACAAAGTAGCTGGTATCGTACCTTAAGGACTGGAGAGGAGAGGAAGTACAAATGGGACATTTAAAATCAAAGATACATGGTTGTATAAACAACAGTCAATGTGTCCAAGGTCTCAGACTGAAGCCAGACTCGTGAACGCCAACTAAACCACTGCCTCAGCTCTTTTTCCAGCTTTTGTTGTTGAACCACCACACATTGGCCTTGAAATGTTTTTGTACCATTCACCTTAGGGACCACAATGGAAATAAGTTGATTTACTTTTTGTGTTTATCCCTGTCAAGTTTTTTTAAAATCTATGTACTTGTGTTTTTTAACTGCCAAATAAAATCGGTCAATGAATCAATCAAACTAGAGAACATATTTGATCAAGCGAGTCTCGTAACTGTCTCATGATAACATTAGACATACCCGTCCATAGAGTGTGTGAAGTAGGGAGTGTCCAGTCCTGTCAGCTACGCAGCAGCATCGGTGTGCTTGGCCTCCCTTTCCAAACTGCAGGCTCTGACCCCCGAAGGCCCTCTGATAGATCTTCCCATCCTCTGTCCGACTGAAGGGCATACCAAAGTTCTCCAGCTAGCGGGGGTGACAAAAAACAATGTGATACAACCATATTACAGCACTTTCTTTTATGTCTTTGGGGAAGAACAGACTAAAACACCAGGATCTGTGTCTGAAATTGCACCCTATTCCCTATATAGTGTACTAAATCTATCACCTCCACCACAGCAGCTGGGGCCTGCTCCGTCATGTAGTGGATAGCGTCCTGGTCCCCTAGCCAATCAGATCCCTTCACTGTGTCGTAGAAGTGCCACCTCCAATCATCTCCCTCCATGTTACCCAGGGCTGCATTGATCCCACCCTGGATTAGACAAGATCAAGATCAACACTAATGAATTCAACATTCATTCATTCATTCATTATTTAGGATAGGACACCAATGTAGAACGGTAAATGAATAAAGTGCATTTCTATTCATTCATCATAATAGTACTGTAATGATCATGTCATTTCACACGCACTTGAACTACAGGTGATTGTTGAGAAGCTACCCAACTACTCCCAAGCCAAACCCCAATTCCCTCCAACTAGTAAAATATGAAAAATATGAAATAAGGTACGAATCCTTGATGCATTGATGTCAACGGGAGACTGAAGTTAGGATTGACCCCTAAATATGCGTAGGCATACCTGTGCTGCCACAGTGTGAGACCTGGTAGGGAACAGCTTGGTGATACAAGCTGTGTTGAAGCCAGCCTCAGACAGACCAAAAGCAGCTCTCAGACCTGCTCCCCCAGCCCCTACCACCACCGCATCAAACTCATGATCCACTACCGGGTACTGGGTTGAGATCTGAGGATCAGAATAATATTGACTCAGATACACACAGACAGACAGACAGTGACCTCCTGTGAATATTGATAACTAAAAAAAACATGGCTGATATGACATTGTAACAAACAAAATTGCGAGAAAATCATACAAATTAAAAGGGAATCTAAAAATATTAAAATAAACTATGCATATTGTATGTATATATGCAAATACAATATGTGTATATACAATGGCTTCATAACAAGAATGTCTCTTGAATACATTTATTGGAAGAAAAAAACAGTCGGTGTTATCCTTGTGTAACTCACATCATCTGACACTTTGGCGTAGTCCTTCTTCCCATAGATGGAGAAGTGAAAGCTCCTAGAGCTACATTGGGCTGCTGCAGGGAGCTATTAATATGGGGATTACATGATAAATCAATCATTCATCAATAGGTACTGATCATAGACATATAATTAACAGTCAAATACATAGAAAACAAAACCCACAAAACCCCAATGACATATTAAATAAAATCAAGGTGGAAAAACACTCAAAACCTCAAAAGAATATCCGTATCATTATGAATAGGACATTTTGCAAATACAGTATATATTTTTTAAAACATTTTTACAGACAGGGTCTGGTCTGGCCTGGATGACAGTTATGAAAGGCTGTGTCTGCTACTGGTTACGAAAGCTGTTGGAGAGGCATTCCCTCCCCCTTGCAGTTACAAAACTGACTTTTCACAGACTACACAAATGCATTATTCAAAAATAATTATTAAACTCACGGCTTTAGATGATAAAACCCTCTTGGTCAGGACTCTGGATATACTTGCCATCCTTGTTATTCACAGGTTTAATGCTAGCAGCTACAAAGAAACTGTGCAGAATTGAACAGAGATATATTGATTGGGAGTAAATTAATACGTTCGTAGGGCCCCGCCCACTGGAAGAAACCATCTCAAACGTCTGGAAAGCAAGGGGGAGGCGTATGCCTTTTGACAGCGCTTAAAGTTCTAAATCCATTTCTGCACACATTAGATAAAATAATTTAATTAAGACTGACAAAATATTAAGTTTTAAATGAACAATTGCTCTTTGCACATATATTGTAATGACATAGATACTATATCTCAACTGCAACACCCTGGTACAACACAGGTGGTCTCTTTGTAGTTGTCTTTCATAAAGACGTTGTATAATCGCTTTCCCCCCCCCCATAGGTACAGGGACAAATGTGTTGCTAATTGACCTTGCCACATTTTGTCAAGGTGAGCGTCTGCTCAAACATTTAATATACTGCATTTCTTTGCAATGTGTTATTTGGGCGTGAAATAGCCGTGCACTAATGCAATGACTCAGTTAGCTTTTGCTAATTTTAGCCTGCAAGCTAACCACCATGTAAAGCTGTGTTGTACTAGCTATGGCAAGATAGCTAGCAAGTGTGCTAGCAAACCGCTCTTGTTTTGTTGGTGTTAGTTAGCTATTCATGTTCAGGCTAAGCAATGGACATTGTAAAAGTGTTACAATGACAACAAAGAGAGACGACTGGCATTAGCCACATTGCAGTGCCAGTCGTCATGTGGGATGCATGCCAATGTTGACATCAGGGAGTTGTCATTTGAGATCAATAAATAAGACCAACCATTTCCCCCGTTAATATCTATTAGTTGAATTGACAAGCTATTTATTTAAATCTAATTATTACTATTCTTCATTTTAGGTCAAGGTAATGCCTCCTGGTCAGGTTGGTTGTATGTAGCAGGAGCTAGTCAGCTAGCTAGATAAAACAACGTCTGTGTTGGTGACTTTTATATGTGTATAAACATTAGACTCTCCTCTGGAATAGGACACCTCCATGAACAACTTGAATGACCCCCCTAGATGGAACATGGGGCCAGACCCACGAGGAGGTGCTGCCGACGGGAACCAATGGAATTATGCCCCCCTGGTGCCAATGCTGGCGCTGGCTGCCTTTCGTAAGTAGCCTGCACAGTACAGTGTTACACAAGGACAGAGTATTCACTATACATCATATGTGGCGTATAGAACTGAAGACGAAAGCTATAGACCTATCTTGCACTTACTTTGACAGACACTGACTAGCCTTATTCTCTTTTGTGGTGACTTCACTGCATTGCCCTACACCAAAATAGGTCGTCATTACAACATTATAACAGTATTATTACAGTCACTATATATATAATATTGTAGCAAAGTGATGGGGTAGTTCCGACCGGGGCTTGAACATGGGACTGTTGACCCAACACCTTCTCTGAGGAGGGGAGGTTGGTGGGTTATTATATGAGAAGGGATCAACAGCCACAAGGTCCTGGGTTTAAGCCCTAGTCAGGACTACCCCCTATAATAACCAAACAACCTCCCATCCTCAGGCTGGATCTGGACCAGAGAGTCTCAGAGAGAGATCATAAAGGTCAAGGCCCAGTACGACCAGGACATGTCTGCCGTGACCTCCAACCTTGAGATGAAGTACAGAGACACCCTGACGGAGAACCGGCGGGCGGCGGCCATCTTAGAGCTGGAGCTGGAGGAGGAGAGGCAGACGGTTCAGGGGTACCGCCGGGCCCTCATCTCACAGAGCCAGCGGGTCATGGAGGAACGCAAGCAGCTCCAGGTGGAACGAGAGGTGGGGGGGACTTGACTTAAAGATGCACTCCGGGATCTTAAGCACAACAAATTCGTAACATATTGCACAAATTGGATTCGTAACATATCACACATATTTCTAAATTTGTATGATGTCGCACAAATTGCAAAATTCGTAGCATATCACACGAAATGGATGACGTAGTACACAGAAAACGGGGACCACTTTTGGCTCGTCACCAACACTTTCAAAACTACTGGCTTAAAGTATCCAACAGTTAGAGAATGAATCTTTAACTTAGTTTTAGCTCCTAGTGGAGCCTTGTAAGGGCCTCGAAGGTGTGAGAGGAATGTTGCTTTTAAGATGGAGTTGTTATAAGCTACGGTTATTTTTTGATGTTTAAATACAAACAGATGGGGACAGTGAAAAAGAGACAGGAAAGGTATGAGACGTGTGCCAGAAAGAAGATTAAAATCCAAGCAGACACTGCTATACCAATACGTGTGTGCTGAAAGGCTGTGGAACTAATCGCTTGAGCACCCCAAGCCACAGTTGAGGTTTGTATTATCTTGTGTTGTATAAACATGTCATTTTCAATCCCCAGGCTCTGGAGCAGGAGAAGACAAAGCTTTTAGAATCCGGCGCTGCTGGTGCCATCCTCCAACGCGCTCTGGACAGAGAGAGCGACTGGCACCAGAGGGCCTCAGCCATGCTGAAGGATCTGGAGGAGGGCCTTGTAGAGAGACAGGGGGCCTACTGCAACCTGCTCCTCCCCAGGGAACATAGGCTGGAGATGGAGAAGAACCTGCTCCTCAAAGTGGTGAAGGAACCGCTGGGGACTGATACAGATCTGGAGGGAGACCTGAAGGACATCTTTAAGAACGACCGCTACTGTGCCAAAGGCAACAATCGCCTCCTCAACGTGAAGAAAATGGACAAGAGGAAGAATGGTAGCTTGATGTGGCTCTACCTCAGATACTGGCAGCTGCAGGTTACCATGGAGACGCATAAACGGGCAGAGGACTCAATACTGGGAAACAACCATCTGAAGTGACCTTGATAGGGTTGACATTAAGGATATAGTATCAGTCTTCTTGACTGCACAAATGTTTTATTTTTCACTAAAGGTGAATTAGTGTGTATATTTCATTTCCTCTACATCATATTATGACTCCTGACGAATGTAAACACTTACTTAGTTACTATTGAAACACAGTAAATGCCAATGGAATTGTCATTGAATGTCAGGGATATTTTCATGACTACAGTTTTGTCTATGCACTCCAAACCCAATGTTGGATGATATGAATGATACAGTATCATGAATTATAGAGGAATATTTCCTTTTGTAAAATCCTGTTATTTCCACTCTGGACATCACAGCTGTTTGGTCAGTCATGTAAAAAAAGAGTGATATACTTTATTTTGATATCACAGAAGATACAATGTTATAACAGAGACTGTGGTTGTGTCATACAATCATTCAATATACTGACATCTCTGACTGGCTACTTTGTGTGGTTTATTTACATTTGAATAATGGTTGAGTAAAGCCCAGGAGCACTTGACAATCATTGCTGACCATAGCATCATCAGGCTCTATAAACTTTGAACAAATGTAAACTGAATCTGAGAAATAGTCAAGCGAACTGTAATCTCTCAGATCAACAAGACCTTAGCAGACATTTACATTTTATTCATTTAGCAGATACTCTTGTCCAGAGGTGCAGTTCTGTTGGAAAAAGACAAACACAGTTATTGCAAGTAAACCCTTCTTGGAAACAGCCGCTATCAGCAGAAAAAGCCATGAAGAGGAAAAACAAGTGCAAAAGATTCAGGTGACCGTTGAGGCACGGCAACCGCCTATCAGCTTTAGCTCATCTACGACCAGGGGCGATCCAGCCCAGCCCAGGGAAGGGTGACATTTCCTGGCTGAGGCAGTAGCCCTGGGTGCTCTCTACCCAGGGCTCCTGGAGGGAATAGTGGATGAACAGCTGAGCTCTGGAAGTCTGGGTAGGATGAGAAGTCATCCTTTCTAAGACACCCCTTAAAGTCCCGCTCCAGTTATTTTTGAACTCTTCCCGTTGAAAAACAATATCCCGGGCATAAATGTAGTAATGTACACGTACTTAAGCGCCAAAAAAAGCATTATTTGGAGCTAAATAATGCTTTTTAGACTCAACTAAGACGACTTCCTCTACGCCGCCAATCACTTCAGCTACGGAAATCTTGTCTTAAAGGGGCAATCCTAAAAACAAGAAAGCAGTCACCCTGCTATTTGCCCCTTTAAAGGGGAGGTGCCTGCATGAGGCGCACTGGGCTTTGCGTTGAAGATACGGAAGCCCTCTTTGGTGGCAAAGTCCCAGGCCAGGTCAGCCACCTGCTCAGCTATCTTCCCAGAGCCGGTTTGTCCTGCAAAAGAGGGATAGTTAAGCCTACAACTACATATTGTTCATATAACGGATGTAAGGTTTTATCCAAAAGCGAATTACAGTCATGCATACATTTATTTTATTTTATTTTTTTAAACATATGGCTGGTCCCGGGAATCGAACCCACTATCCTGGCGTTGCAAGAGCGATGCTCTTCCAACAGCTACAGAGGACCAAGTAATAGCTGACAAGCTTTAAAAGATCCACACGATGTACCTTTCCGAAGCATTATTAATTATCGTTGAAGATATTGCATGAGACACACTCCTACACTCTGGTCTACGTTCTGGTACCTGCGATGGTGTTCTTGCTCTCCCCCTGGTGGCTGGCTGCCAGGCAGAAGAGATGGAAGGCCATGTAGAACTGCCAGTCCGGGACTCCCTCCTCCAGACCCATAGAGCTGCTGTATTGCCCTATCACCTCCTCCACACTGGGGATACCCAGCTGTTCTAGGCCCTTGTCAGATATACCTGTAGGAAACACAATGAAACCACCACTGTGTTGATAATATTGAATCATACCTATACTGAACAAAAATATAAACGCAACATGTAACAATTTCAAATATTTTACTGAGTTACAGTTCATATAAGGAAATCAGTCAATTGAAATACATTAATTAGCCCAACTGGGAATACAGATATTCATCTGTTGGTCACAGATACCTTTAAAAAGAAAGGTAGCGGCGTGGATCAGAGAACCAGTCAGTATCTGGTGTGACCACCATTTGCCTCATGCAGCGCGACACATCTCAAATCAAATCAAATTTTATTGGCCACATGCGCCGAATACAACAGGTGCAGAAATTACAGTGAAATGCTTACTTACAGCCCTTAACCAACAGTGCATTTATTTTTAATAAAAAAGTAAAATAAAACAACAACAAAAGAGTGTTGAGAAAAAAAAAGAGCAGAAGTAAAATAAAATAACAGTAGGGGTACCGGTGCAGAGTCAATGTGCGGTGGCACGGGCTAGTTGAGGTAGTTGAAGTAATATGTACATGTGGGTAGAGTTAAAGTGACTATGCATAAATAATTAACAGAGTAGCAGCAGCGTAAAAAGATGGGGTGGGGGGGCAGTGCAAATAGTCCGGGTAGCCATGATTAGCTGTTCAGGTGTCTTATGGCTTGGGGGTAGAAGCTGTTGAGAAGTCTTTTGGACCTAGACTTGGCACTCCGGTACCGCTTGCCGTGCGGTAGCAGAGAGAACAGTCTATGACTAGGGTGGCTGGAGTCTTTGACAATTTTGAGGGCCTTCCTCTGACACCGCCTGGTATAGAGGTCCTGGATGGCAGGAAGCTTGGCCCCAGTGATGTACTGGGCCGTACACACTACCCTCTGTAGTGCCTTGTGGTCGGAGGCCAAGCAGTTGCCATACCAGGCGGTGATGCAACCAGTCAGGATGCTCTCGATGGTGCAGCTGTAGAATTTTTTGAGGATCTGAGGACCCATGCCGAATCTTTTCAGTCTCCTGATGGGGAATAGGCTTTGTCGTACCCTCTTCACGACTGTCTTGGTGTATTTGGACCATGATAGTTCATTGGTGATGTGGACACCAAGGAACTTGAAGCTCTCAACCTGTTCCACTACAGCCCCGTCGATGAGAATGGGGGCGTGCTCAGTCCTCTTTTTTTTCCTGTAGTCCACAATCATCTCCTTTGTCTTGGTCACGTTGAGGGAGAGGTTGTTATCCTGGCACCACACGGCCAGGTCTCTGACCTCCTCCCTATATGCTGTCTCATCGTTGTCGGTGATCAGGCCTACCACTGTTGTGTCGTCGGCAAACTTAATGATGGTGTTGGAGTCGTGCCTGGCCATGCAGTCATGGGTGAACAGGGAGTACAGAAGGGGACTGAGCACGCACCCCTGAGGGGCCCCCGTGTTGAGGATCAGTGTGGCAGATGTGTTGTTACCTACCCTTACCACCTGGGGGCGGCCCGTCAGGAAGTCCAGGATCCAGTTGCAGAGGGAGGTGTTTAGTCCCAGGATCCTTAGCTTAGTGATGAGCTTTGAGGGCACTATGGTGTTGAATGCTGAGCTGTAGTCAATGAATAGCATTCTCACGTAGGTGTTCCTCTTGTCCAGGTGGGAAAGGGCAGTGTGGAGTGCAATAGAGATTGCATCATCTGTGGATCTGTTGGGGCGGTATGCAAATTGGAGTGGGTCTAGGGTTTCTGGGATAATGGTGTTGATGTGAGCCATGACCAGCCTTTCAAAGCACTTCATGGCTACAGACGTCAGTGCTACGGGTCGGTAGTCATTTAGGCAGGTTATCTTAGAGTCCTTGGGCACGGGGACTATGGTGGTCTGCTTGAAACATGTTGGTATTACAGACTCAGTCAGGGACATGTTGAAAATGTCAGTGAAGACACTTGCTAGCTGGTCAGCACATGCTCGGAGTACACGTCCTGGTAATCCGTCTGGCCCTGCGGCCTTGTGAATGTTGACCTGCTTAAAAGTCTTACTCACATCGGCTACGGAGAGCGTGATCACATAGTCATCTGGAACAGCTGGTGCTCTCATGCATGCTTCAGTGTTGCTTGCCTCGAAGCGAGCATAGAAGTGGTTTAGCTCGTCTGGTAGGCTTGTGTCACTGGGAAGCTCGCGGCTGTACTTCCCTTTGTAGTCTGTAATAGTTTTCAAGCCCTGCCACATCCGACGAGCGTCAGAGCCGGTGTAGTACGATTCAATCTTAGTCCTGTATTGACTTTTTGCCTGTTTGATGGTTCGTCGGAGGGCATAGCAGGATTTCTTATAAGCGTCCGGGTTAGAGTCCCGTTCCTTGAAAGCGGCAGCTCTACCCTTTAGCTCAGTGCGGATGTTTCCTGTAATCCATGGCTTCTGGTTGGGGTATGTACGTATGGTCACTGTGGGGACGACATCATCGATGCACTTATTGATGAAGCCAGTGATGATGTGGTGTACTCCTCAATGCTATCTGAAGAATCCCGGAACATGTTCCAGTCTGTGCTAGAAAAACAGTCCTGTAGCTTAGCATCTGCGTCATCTGACCACTTTTTTATTAACCGAGTCACTGGTGCTTCCTGCTTTAGTTTTTGCTTATAAGCAGGAATCAGGAGGATAGAGTTATGGTCAGATTTGCCAAATGGAGGGCGAGGGAGAGCTTTGTATGCGTCTCTGTGTGTGGAGTAAAGGTGGTCTAGAGTTTTTTTCCCTCTGGTTGCACATTTAACATGCTGGTAGAAATTAGGTAGAACAGATTTAAGTTTCCCTGCATCAAAGTCCCTGGCCACTAGGAGCGCTGCCTCTGGATGAGCGTTTTCCTGTTGACTTATGGCCTTATACAGCTCATTCAGTGCAATCTTAATGTCAGCATTGGTTTGTGGTGGTAAATAGACGGCTATGAAAAATATAGATGAAAACTCTCTTGGTAAATAGTGTGGTCTACAGCTTATCATAAGATACTCTACCTCAGGCGAGCAAAACCTCGAGACTTCCTTAGTTTTTGATTTTGTGCACCAGCTGTTGTTTACAAATATACACAGACCGCCACCCCTTGTCTTACCGGAGTCAGCCGTTCTATCCTGCCGATGTAGCGTATAGCCCGCTAGCTGTATGTTATCCATGTCGTCGTTCAGCCACGACTCAGTGAAACAAAAGATATTACAGTTTTTAATGTCCCGTTGGTAGGATAACCGAAATCTGAGGTCATCCAATTTATTTTTCAATGATTGAAGATTGGCTAATAGGATTGATGGGAGCGGCAGTTTACTTGCTCGCCGTCGGATCCTTACAAGGCACCCCGACCTACGTCCACGATATCTCCGTCTCTTCCTCATGCGAATGACAGGGATTTGGGCCTTGTCGGGTGTCTGTAGGATATCCTTCGCGGCCGCCTCGTTGAAGAAAAATTATTCGTCCAATACGAGGTGAGTAATCGCTGTCCTGATATCCAGAAGCTCTTTGTGGTTATAAGAGACGATGACAGAAACATTATGTACAAAATAAATTACAAATAACGCGGAAAAACACACATAATAGTACAATTGGTTAGAGGGCTGTAAAACGGCAACCATCTTCTCCGGCGCCATTCTAGTATCTTCGCATAGAGTTGATCAGGCTGTTGATTGTGGCCTGTGGAATGTTGTCCCACTTCTCTTCAATGGCTGTGCGAAGTTGCTGGATATTGGCGGGAACTGGAACACGCTGTCGTACATGTTGATCCAGAGCATCCCAAACATGCTCAATGGGTGACATGTCTGGTGAGTATGCAGGCCATGGAAGAACTGGGACATTTTCAGCTTCCAGGAATTTTGAAAAGATCCTTGCGACATGGGGCCGTGCATTATCATGCTGAAACATGAGGTGATTGCGGCGGATGAATGGCACAACAATGGGCCTCAGGATCTCATCCCGGTATCTGTGCATTCAAATTGCCATCGATAAAATGCAATTGTGTTAGTTGTCCGTAGCTTATGCCTGCCTGCCTGCCCATACCATAACCCCACCTCCACCATGGGGCATTCTGTTCACAACGTTGACATAAGCAAACCGCTCGCCCACATGACGCCATACACGTGGTCTGTAGTTGTGAGGCCGGTTGGACGTACTGCCAAATTCTCTAAAACGACGGCTTATGGTAGAGAAATTAACATTCAATTCTCTGGCAACAGCTCTGGTGGACATTCCTGCAGTCAGCATGCCAATTGCACTCTCCCTCAAAACTTGAGACATCTGTGGCATTGTGTTTTGTGACAAAATTCTAATTTTAGAGTGGCTTTTATTGTCTCCAGCACAAGGTGCACCTGTGTAATGATCATGCTGTTTAATCAGCTTATTGATATGCCACACCTGTCAGGTGTATGGATTATCTTGGCATAGGAGAAATGATCACTAACAGTGATGTCAACTAATTTGGCCACAACATTTGTGAGAAATAAGCTTTTAGTGCATATGGCAAATCTCTGGGATCTTTTATTTAAGCTCATTAAACATGGGACCAACACATGTTGCGTTTATATTTTCTTTCAGTGTAAATGCATACTACTTCTTGGCTATGCGCCCTATATAGTGCACTACGTTCAACCAGGGCCCATAGGAATAGGGTGCCATTTGAGTGTTCTATCTGTGGACGTGGTCAAAAGGAAGGCTGGTAGGGTGTAGTAGTACGGTTAGGTAGTATAATGGTACCTGTCAGTAGTGGGTTGTCCTGGGGCAGGCAGCGAGCCATGCAGCTGAAAGTCAGGTCTGATAGGGGGTCACCCAGGTTTGAGCGGCCCCAATCCAGCACTGCCACCACCTCCGGCTTCTCTGGGTGGAACACAAGGTTCTCCAGTCTATGGATCAAAGGGGGTTTGGGTTGGATTCATTTCACCATGTCTGTGTCCAAAATGGCACCCTTTATAGCATACTACTTTTGACCAGAGCCATGGAATTAGTGCACTATATGGGGGAATAGGGTATCATGTGGAACGCATACCTAATCAGGACTTTTCAAATACAAATATTACTGCTGATTATGTAAATGTGTACACGCTGTGCGTGTGTGTTACACCTGAAGCTGCCATGGATCAGCGTAGATCTCTGGTGTTTGGGGAGGTGCAGAGGAAGCCACTGTATCAGTCTATCCATGGCTGGGATGGGCAGAGTCTCACTGTCCCTGTACCGCTGACTCCACCACTCTACCTGAAGCCCCGTGTCATCTACTACAGAGGAGAGAGAAGGAGAGAGAGATAAGAAGAGAGAGAGAAGGAGAGAGAGATAAGAAGAGAGAGAGAGAGAGAGACAGAAGGAGAGAGAGATAAGAAGAGAGAGAGAGAGACAGAAGGAGAGAGAGATAAGAAGAGAGAGAGACAGACAGAAGGAGAGAGAGATAAGAAGAGAGAGACAGAAGGAGAGAGAGATAAGAAGAGAGAGAGAGAAGGAGAGAGAGATAAGAAGAGAGAGAGAGAGACAGAATGAGAGAGAGAGTAAGAAGAGAGGAGAGAGAGAGAGAGACAGAGGAGAGAGATAGAAGAGAGAGAGAGAGAGACAGAAGGAGAGAGAGATAAGAAGAGAGAGACAGAAGGAGAGAGAGAAGAAGAGAGAGAGAGAGAGACAGAAGGAGAGAGAGATAAGGAGAGAGAGAGAGAGAGCAAGGGAGAGAGAAGAAAGAGAGAGAAGGGGGAAAGAGAGAGGAGAGAGAGAAAGAAGGAGAGAGATAGAAGAGAGAAGAGAGAGAGACAGTAAAGAAGGGAGAGAGAAGAGGAGAGGAAGAAGAGAGAGAGACAGAAAGGAGAGAGAGAGAAAGAGAGAGAGATGAGCGAGAGATATAAGAAGAGAGAGAACCAGAAGGACGAGACGAGATAAGGATGAGAGAGAGAGAATGAGAGGAGAGCTAGAGGAAGAGAGAGATAAGAAGCGAGAGAGAGACAGAAGGAGAGAGAGATAAGAAGAGAGAGAGAGAGAGAGAGAGAGAGAGAGACAGAAGGAGAGCGAGATAAGAAGAGAGAGAGAGAGACAGAAGGAGAGAGAGAGAAAGATATGCGTCAACAGCAACCTTGGGAAAATCCTCTGCATTATCATTAACAGAAGACTCGCACATTTCCTCAGTGAAAACAATGTACTGAGCAAATGTCAAATTGGCTTTTTACCAAATTACCGTACGACAGACCGCGCATTCACCCTGCACACCCTAATTGACAAACAAAACAAAACAAAGGCAAAGTCTACTCAAAAAAGCTTTTGACTCAATTTGGCATGAGGGTCTGCTATACAAATTTATGGAAAGTGGTGTTGGGGGAAAAACATACAACATCATAAAATCCATGTACACAAACAACAAGTGTGCTTTAAAATTGGCAAAAAACACACAGATTTCTTTCCACAGGGCCGTGGGGTGAGACAGGGATGCAGCTTAAGCCCCAAACCTATTCAACATATATATCAACAAATTGGTGAGGGCACTAGAACAGTCTGCAGCACCCGGCCTCACCCTACTAGAATCTGAAGTCAAATGTCTACTGTTTGCTGATGATCTAGTGCTTCTGTCACCAACCAAGGAGGGCCTACAGCAGCACATAGATCTTCTGCACAGATTCTGTCAGACCTGGGCCCTGACAGTAAATCTTAGTAAGACAAAAATAATGGTGTTCCAAAAAAGATCTGAGAGACAAGGCAAGAAGGGCCTTCTACGCCATCAAAAGGCACATAAAATTTGACATACCAATTAGGATCTGGCTAAAAATACTTGAATCAGTTATAGAACCCATTGCCCTTTATGGTTGTGAGGTCTGTGGTCCGCTCACCAACCAAGAATTCACAAAATGGGACAAACACCAAATTGAGACTGCATGCATAATTCTGCAAAAATATCCTCTGTGTACAACGTAAAACACCAAATAATGCATGCAGAGCAGAATTAGGCCGATACCCGCAAATTATCAAAATCCAGAAAAGAGCTGTTAAACTCTACAACCACCTAAAAGGATGCGATTCCCAAACCTTCCATAACAAAGCCATCACCTACAGAGAGATGAACCTGGAGAAGAGTCCCCTAAGCAAGCTGGTCCTAGGGCTCTGTTCACAAACACAAACAGACCCCACAGAGCCCCAGGACAGCAACACAATTAGACCCAACCAAATCATGAGAAAACAAAAAGAGAATTACTCGACACATTGGAAAAAGAGAATTACTCGACACATTGGAAAGAATTAACAAAAAAACTGAGCAAACTAGAATGCTATTTGGCCCTAAATAGAGAGTACACAGTGGCAGAATACCTGACCACTGTGACTGACCCAAAATTAAGGAAAACTTTGACAATGTATAGACTCAGTGAGCATAGCCTTGCTATTGAGAAAGGCCGCCGTAGGCAGACCTGGCTCTCAAGAGAAGACAGGCTATTTGCACACTGCCCACAAAATGAGGTGGAAACTGAGCTGCACTTCCTAACCTGCCAAATGTATGACCATATTAGAGACACATATTTCCCTCAGATTAGACAGACCCACAAAGAATTCGAAAAAAAACAAATCCAATTTTGATAAACTCCCATATCTATTGGAGTGTGCCATCACAGCAGCAAGATTTGTGACCTGTTGCCACAAGAAAAGGGCAACCAGTGAAGAACAAACACCATTGTAAATACAACCGATATTTATGTTTATTTATTTTCCCTTTTTTACTTTAACTATTTGCACATCGTTACAACACTGTACATAGCCATAATATCACATTTGAAATGTATTTATTATTTTTGAACTTTTGTGAGTGTAATGTTTACTGTTCTGTTCTATTGTTTATTTCACATTAGTTTATTATCTATTTCACTTGCTTTGACAATGTTAACATACGTTTCCCATGCCAATAAAGCCCTAAAATTGAATTGAGAGGAGAGAGAGAGTGAAAGCGAGAGAGAAAGTGAGAGAGAGGAGAGAGTGAAGGAGAGAGAGAGAGAGATGAGAAGGGGAGAGAGAGATGGAGAGAGAAGGAGAGAGAGAGAGAAAGAGAGAGAAGGAGAGAGAGAGAGAGAAGGAGAGATAATGACACAAAACAATCTTTGTTAATTCATTAATGAATCACCTGGCTCGCCGTAGTCCTCCAGGCCGACTGCTGTAGTATCTAGACGGTGGATCTGGCAGAGTGTGTGTTCCATGGCTTGGTACAAGGCCCTCCTGTCCCCAGGGGTCAGGCCTGGCAGGGAGGGGTCACTGAACATCCTCCCTAGACAGACCTCCATCAAGAGGAAGGGAGCACCCAGGACACTGAACAACACAACCACATACAGGAAGAAGACAGAGACAGACAAACTATGTAACGTGCATGAGTGTATGTATGTTTGTGTTTGTGTTTGTGTGTGTGTGTGTGTGTGTGTGTGTGTGTGTGTGTGTGTGTGTGTGTGTGTGTGTGTCCATCAGGCAGTGTGTGTTCTCACCTTGGGTCCTCACACAGACCAATGATCTCTGGAACAGGGATGCCGGATCCATTGAGAGCTTTCAATAACCTGTGGAGTACAGAGAATAGAGTGATGTATGAAGAAATGGCACCCTATTCCCTCTATAGTGCACTACTTTTGACCAGGGCCCATAGGGAACATGGTGCCGTTTGGGACGCGGGCAAGTGATCTAGATAGGAGAGAGGGATGATCAATCCAGATGCTGATCACTTCCATCTCACACCCATCTGATTCCCACAGCTAGGTAGGTGGTGTGTTGGAGCGACCCTACCTGTACTCTGTCTCCATGGCTTGGGAGCCCTTCTGCTGTTTCCTCAGGAGTAGATGGCGCCCTCCAGTGGTCAAGTGATATAAGGAGTTTGACTGGCTGGGGCTGAGTTGTTGGACAGGAACAGGGTCTGATTCAGATATAGAGACAGACTGTATCAACAACAGTAAATAGAGACACCCTTATTCCCACTTCTTTTGACAAGGGCCTTTAGGAATATGTTGCCATTTGGGACACAGCCACCGTCTTCATACAGGAGAGCTTTGAAACAGACAGCATAGATCAACATACATGTCCCTGGTCCTTCCTTCCCCCAGTGCCTTTAGAGGCTACTGAACTTTGTACTGACAACACTGAGGTAATATCAATTCTATCCATTTCTAGACAGACATTTTGAAATGGATATACAGTTGAAGTCGGAAGTTTACATACACTTAGGTTGGAGTCATTAAAACTCGTTTTTCAACCACTCCACACATTTCTTGTTAACAAAATATAGTTTTGGCAAGTCGGTTGGGACTTTAGGTGGGTGTTAAGAAGCGCGGTTTGGCGTGTCATGTTTCGGAGGACGTATAACTTGACCTTCGCCTCCAGAGCTCGTTGGGGAGTTGCAGCAATGAGACAAGATCGAAAATTGGGGAGAAAAAAATACATTGATAGATGTACCTTTGTCAGACAGATGGAGAGCCTTCCTCAGGTACTGTGTGAGTTGGTCCATAGGGAGCTTTGTGGCCCCAGAGCCTGGCCCAGGAACAAACCCTGACAGGGGGATACCCAGCACCCCTTCCAGCTCCTTCACTGCCACTGCAAGGTCCCCTACCTGGATAACAATATCTATCAACAACTAGTGGCTCTGTCACAGTCTGTGGGTTATGTTCCCTAGTGTTTTGTGACTACTACGAAGCTTGGGGAAGACCTTCAGGTTGAAACATTGCTCAATGAAACAACGAGAGCGTTCACTTGCACAGTGCACCACAAAATCTCCAAGATACAGTGGTATTGGTAAGGGGGAGTTATGAATGCAGAGATGGGGCTCACTCACCTTGATAGCATGCATCCCTAGCTGGGCAGCTGCCTTAACGTTGAACTCCAGGTCATCCAGGAACACAGCTTCATGGGCAGAGACACCCAGTCTGTTCAGACACAGGTGGTAGATCCTGGGGTCTGGCTTACTGAGGCCCTCCCTACACGATTCAACTATCTACAACCAGAGATGGATGGAGGGGGAGAGAGAGAGAGGAATGGTTAGGGGGTACAGCAGTAATGAGAGAGGTGGGAAAGAGGGATGGTGAGAGAGGGGATGGGAACAGATGGGGGGGAGAGAGAGAGAGAGAGAGAAAGTCTGCATTGAATTCATAATGCAATTTCTGCACTAACTGTTACACAGCTACTATTTACTTTTAATATCATTACTATATAATGCTTACGTCCCAATTCCTATGTAGTGCACTACTTTTGACCAAGGTCTATAGGGCTCCCATAGGGCTCTGATCAAAAGTAGTGCACTATATAGGGAATAGGGGGCTATTTGGGACGCAGGCAATGTAAACATAAAATGCTTAGTCACCACATCGAAGAGAGAGTGGTCCAGAGGCAGGAAGGGGTCACCGTTCAGCTGGAGGAAGTTGTTGCTGAGGACAGCAGTCTTCAGGCCCCTGGAGCGAGCACACAATATGGCCTCCATCATGACGGGTAGAGGCTTGGTCATTGGCCCACTGGTCAGGTCAGACAAGAATGAGCCAATGGGAACAGGACATCCTGCCTGAGGGTGGAGCAGCAGAGGGGGATAATGAATGAAGATATGGGGGTGAATCCCAAACGGCACCCTATTCCCTTGTTTAGTGCACTACTTTAGACCAGGGCCAATAGGGTACAGGCTGTAGGTACAGAGATACATGGCTAGTCGTGATGTAATAGACAGAAGCTCACTATCTCACTGCATTGCCTGCCGAAGGCCTCCACAAACTCCTCAGCCCCAAGCTCTCCACGCATGAACCTCTTCCACGCGTTCACCTCACCACCTGTCCTGATGGCCTTGCCCAGCGTGCCCAGAGGAACACTGTTCTGTTGTTCAAACACTACAGAGAAAAAAGAGACCAAGAATATTATGTTGCACTGTATTGACTTGTATGTCTTGAGGCCCTTTGCTCCATTAGGAGTTGAACGGAAATAAGTAGGCCTCCCGTAATTGACTATTTTTGATGTTGTGTTATGCAAGGCTTGTGTGGTACATTGTGTGGTACATTGTGTGGTACATATGACATACCTGTTGCCACTTTGACAGGTGACGGAATGAGCACTCCATACATGTCAAAAATGACAGCTTTGTAAGTGGAGATGGCAGCAAAGCTTCTGTGACAGAGGCTAGGCGTCTTCAGACTCCACAACTGAGACCTGAATTGTGCAGCAGTCCGCATCTTCATCATCATCATCATCATCATCATCTTGGTTTTGCACAAGAAAAGGGTACAAAGATTGTTAGTCAAATGAGAGAAGAGAACACTCTAAAACAAGTAAAGATTGCTGCCCTGCGTCTGACAACAATACCTCCTTGGGTAAATCAAAATCCTAACATTGGAAAGTTACTAGGAGACAGTAGAAAAGTGTTCCCCTTCTTTCAATCTGACCTCTTACTTCAACGTTGTCACTGTCAGATTGTTGTCAACGTCTCTCTCTTACCTGTGTTGACCTTACGCTGGCTAACGTTGATTGCAGAGTATGATGTGATACTCTTGTATTCTGAAGAGATACATTTGCAGTACTGTTTACAATGCAGACATGTTGTACTTGAATGTAGGTCATGTGATTATTACGTGGCTTTGGGGGCAGGGTGGTTACGTCGTTACGTTGGAACGCCCTCTATTTGGTTTAGGGTAAATATCTGAGCAGAAGAATGGGATGAAGACTGATATGTACTCATGATATGAGTTTATAACAATAACTATAATTTACCAAATGTGTTCGCAAAGGTAAAACAATTTGCAATTCATTCCAAAGAGGACAACGCCCTCACAAAATACATGAGAAATGTATGCCATTAGATAGCTAGAAACTGGCTGACAGTTTTTGGCTAGATATTATTCTGCAGAGCTAACGTTGGCAAGTTAGCTTGCTGCTAGCAAGTTAGCTAACTTGCTAGCGTTATCGTCGGACAAGCTAATAGCTAACTTAACTAGCTAACCCAAATAGTAGTTCGCTTGCCATTTAGTCTGTGAAATACATGGATTTCATTCATATATTCATCTAACTTTCTTTGCCCTTGTCATATCACCATCTTTTAGTTAGCTAACTATACGTTAGTTAGGTAGTTAGCCCTGTTAAAAATGTAACGTTAGCTAGCTAACTTAGCCACCTTACTTATTGCAAAGTTAACTAGTTACTGTAGCATTAGTTACCATAGTAAATTGACAACTAACGGCCAGCTAGCTAAACGTTTTGTTGCTAATTAATATACTATCTTTCGATCATTAAATGTTCATATAACGCTTGATTTATCACTCGACTATTGCCACTTTTAATAACCGACATGCTAGTTGGCTAACTAACCGCTTGTGTAACTTTAGCTAGTTAGCGGTAATCTAGCTAGCTAGTTTACGATAGCCTGCTAGCTAACTACCTCGTTTAGTAAATTAGGCTAGCTAGCTATCTTAGTAAATTAGGCTTGGTAGCTATCTTAGTAAATTAAGCTAGCTAGCTAGTTAAAGAATAATATGAAAATATATGGTTGACGTTTGTTAGTCAACTCAACATACGAGTTGATTAACTAGCTAACTAGCACTGGTATGAATGATTGTGCATGATGTTTTAATTAGTAAAAGGTGTCAGTTGGGTGAGTATATGTGGTGTCATTTTAGCCAGAATAGATTCTGACCCTACACTTGCTTACAGTTGCACTGGGGTCAGACAGGCTTCCTGTTTACATTAAGACACTGCTGAGCTGGCACAAGATATGGCTCAGAAAACGTACCTCAATACAGGGATGAGAAATGCATTGTACTCTGAATTGTCCCATTATTCCAACTGTTACACCGAGAAGATTGAACGACTGATAGCTAATAGCCACAGCTGCCATTATGGAATTGCTGCTGTGGCTTCTGCTACCTACTATGAGGACGAAAAGGTCACTTTTATGGAAAAACTAGAAGTCATTCAATCTTCTGTGTAACAGTTGGTATAATGGGAGAATTCGGAGTACAATGAATTTCTCATCCCTCGATTGAGGTACTTTTTTTGAGCTATATCTTGCACCGGCTCCGCGGTGTCTTAATCGAAACTGGAAGCCTGTCTGACCCCAATGCAGCTGTAAACAAGTGTAGGGTCTGAATCTATTCTGGCTAGTGGCATGTCTGAACAGCTTGTTTGAAAGCCAGTTGGCTTACTAGAGAGGACGTTAGCTAGCTAGCCAGCTATCTGTTTGAAGAACGTTTTTGCTTTATGAATCAACTGGAATACTGCTGACCAATGTGAGCAAACTATCATGCTAGCTAGCTAGTTCAACAAGACAATATTGTTCATTCTGTTACTTAAGCCATATAGCTAGCTAGCTAATCACCTTCCCATAGGGTGCCAATTGAACGGGTATCAGATAGTTAACCTTCGTGTAGGGTTGTGGGTTCGTTTCCCACGGGGGGCCAGTATGAAAATGTATGCACTCACTAACTGTAAGTTGCTCTGGATAAGAGCGTCTGCTAAATGACTAAAATGTAAAATGTTAACCTGGTCTAACCATGACCTTTTTGTTTTGTTTTCAGCTGCCACAGACAGACAGATCATCAGTCTCCAGACGTTGTGAAGATGAGCAAGAAGGTTCCTTATCGTCCAGGGATCACTTTTGAAGTTGGTGCTAGAATTGAAGCTCAAGACTATCTACAAAAATGGTATGTAACAGTCAAGTTCCTTTATGTAATTGTGTGCATAGTGAAACATAGTAGAGGTTTTATTTTGTTCTTGTTTTCATTTGTCTTCTGTCTTATACAACCCAGGTACTCCTCACGCATTGAGGACATTGATTTCGATGAGGGGAAGATGCTTGTCCACTTTGATCGTTGGAGCCATCGCTATGACGAGTGGATCGCCTGGGACAGCACTCGACTGCGGCCTCTTGAAAGGCCAACACTCCGTAAAGAGGGACTGAAGGAAGAGGAGGGGGAGATGACTGTAGGTGTTTTTGTCCAGCCACAGACTATTTCTCAATTAGTCTCTCCACGGTTCCTCGCATCCTATTTCCTTGACGCGTTCTCAATCGTATTGGAGGAGAAGGTCCAAGGTCCCTCCCCTCAGACCTTCTTCTCCATTTGAGAAGATGTGAGGAATTGAGAAAATATTAATTGGGAGAGTCACAGACTCCCCCACGTACTGTGGCTTGCAATATATGGATGGATTTGATTAAACTCATATGGCATGCCAAGAACTCACAACGTCTTTCTCTGGGTTAGAGACAGTTTGCCTCATGAGGAGTTTTGTAGCAGATGGATGAGTGTGCAGTCAATCGGATGAGTGATAGATGGATAGTAGTAACATAAAGATTCTGAGTGAACTAAATTTTAAAAGAATTAACAAATTGTTTATGCCTTATATCTTATAAATATTTCTACCAGGAGAGACTCAGCGAGATGTCAGCATCTCGCCTTGATGAGCTTCCTGGATGTACAGAGAGCACAGAGGACCAAACAGAGTTACCGCAGCCGAGACAAGTATACATACATTCCCAGTGTCCCATTTTTCAGTGATTTGGCTGAATTATTAACTGCTTGGTCTCACTCACTGTTTCGGTTCTTCACATAACACAGCTTTGGTCAAAACTGTCAGATCATTTTTGTTGAGGCATAACTGAATCTGACATATAGCTATACCAGAGTTTAGGCCGTTGCCATACTGCAGCGCTATACTGTGGTCTAAAGGGGCTCATTCTGTGTCATTCAAGCTTTTTGTCTTTGTGTTCCTGTCATATGTTTGTAACATTTATCTTTGAGCTTTTCGTGTTACAAACTTTCCCCTTTGCCTTAAAGGTCCAATGCAGCCGTTATTATCTCAATATTAAATCATTTAGTACCATACTGTGATTGTTTTCAATTAAAATGGTCAAAAAGAAACAAAAATAGCTTCTTAGCAAAGAGCCATTTCTCAAGCAAGGATTTTGCTAGGACTGTCTGGGAGTGGTCTGAATGAGGAGGGGAAAACTGAAAACTTGCTGTTGTTGGCAGAGAGGTTTGGAACTCTCTTTCTTATTGGTCTATTAACTAATTTACCACCTGGTGATGTCACCAGGCACTCCAAAACTCCATCCCAACCGAAACAGGCTGAAATTTCAGGCGGCCTTTTCAAACAGCTCTTACACTAAAAGGGCATTATCATTTCACAGTATTATTCCAACCTCAGTGTGGAAATGTATATAACACACAGGAAATCACGTTTTTTTTACTGCACTGGGCCTTTAATGAAATGTTCAAGCTACACTTGCAACCTTACAAGAAATTCCTTACATCCTGAATCAGAAAACATTTAGTGCTTCTACAGTAATGTGGATACAAGTACAGTATCTATACTGGACAAAAATATAAATGCAACAATTTCAAAGATTGTACTGAGTTACAGTTCATAGAAAAAAAATCTGTCAATTGAAGTAAATTCATTAGGCCCTAATCTATGGATTTCACGACTGGGCAGGGGAGCAGCCATGGGTGGGCCTGGAAGGTCATAGGCCCACCCACTTGGGAGCCAGGCACAGCCAATCAGAATTCGTTTTTTTCCCACAAAAGGGCTTTATTACAGACAGAAATACTCCTCACCAAACTTTTGTATCTCATGACACGTGTTTGTGAAATACATATTTAGAGTAATGGAGGTTTGTGTTTGGCTTGTTTTACAGGAATTGAGAGATGGTGAAGAGGTGCTTGCTCGATGGACAGATTGTCGCTACTATCCTGCAAAGATTGAATCTGTAAACAAAGAGGGTATTTATCACTTTAACTATTTCTAAGACAGGAGCAGGACATATGGCCAGTACACACAACACACTGACTTGCAATTGTGTTCCCCAACCTAAGTGTCTTTGTTCAATTCTAGGTACCTACACGGTGCAGTTTTATGATGGAGTTATTCGCTGTGTGAAAAGAATTCATATCAAATCCATGCCCGATGATGCAAAAGGACAGGTGAGCTGGTCACATGATCATACAATCAATTCTGGAATCAGCATGAGCATGGCATTCCTCCAATAGAAGAAAGAAACATAGCTTAGTAAGAATCTGGCATTATAGCTAAGAATCTGGCATTATAGCTAAGAATCTGGCATTATAGCTAAGAATCTGGCATTATAGCTAAGAATCTGGCATTATAGCTAAGAATCTGGCATTATAGCTAAGAATCTGGCATTATAGCTAAGAGTCTGCATTACACTGTGTGCACAATTATAAGGCAAGTTGTATGTTTGAGGATTAATTTTATTATTGAACAACTACAGTGCTCTCGGTCAATCCAAAATGTTAATAAACCTCAACCTGAATATTTAAGTAAAAGTGAGGTTTTGGCTTTCTTTGGAGAATATCTATGTGTGCACAATTATTGGGCAACTATTAGTGTGCAGAATTATTATGCAACTAAATGAAAAACGAAAAGTTCCCCATCTCACTTGTTTATTTTCATCTGTTAAAGTGAGAATAATAAACAAACAACTCAACATTTACAAATAAACATTTCTGACATTTCAACAACAAAAAATCAGTGACCAATATAGCCACCCTTCTTTTCAATAACAGTCATAAGCCTTCCATCCATGGAGTCTGTCAGTTTCTTGATCTGTTGACGATCAACTTTTTGTGCAGCAGCAACCACAGCCTCCCAGACACTGGTCAGAGAGGGGTACTGTTTTCCTTCACCGTAAATCGACCGTTTAAGAAGGGACCACAAGTTCTCAATAGGGTTTAGGTCAGGTGAGGAAGGGGGCCATGTCATTATTGTTTCATCTTTAAGGCCTTTACTGGCTAGCCACGCAGTGGAGTACTTCGATACATGCGATGGAGCATTGTCCTGCATAAAAATCATGGTCTCTTGAAAAGATGCAGACTTTTTCCTGTACCACTGCTTGAAGAAAGTGTCTTCTAAAAACTGGCAGTAGGTTTGGGAGTTGAGTTTGAGTCCATCTTCAACTCGAAAAGCTCCAACTAGCTCATCTTTAATAATACCAGCCCATACCAGTACCCCACCTCCACCTTGCTGGCGTCTGAGTCGAAGTGGAGCTCCGTGCCCGTTACTGATCCAGCCATGGGCCCATCCATCTGGTCCGTCAAGAGTCACTCTCATCTCATCAGTCCATAAAACCTTTGAAAAATCTGTCTTCAGATATTTCTTGGCCCAGTCTTGACGTTTCAACTTATGTGTCTTGTTCAGTGGTGGTCGGGTTTCAGCCTTCCTTACCTTGGCCATGTCTCTGAGCACTGAACACCTTGTACTTCTGGGCACTCCAGGTAGGTTGCAGTTCTGGAATATGACAGCACTGGAGGATAATGGGTTCCTGGTAGCTTCACGTTTGATTCTTCTCAAATCTTTGGCAGTTAATTTGCGTCTTTTTTTCTCAACACGATTCTTGCAACCCTGTTGACTATTTGCAACAAAACGTTTGATGGTTCTGTGATCACGCCCCAATATCTTAGCAATTTCAAGAGTGCTGCAACCTTCAGAGTCAGTTAAATCTCTTTTTTGGCCCATTTTGCCTGAGGAAAAGAAGCTGCCTAATAATTATACACACCTTGATGTAGGGTGTTGATCTCCTTAGGCCACACCCTCCCTCATTACACAAATACACATCACCTGATATGCTTAAATCCAATAAGCATTCCAGTTTATGCAGCTTGGAGTTGGGAAATATGCATAATAATGATGATATGGTCAAAATACTGACTTGCCTAATAATTGTGCACACAGTGTATAGCTAAGAATTGGCATTTATAGATATACTGATTAATAGAAGGCAAGTAAAAATTCCTGAAAGTCTATTGTAGGTTGTAGACAGTGTAGGATACCATAATTTTCTATTTCACTTCTCCCTCTTTTTCAGAAGGTAAAGGGCAACAGGGAATTGCTGGATTTAATGCGAAGGCTGATTCCCACAGTCCTGGCAGGATAGACTTGCTGGCATCTCCCTTGTTCCAACCAGCAGACACTCTCCAAGGAGACCACAGTCTAATCTTACTTACTACTTAATTAAGATTTCATTTATTTGACTTAGAATGTTTTTACTTTAGTGTGCAGCACACTTGGAAAGTAGTAGCTAATAGTTAAAACAGATGTCCGTACAGGCTAAATATAGTGATTCTTTACTATTGAGGCTTACTGTTTTCTCACCGACCAAGGTCGTGACCTAGTCTTACATCTAGAGAATCTCTTTAGTCAGGGTTAAGCAGGTTCCTTCTCCACACACTAAGTCCGAGTCCCAAATGGTAGTAGGGGTACCATTTGGGACGTAACCTAATTAACTTACAGCAGCAGCCTATAGAATAGATGCATTTATCAGACGTTTGATCTAACCAGGAGTCTCTTAATACTACTAATAATAACAAAATATGAATACATTGGATTTAAAGTGCCTTTCAAACAACAACAAGGACAATGTACAACAAAACTAAATAGAAAAAAAAGCTATGGATAAAACAACTCTCTCCTCCAACAGGACTGGATAGCCCTGGTTAAAGCTGCCTCGGCTGCAGCCAAGGGCAAAGGAAGCAGTACAGCTCGTACCAGTGCCAACAGCAACAAGGACAGGGACGACCCTCACGGAGGGAAGTCTGACGATGAGGATGGTGAAGAAGAGATGGATGAAGAGCTGCAGGATCAGTCCGACTCTGACAAACTGGGTAACTTGAGTCCTCTCCTTATGGTCTCCTGGTCAAAAGTAGTGCACTATATAGGGAACTATATTGGGACACAGCCTTAAAAATGAATTGTAATTTCTCAGTGCCTGTTGTCATGTAGCCAGTATGTTAGTATCATACAGCAGTGATATGGAGTAGTGGTATCATTTAGATGTTACTGTTGTCATGTAGCCAGTATGTTAGTATCATACAGCAGTGATATGTAAAGAATCACTGTTCTCCTGAGTGGCGCAGTGGTCTAAGGCACTGCATCGCAGTGCAAACTGTGCCACTAGAGATCCTGGTTCGAATCCAGGCTCTGTCGCAGCCGGCCGCGACCGGGAGACTCATGGGCGGCGCACAATTGGCCCAGCGTCGTCCAGGGTAGGGGAGGGAATAGCCGGCAGGGATGTAGCTCAGTTGATAGAGCATGGCGTTTGCAACGCCAGGGTTGTGGGTTCGATTCCCACGGGGGGCCAGTATAAAAAAAATATGTATTCACTAACTGTAAGTCGCTCTGGATAAGAGCGTCTGCTAAAATGACTAAAATGTAAATATGGAGTAGTGGTATCATTTAGATGTTGCTGTTTCACCCCAGAGGGTCCAGGCCTGTAAAACCGCAGGTCATATTTCACCCCAGGGCCCTCATTCTTAGTTAACCATCACATTTACAATGTGTCTCCCAAATGGCACCCTATTCCCTTTACAGTGCACTACCTTTGACCAGGGGACTGGGTCAAAAGTAGTGCACTATAGAGGATACAGGGTGCCATTTGGGAGACACATTGTGTGTTGGGTTCCAACCGGTCCTATTCCTCTGTCTTCAGGATCCCATGAAGATGATGCTGACTGCAAGAAGGAGCGGACAGAAGTCCAGGTGACGTCCCAACAACAGGTACCAGCTAGTCACTACTGTAGTGTAGATAATGTCCCAACAACAGGTACCAGCTAGTCACTACTGTAGTGTAGATAATGTCCCAACAACAGGTACCAGCTAGTCACTACTGTAGTGTAGATAATGTACCAACAACAGGTACCAGCTAGTCACTACTGTAGTGTAGATAATGTACCAGCTAGTCACTACTGTAGTGTAGATAATGTACCAGCTAGTCACTACTGTAGTGTAGATAATGTACCAGCTAGTCACTACTGTAGTGTAGATAATGTACCAACAACACGTACCAGCTAGTCACTACTGTAGTGTAGATAATGTACCAGCTAGTCACTACTGTAGTGTAGATAATGTACCAGCTAGTCACTACTGTAGTGTAGATAATGTACCAGCTAGTCACTCACCAAATAAGGCTATCTTCTATATACCACCCCTACCTTGTCACAACACAACTGATTGGCTCAAACGCATTAAGAAGGAAATAAATTCCACAAATTAACTTTTTAAGAAGGGACACCTGTTTATTGAAATACATTCCAGGTGACTACCTCATGAAGCTGGTTGAGAAAATGCCAAGAGTGTGCAAAGCTGTCATCAAGGCAAAGGGTGGCTACTTTGAAGAATCTCAAATATAAAATATATTTTGATTTGTTTAACACTTTTTTGGTTACTACATGATTCCATATGTGTTATTTCATAGTTTTGATTTCTTCACTATTATTCTACAATGTAGAAAAAACCTGGAATGAGTAGGTGTGTCCAAACTTTTGACTTGTACTGTAGATAAATAGATATATAAAAAATTGTGTGTGTATTTATATATATATATAAAAGACAGACTTTGCTCCATAGTATGTTTATTGGTTTTTCTAAGGTTGTGTCCCAAATGGCACCCTATTCCCTATATAGTGCACTGCTTTTGACCTAAGCCCATAACAAAAGTAGTGTACTAAATAGAGAATAGGATCCCATTTGGCACTCTGCCTAAGAGTCAATTCATGGCAGCAATCCCACGGTGTATTCCTCGCTGTGTTCCTCCAGAAGGTGCCACGAACAGCAAACCGTGATTCCATACAAGGGCAGACCCAGAGAGAGACCCAGAGAGAGACCCAGAGAGAGACTGGGTCCTCAATGACAGGCTCTCCAGCCAAGTGTCGGAACAGGCGTCTGAAGCACCACTCTGCCGAGTCCAACAGGTAGCTTTTGACAAGATAGCTGTTGACTTTCAATGCACCTAAAAAAATCTGTGAGTTATTTATATATATATATCATAGTGTATTGTAATCGGGTAATAATTGGTATTTAATAATGTCATTGTAAGTTGTACTTGTAATTCAGATTTTTGCTGCTATTTGTACAATCATTTGTCAATAATGAGGAACCCATTCTCATGGTTAACAGCAACCAGAACCCAGAGACCGTCCAGGCCGCCCTGCTCCATCACTACTCTGTCCGCTGGGGAGGACACCATGTCAGCTCCAGAGTCCATGCTGAGTCCCTCCCCCAGACACAGCTGCCCTGACATGGCTACCCTCAGGTCGGTCTGCTGAGGGACAGGATCATAGTGGAAAAAGTACTACCACTAACTGACTCAAAGTAGTGAATGCTCTTAGACACAAGTGGTGTTACCAATATTTACTTTATCTATACAGTTTTTGGAAGATTTTTTGGGGAAAAAACAAAACTAATTGCCTCAGAAGACTTAAGGGGTACTAGGGATGTGATCACTGTCAGCACAAAACTATTTTCCATGATGATTCTTACTTGTTCATTTGGTGGTTGTTAAGTGGCATGGCTGTGCTTCCTCTTCCAACAGGGCATGGTGAGGCGGTTCCTACAGGCTCCCCCAGGAGCTCAGAACAGATCCAGAGGAGGAGACGCTCCCAGCGCCTGGCCACCGTCAGCCCTGATATAAACTCTGACTCCAGTGTGACCTCTCACCCCACCACCACCCAGTGCCCTGACCCCTCACCCCATGGGAGGGAGCACAACACATCTCACAAAGACCCCTCCTCCACTCCAGAGGGTGAGTGCAGCCTTGAGTGACAGGATTTCTTCCTGGTTACCTACGTGACCTGGGTCATATTAACTAGGAACCAAATGGAAGCAAATGGGCCGAAACAGGGAGGGAACTACCTGAACTTGTCAAATTAGAAAACGCTTGTTTTAATTTAAATTAATTTTTCTACAGTGTGCACTAATGAACACGACCCTGACCAAGAAACAAGATGAACAACCAGGAAAGCACATCTATTTATTCACCCCTGAATCTATTCTGTGTGTGATGTTCCTCCTTAGATCAAGTGGCAAACTCTGTGGAGAGGGCAGAGTCATCGACCCTCCACAACTACTGTGTCGGCATACCACCTAAACCTCCAACTACTGCCTCCATCCTCACACCATCTCATTCACCAATCACACACAGAGACCAGCTGACTGACGGGCCATCAGCCAATCATACGGCAGTGGCAGACAAATTCCCACCCTTAGCTGCAGGTAATGCATGACTGGGCAAGTTATTTATTCTCAACGGCTGCATCTAAAAATGGCACCCTATTCCCTACAAAGTGCGCCAAAGTAGTGTACTTTATAGGGGAATAGGGTGCCGTTAGGGACACATTGTACAGTATAATGTACACTACCAGTCCAAAGTTTGGACACCTACTCATTCAAGGGTTTTTCTTTATTTATTACAATTTTTTACATTGCAGAATAATAGTGAAGACATCAAAACTATGAAATAACACATATGGAATCAAGTAGTAAACAAAAAAGGGTTAAACAAATCAGAATATATTTTATATTTGAGATTCTTCAAATAGCCACCCTTTGCCTTGATGACAGCTTTGCACACTCTTGGCATTCTCTCAACCAGCTTCACCTGGAATGCTTTTTCAACAGACTTGAAGGAGTTCACACATATGCTGAGCACTTGTTGGCTGCTTTTCCTTCACTCTACGGTCCGACTCATCCCAAACCATCTCAATTGGGTTGAGGTCGGGGGATTGTGGAGGCCAGGTCATCTGATGCAGCACTCCATCACTCTCCTTCTTGGTAAAATAGCCCTTACACAGTTGGAGGTGTGTTGGGTCATTGTCCTGTTGAAAAACATATGATAGTCCCACTAAGCCGAAGCCAGATGGGATGGCGTATCGCTGTAGAATGCTGTGGTAGCCATGCTGGTTAAGTGTGCCTTGAATTCTAAATAAATCACAGACAGTGTCACCAGCAAAGCACCCCGACACCATAACACCTCCTCCTCCATGCTTCACGGTGGGAACTACATATGCGGAGATCATCCGTTCACCTACACCGCGTCTCACAAAGACACGGCGGTTGGAACCAAAAATCTTCAATTTGGACTCCAGACCAAAGGACAAATTTCCACCGGTCTATTGTCCATTCCTCGTGTTTCTTGGCCTAAGCAAGTCTCTTCTTATTGGTGTCCTTTAGTAGTGGTTTCTTTGCAGCAATTCGACCATGAAGGCCTGATTCACACAGTCCCCTCCGAACAGTTGATGTTGAGATGTGTCTGTTACTTGAACTCTATGAAGCATTTATTGGGGCTGCAATTTCTGAAGCTGGTAACTCTAATGAACTTATCCTCTGCAGCAGAGGTAACTCTGGGTCTTCCATTCCTGTGGTGGTCCTCATGAGAGCCAGTTTCATCATAGCGCTTGATGGTTTTTGCGACTGCACTTGAAGAAACTTCCAAAGTTCTTGAAATGTTCCGTATTGACTGACCTTCATGTCTTAAAGTAATGATTGACTGTCGTTTCTCTTTGCTTTAATATGGACTTGGTCTTTTACCAAATCGTCACAACACAACTGATTGGCTCAAACGCATTCCACAAATTAACTTTTAAGAAGGCACACCTGTTAATTGAAATGCATTCCAGGTGACTACCTCATGAAGCTGGTTGAGAGAATGCCTAGAGTGTGCAAAGCTGTCATCAAGGCAAAGGGTGGCTATTTGAAGAATCCAAAATCTAAAATATATTTTGAATTGTTTTAACACTTTTTTGGTTACTACATGATTCCATATGTGTTATTTCACAGTTTTGATGTCTTCACTATTATTCTACAATGTAGAAAATAGTAAAAATAAAGAAAAACCCTCGAATGAGTAGGTGTGTCCAAACTTTTGACTGGTACTGTATGTTAGATCATTTCCTAATCCATCTGTGTTATTTATAGCCCCTGGTAGGAGGACAACCAGGACCCCTAAACTAAACAAGCACACCAGGGAGCCAAGTAGGTTTTCTCCTCAAGCTCATTCCATATTATTGTAGTTTGATCGTATTACGTTTAACCATGACTTTTCGTTTCCTTCACGGGTTACTGCAATTATAATTAATGTTCCAATAAGACGCTGATCTTTACGAAGTCCTCTCTGTCCGATAGAATGAAAGCATACTCAAACGCGCTTCAGCCCAGCTTGAACATAAAGGGTGTCAGGTGCTCGACTGAGGGACTTGATAATCCAGAAAAGCATTCCTTTCCCCTCACTGTGCCTCTCTCCTCTGTGTGTCACCTCTCACTCTTTCAGTCATGAACACCAAGCGGTCTGATGACCCTACGTCTCCCAACGACCTGGACCACTACAAGTGTAAGATCCCCGGGTGCTCCAAGGCCTTCCGCAAAGCCAAGCTGCTGGACTACCACCTCAAGTATTACCACAACGCTGACAAGGACCTCCAGGACTCTGAGCTGACAGGCTCCCCAGACAGGGCTGGTCGTACCCGGGCCACCTCAGCCTCCATGCCCACCACCACCCTGCTGGAGGTCCCTGACAACGCAAAGAGACGCAGGACTGTCTCCACCTCATCGTGTATGGATTTAGATTTCATTCATTTGAAAACACAGTTAGTTGTATGTAACATGAATACACAAATTCACAAAACGGTGTTCCAAATGACACCCTATTCCCTATATAGTGCACTACTTTTGTCCAGAGCCCAACCTTATACTCTGTCTCACCCCCCTCTGTCCCCCAGCTCTGTCCCTTCAGGGCCATATGTTTATACTGTCTCCTCTGTCCCCTCAGGGCCATATGTTTTTATACTGTCTCCTCTGTCCCCTCAGGGACATATGTTTTATACTGTCTCATCTGTCCACTCAGGGCCATATGTTTTATACTGTCTCTTCTGTCCCCTCAGGGCCATATGTTTTATACTGTCTCTTCTGTCCCCTCAGGGCCATATGTTTATACTGTCTCTTCTGTCCCCTCTGGGCCATAGGTTTATACTGTCTCCTCTGTCCCCTCTGAGCCACATGTTTATACTGTCTCCTCTGTCCCCTCAGGGCCATATGTTTTATACTGTCTCCTCTGTCCCCTCAGGGCCATATGTTTTATACTGTCTCCTCTGTCCCCTCAGGGCCATATGTTTTATACTGTCTCTTCTGTCCCCTCAGGGCCATATGTTTTATACTTTCTCCTCTGTCCCCCAGCACTGTCCCCTCCGGGCCATATGTTCCAACTGGACTGTACTGGACTGGGGGGCTGTCTGAAACCTCCCAAGTTGAACAGGAAGAAGCGCTCCTCTGCCTCCATGAGCTCTGACAGCACAGAGCTGTCTCTCCCTCCGCCGCCTCAGGAGAAGAGCTTTGAGTCCCTCCACGACAAGATCCTGAAGAAGGTGATCGATAAGGACAAGCACCTGGAGCCAGGTTAGTGGCAGGGCAGTGGGCCTTCCTGAGGGCGTGTAAGGCTACTTCCCAAATGGCACCCTATTCCCTATATAGTGAACTGCTTTTGTTTTCAAGATGTTTTCCAGTTTTATTGTCACATGCACAGGATACAGCAGGTGTAAAACAGCACAGTGAAATGCTTAATTGGCCAGCTCTTTCCCAACAATTAGAAGAAAAACACCTGAAATACAAGAGAAGAAAAATAAACAGTCAAAAGTAGTGCACTATATAAGGAATAGGGTGCCATTTGGGACGTAACTTAAATCAACACAGTTAGCCGCAGAGGACTGTGATCACATTACGTACATGTCTCCTACAGGATTAATGAAGATTGAGAAGAAGGTGAAACTGGAGGAGAAATGCCAGATGATCGGTGAGATTGTGTTCAATTTCTCTTGTTGCGGTCGTACTAAATAAAGTATCTCAATTGTTCCCACAAACGAGTTGATGATTAAATAATGTTCTGCTTTTCAGGAAAAAAGAAGGACAAGGATAAAGAGAGGAGGAAAGAGAAGGATCACTTCAAAATCAAACAGAAGAAGAAGAAGAAGAAGAAGAGGAAATCCAAGCAACACTGTACGTTTAGTTGAGGTGCTGTATCTTAATGCTTCTCCAAGGGCTCCTGCTGTTGTGAATCCAAGCCGCACTGTAAGTTTAGTTGCAGGTGCTGTATCTTAATGCTTCTCCAAGGGCTCCTGTTGTTGTGAATCCAAGCGCACTGTAAGTTTTGTTGAGGTGCTGGATCTTAATGCTTCTCCAAGGGCTCCTGCTGTTGTGAATCCAAGCAGCACTGTAAGTTTTGTTCAGGTGCTGTATCTAATGCTTCTCCAAGGGCTCCTGTTGTGTGAATCCAAGCCGCACTGTAAGTTTTGTTCAGGTGCTGTATCTTAATGCTTCTCCAAGGGCTCCTGCTGTTGTGAATCCAAGCAGCACTGTAAGTTTAGTTGAGGTGCTGTATCTTAATGCTTCTCCAAGGGCTCCTGCTGTTGTGAATCCAAGCCGCACTGTAAGTTTAGTTGAGGTGCTGTATCTTAATGCTTCTCCAAGGGCTCCTGCTGTTGTGAATCCAAGCAGCACTGTAAGTTTAGTTGAGGTGCTGTGTCTTAATGCTTCTCCAAGGGTCCTGCTGTTGTCGTGTAGTATGTTGTCATTGAATGACCAGTCCATGTTATAGCTTATTGTAAACATAGATCCAAGATAAGATGAGACAAAATATAGTGCTTTATCAATCCTCAAAGGGGGATTTGATTGCACCAGTCAACACACACAACACCAGTAAATACATAGGAAAGGATACACAGGCATTAGAAGTAGCACATCAATGCATCATAAAAACGAATTCTGTGTGTTCTCCCCTGCAGGTTATTCGGACTACGATGACATGTCCCTGTCCTTCCTGGAGCGGTCTACGTCGTTCTACTCTCCCCCCCCCTTCCTCCTCCTCCTCCCTCCAGGCACTGCCTGTACCCCCGAGCCATCCTCTCTGTCGACCTCACCGGAGAGAGTGAGTGGGAAACGCCTGACAGGGCAACTTTTATAGATATTTATGTATATACATACATACATTACCAGTCAAAAGTTTGGACACCTACTCATTCAAGGGTTTTTCTTTATTTTTGTACTATTTTCTACATTGTAGAATAATAGTGAAGACATCAAAACTATGAAATAACATATATGGAATCATGTAGTAACCAAAAAAGTGTTAAACAAATCAAAATATATTTTATATTTGAGATTCTTCAAATAGCCACCCTTTGCCTTGATGACAGCTTTGCACACTCTGCTAGTGTATGTGTATCAACCAAGCACATGTCATCTTTACGTTAATGTGCTGTTCATATTGTTGAACTCACATATAGGCACAATGTCTGAGAGGTCAGATTGTTGTTATTGTTCTTTATTACACAGCATTACTCTGAATCAGACATGTTGACCCTACAGAATGGTTGTTTTCTGAGGAGAGACTTTTGTGTCATATTCTTAGGAAGTGTACACATTGCTGAAGAATATTGTTGTAGAATATTGAAAAAGGAAAGTATCCTATCTGCGCACTTGTGGGTTTTTGAGACGGAATTCATTTTTTCTAGGTTGACATTGTGAGGGAGTATTTACTAGTTATCTAACTATCAGTTTTAGTTTTAGGATTCTGTCAGTTGTTCTGCTAGAACTGAATCATGGGGACCCTCAAGGAGTTCCATAACACAGTCCCACTCTTAACCGTCACCCATAACTTTCCACCTGAAATGAAGAGCTGTGTACATTACATGAATGTACGCTTTCATCATAATGTTGTACATGAAATCAAACAGTAGTCATTTTGCTTCACATCATGTCTATTGAAGTGTTTACATATGAGTTCATGACAGCCTGTGGGATGTTCCCTCACATAGGGAACAGCAGACATCCACTGAAGGTGCTGTGGTTATTGTGATCGTCGTAGATACAGTAGCCTGACAAGAGACTCATTTGGACCATGTCCCCTTTCTCCAACTCTAGAATCGCTGCATTGGATAGATAATGGTTGGCCTTTTCATTCCACTGACCGGACCACATAACAGACTTGCCATTCTTATACAACAGAACAGACAACCCCTTGGAGGTTTTGTTGTCTATGGCAGTGAATCTGATGAAGTAGACCCCTCTCACTGGTGCTGTGAAGATACCTGCCTCAAGAGGTGCTGTGAGATACCTGCCTCAAGAGGTGCTGTGAAGAAATCTGTATCAGAGGAGAGGCAGGGAGACATCAGCACTGTTCAAGTCTCAGACACTGGAGCAGCATGTTAGTGATGTTGGACTACAGTACCTTTAGCCGGACCCCTGTGGACGTGTGTCTATACATGTAGATTGGTATGTAAGCGGTACCTGTAACTGAGCAGTAGGCTTGGCCGATGTTGGGGAAGACTTTGCGGTAGACCACTGTGTTAAAAGGTCCTGCTGTATGTCACGAACCGGCTCAAGTTCATAACAAAAGGGAGACACGTGGAGACAAGGAATACTCAAAGTATATATTTATTAACTAAAGTAAACTAAATCAAATAACAATGGTGTGTGTAATCAGTAATCAGTAGTGTAAGTGAGTGTTTGCATGCATAAATGTAATATGGAAAGGTGTTGATAGGTGCCAAAGCAAACAACCAAAAAGCCACAAAAATACCACAACCAAAATCAAAGTATCTGCCTGGAGAGAGTCTCCTCAATGAATGTGGAAGAGGTCCATTTATGCTGGGACACACCTGGCCCAGGTGTTTCCCATGTAGCTGACGACCCTCCCAACTCCGCCCATCGGCATCCTAATAAGGAAACAAGAGCAAAGAGAGAATACGGCAGACAGAGTGGGAGGGTCGTCACATATATTACCTAAACCAGCGTAGAATGCCACCTTTGGTCTCTCTGTGAAGCCAAAAGGTTTTAGAGCAATATTGAGGAATGTTGAGAAAGATACAGGAACTAGTGAGACCATATTACATGGTAACAGATGACATGATGCTGAGAGTCTGTTTATTGTGCTGTATCTGCGTTCACTGTCTTCAGGTCTTCCACCGCTGTCTCACCAACAGTCACTCTGGCCCACATGCCAGCTGCTTGGACTGGAATTATAGTAAAAAATGATCAGATATCAACATTTATATAGAAGACCCAATATAAAATAAGTAATTTAGTACAGTAATTTAAAGAATGTGAGCAGTGTGTTTACACTTTTTATTCTCTCTCTCTCGCTCGCTCGCTCCCTCCCTCCCTCCCTCCCTCCCTCCAGACCTGTCAGACATAGACTTCCTAGAGGACTCGACCACAGAGAGCCTGCTGTTTAGTGGAGATGAATACAACCAGGTAGGGTTGTCACAATACTACCATCATTTGTTTATGGCAACAAAGAAAACACGAAGCAGACTAAACTCCATGGCCCTTTAAGAACCTCCTCTATGTAAAAGATAGTGTGCTATAGCTTAGGAAATGTATATATGTGACAACATGACTAAGGGGGTTTGTTTTGAACCCTCCAACCAGGACTTTGACTCTCTGAACATGGAGGACTTCCAGGAGGAGGATGAGGACGGTACCCAGGAGATCGTCCGCTGTATCTGTGAGATGGACGAGGAGAACGGATTCATGATTCAGGTATTGACTGGCTGACTGGCTGGCTGGCTGGCTGGCTGGCTGACTGACTGGTACCTGGCTGACTGGCTGGCTGACTGACTGACTGGCTGGCTGGCTGGCTGGCTGACTGGTGACTGACTGGCTGACTGACTGGCTGACTGACTGACTGACTGGCTGGCTGGCTGACTGACTGGTGACTGACTGACTAATGACTGACTGACTGGTGACTGACTGGCTGACTGGCTGACTGACTGGCTGGCTGACTGGTGACTGACTAACTACTGACTGACTGGCTGGCTGGCTGACTGGCTGACTGACTGACTGACTGACTGGCTGGCTGACTGACTGGCTGGCTGGCTGGCTGGCTGACTGGCTGACTGACTGGTGACTGACTGACTGACTGGTGACTGACTGACTGACTGACTGACTGGCTGGCTGGCTGACTGGCTGACTGACTGGCTGGCTGACTGGCTGGTGACTGGCGGGCTGGCTGGCTGGCTGGCTGGCTGGCTGACTGGCTGACTGGCTGACTGACTGGAGCCCTCAGACTATTGTTCTGGCTGAGGTAGGGTTGGAAAATTCCAGTCCCTTGTGGTGTAAATTCAACACCAGGGACACCTATCAATGTTAAATGAATCACTCTTTATTATCAGTTAACTGGAGAGGTTACAACAAACACACGTACAAAGTACAAGTCTGCCACAAGCTCCGCCAGGGCGGTCCCTTCAGTCCTCTTATATACTGCTACTCAAAAAACCTACATAGGCCTGGTTCATAGGGTTGGTTCCTGCAGGTGACTTCCAGAACATATTCTGGGTGTTGGTCTGAGGTGGTGGTCACAGTCACCTGCAGGAACCAGGATGGAGCAGAGAAGATGCATACTGTGTACATTTCAAGGCTATCTCTTCAGACTATAAAATGTTCCCTTATACCCTCTCCCCAAATTCCCAGGTTTTCCAGAAATCCTGTTTAGAAGATTCCTGAAATCAGGGCGGAATAAGTCGGAAATCTGGAATCCTCCGACCGGGATTTCTGTAAAAACTGGGAATTTGGGGAGAGCAGACATAGTAATGGGGCCTAAACATGTCTGTTGTTATCATGTGTTTAAACATGGTTCAGACCTGGGTTCAGATAGGATTTGTTTCCCCCTAAACACACACACTTCAGTCTCTCTCTCTCTCTGTTTCAGTGTGAGGAGTGTATGTGCTGGCAGCACAGTGTGTGCATGGGGCTTCTGGAGGACAGCATCCCAGATCAGTACATATGTTACATCTGCAGAGACCCTCCAGGTAACACACTGTAACTTCATACCCTACACTCCCCTAACTATAGATCTAGGATCAGATTACTCTACTCCCCAACCTAAACCATTAGGGGGATGAAAAATAATCTCACCCTGTTGTCAGTGGTTAGAGGCAATTTTTAGCCTGGTTCCCGATTCGTGTGTGCTCTTGCCAACTCCATTGCGGTCATTGTCAAGCCAAACATGACAGTGGCGCAGTGGTCTAAGGCACTGCATCTCAGTGCTTGAGACGTCACTACAGACCCCCTGGTTCGATTCCAGGCTGTATCACAACCGGCCGTGATTGGGAGTCCCATAGGGCGGCGCACAATTGGCCCAGCGTCGTCCGGGTTTGGCCGGTGTAGGCCGTCATTGTAAATAAGAATTTGTTCTTAACTGACTTGCCTAGTTAAATAAAGGATTTTTAAAAAAAGAGTGACAAGGAGTTGGCGTGATAGCACAAACAGACTGGCACTGAGGTTAGGCAACTTCTACCTACCCTATACAATTTACAAACAAGATATTCATACATTATTATTATCATCAACATGTTGGTTGTCTTCCTGACGTATCCGTTTGTTTTTGTTGTTTAGGTCAAAGGTGGAGTGCCAAATATCTCCATGACAAAGACTGGTTGAACAAGGGTCACATGTATGGCCTGTCCTTCCTCTCTGAGAACTACTCTCAGCAGAACTCTAAGAAGACTGTCTCCACCCATCAGCTGTTAGCAGACGTGTTCAGTGTTAACAACATACTACACGGACTACAGCTCAAGATGGACATACTACAGTAGGTCACCTTTCAACACGAAGGGCAACATTTTCATCACACAAAAGAGTGCAGATCTGTGCAAAGAAAACTGTGAAACCCATTATAATGTTTTTTCTTCTTCAAAGATGTGAGTTTAAAGGGGGCCCCATAGGGCTCTGGTCAAAAGTAGTGCACTATAAAGGAAACAGGGTGCCATTTGAAACGCAGCCATGGTCATTTGGAGTTAAAATGAACCGTTATTTTCTTGTCCACCTATAGGAACAAACACAATCCCAATTTGCACTTCTGGGCTCGGTCGTGGGTGAACTCTGACGAGGACCAGCCCATGGGCGGTCTCCCTGACTGCATTCACTTCACAGATCACCTTGACGACAAATCTCTGGACAACCAGAACTCCTCCAAGCCAGACACGTACATCACCAGCGAACACAGGTACACGTTCAGCTGTCTGTGTAATACGGTGTTTTTAGTAGTGATGGGCACTGATATGCAATCTAACAATATCCATATCGAATTGAATTATTGATATTGGTGCCCGTCACTAGTTTACAGTGTGTTCATAGATGTATGTGATTGATCATTGTCTAGGCTTTGTAATCACTCTTCTCTGCCCTACAGCTACCAGAAACCCCCCAGCCCCGGACAGCTGGAGCACCGGCCCGCTGCAGACCCCAATAGCTCCAACAGCCAGGAGGGAGGAGGGGTGGGGGCGGAGTTGGTGGTGGCTAATGCTAACCCCGCCTCCCACTCCATCCAGTTCAAGGAAGAGGAGGTAAGAAAGGTGTTGATCTTAATTGCCTCTTGTTTATTTATTTTTTAAATTAAATTTTACCTTTATTTAACTAGGCAAGTCAGTTAAGAACAAATTCTTATTTACAATGACGGCCTACACCGGCCAAACCCGGACGACGCTGGGCCAATTGTTTGCTTTTAAGAAGATCACTTTATTCATCAGTTATACACCAGGTCCAACTGGAATGTGACTTCTACTTTATCCCAACCCCTCCGAAAGACACACATACAGGTTGGAGATGTTGGAGCAGGGGGCTGCTTTATCCCAACAACCCCTCATAAATACAATACATATACTACATGGAGAGGTTGGAGCAGGGGGCTGCCACACGGCACCGTGGAGCAGTTGTTTTGGGGTGTTAAGTGCGCAACGGCAGGCCATGGTATCTAGGATTTGATTCAAGTAACCCTCCGGTTGCCAGCTCACTTCCGGACAGATTTTTCCTGTCAGACCCGGGATTCGAACTGACAACCCTCCGGTTGCTGTCTCGCCTCTCTAACTACTAGGCTATCGGCATTCATTTACATTTTTTAACTGTAAAATGTGTTGCGATCAATTTTGATTTAGATTTTGATGGTTGAGTTAATGCTGTGTGTTGTCAACAGAAGACGACTGCCGTGGCTTTGCCTGGCTGCCTGGATGAGAGGGGTTCAGACTCAGTGCTGGATGTGCCTGGCTGCCTGGATGAGAGGGGTTCAGACTCAGTGCTGGCTGTGCCTGGCTGCCTGGATGAGAGGGGTTCAGACTCAGTGGAACATGCCAGGAACTGTCTCCAGTGGCAGATGAACCTCCTCACTCACATAGAAGATGTTCAGAACCAGGTGGCAGGCAGAATGGACCTCATAGAGAAGGAGCTTGATGGTAAATGGGGTGGCCTGGGTGGTCTAGAGAAGGAGCTTGGTGGTAAATGGGGTGGTCTAGAGAAGGAGCTTGATGGTACATGGGGTGGCCTGGGTGGTCTAGAGAAGGAGCTTGGTGGTAAATGGGGTGGTCTAGAGAAGGAGCTTGACGGTAAATGGGGTGGTCTGTCCTATCCAATAAATACTGTCCTATCCAATAAACTAATAATACACTGTCCTATCCAATAAACTAATAATACACTGTCCTAGCCAATAAACTAATAATACACTGTCCTAGCCAATAAACTAATAATACACTGTCCTAGCCAATAAACTAATAATACACTGTCCTAGCCAATAAACTAATAATACACTGTCCTATCTATAAACTAATAATACACTGTCCTATCCAATAAACGAATAATACACTGTCCTATCCTATAAACTAAGAATACACTGTCCTATCCAATAAACTAATAATACACTGTCCTATCCTATAAACTAATAATACACTGTCCTATCCAATAAACTAATAATACACTGTCCTATCCTATAAACTAATAATACACTGTCCTATCCAATAAACTAATAATACACTGTCCTATCCAATAAACTAATAATACACTGTCCTAGCCAATAAACTAATAATACACTGTCCTAGCCAATAAACTAATAATACACTGTCCTAGCCAATAAACTAATAATACACTGTCCTATCCTATAAACTAATAATACACTGTCCTATCTATAAACTAATAATACACTGTCCTATCCAATAAACTAATAATACACTGTCCTATCCTATAAACTAAGAATACACTGTCCTATCAATAAACTAAGAATACACTGTCCTATCCAATAAACTAATAATACACTGTCCTATCTATAAACTAATAATACACTGTCCTAGCCAATAAACTAATAATACACTGTCCTAGCCAATAAACGAATAATACACTGTCCTAGCCAATAAACTAATAATACACTGTCCTATCCAATAAACGAATAATACACTGTCCTAGCCAATAAACTAATAATACACTGTCCTATCAATAAACTAAGAATACACTGTCCTATCTATAAACTAATAATACACTGTCGTATCAATTAACTAATAATACACTGTCCTATCCAATAAACTAATAATACACTGTCCTATCTATAAACTAATAATACACTGTCCTATCCTATAAACTAAGAATACACTGTCCTATCAATAAACTAAGAATACACTGTCCTATCAATAAACTAAGAATACACTGTCCTATCCAATAAACTAAGAATACACTGTCCTAGCTTATAAACTAATAATACACTGTCCTAGCTTATAAACTAAGAATACACTGTCCTATCAATAAACTAAGAATACACTGTCCTATCCAATAAACTAATAATACACTGTCCTAGCTTATAAACTAATAATACACTGTCCTATCTATAAACTAAGAATACACTGTCCTAGCCAATAAACTAATAATACACTGTCCTATCTATAAACTAATAATACACTGTCCTATCCAATAAACTAATAATACACTGTCCTATCCAATAAACTAATAATACACTGTCCTATCCGATAAACTAATAATACACTGTCCTATCCTATAAACGAATAATACACTGTCCTATCCTATAAACGAATAATACACTGTCCTATCTATAAACGAATAATACCAATGGAGTGGGAGGGAATGACTCTGTTGTAAATGAAGAAGGAACTAACTCGTTCTTACCTTATTAGATCCTAACCGTCTCTCTCTCTCTACGTCCCTCAGTGTTGGAGAGCTGGCTGGATTTCACTGGGGAGTTGGAGCCTCCGGACCCCCTGGCCAGACTGCCTCAGCTTAAACACCGCATCAAGCAGCTCCTCACAGACCTGAGCAAGGTGCAACAGATGAGCACCCTGTGTTCTGTGTGAGTTTGTGTTAGCCAGAGTCTGGCCTGGGTCTGGCCTGAGTCTGGTCTGGCCTGGGTTAGCATGGCAACAGCACTAGGCACCTGGTGGCATCACAGCACTGCACATAGGAGAGTCCTATCCAAACCCAGGGTGTACCCACTACCCGCTGACATAGACAGACAGAACCCCCTCCTCTCTCTGTGGAGCCGAAGCACACCGTCTGCTGTGGGCCATAAACTGTCAAACTGAGCACACCTTCTCCTCCTAGACTGACTGGGGGAGTGATGCTTTAGTTGGCTCAATACAAGGGGAATGAATGAATGTATAGAGATCAACAGGAAAGAGATGAGTCCAGTGGACTCTTGGTATTAGAAAGAAGAGTGTTTTGAGTTGGAGTAACTGAAAAGTCTGAGTTGACGAAATGGGACTTCTGGATTAAAGGTAAAAGTTGAATACAGTGTTAGCCTGTAGGGCCCAGGACGTTTGTCATTTTAACTAAGACTCCCTGTTATGAAGTTACCACAACGTTTTCAAAAGAGGAATTGTTATTTTCATAACCAGAAGTGAGGTTTGAACACATACTTCAATTAGATTATCAAAATGCAATGAGATCACCTCATCATGGTCCCTTCCCAAATAGAACCCTATTCCCTTTATAGTGCACTACTTTTGACTGTAGTGCACTACAGTATGTAGGGAATATAGGATGCCATTTGGGAAGTATCCCATCACTCTTTTGCCTCAGTAGGAGCAGAGCTGTAGAAGCCTTGCTTGTGCAATATGAGTTAATGCGAAACTAAGTCACCAAGGTGAATGTTAGATGATATTATAGCAAGCTTTAACCTGCCAGAAATCTGTTCTGTTTGTAAGCGTGGTCTGAAACTTGCTTGAGATGTTTTAAAATGTCAAGTTCCTCCTCAAATTCACGCTTTCATTCGATTATTTGATTAAGAAAACAGTGCTAACATCAGTCATTTAGCTACTGCATTCTGAGTTAATTTCTGAATCTAATGCCACATTTTACCATCATTAACTAAATGGTGTTTCATTCTCTAATGTGCCAAGTGTAAAAGTATGACCCACCAAGTTTACAATGTTATCATTCTCACTGATTCAACATGGGAGAAGATCATGGGTATATTTGACTGGTGTATATAATATACCCATCCACAGACATAAGACTGTGTCTTCAGGATATCTCCATGACAACCACAAAATGGCCTTGATGTCATGGGACACCTGTGGCACATTGTCTCTGAGTCTGTCCCAAATGGCACCCTATTCCCTATGTAGTGCACTACTTTTGACTAGAGCTCTATGGACCCTGTTCAAAAGTAGTGCACTATATGGAATAGGGTGCCATTTGGGACGCACCTTCTGTCTGTGGTGTTCTGATGCTTTCAGTACGTCGCCAGTATGGGTCCCACGTCACATTAACACGACAAAGTCTTCTGACTAAGTGGACACGTTTGAGTTGTACCACAGTAAGCTAATTGCCAGCTGTAAATGTGTATAAAAAGCAATGTGTTGATTGCTGTTATTGGTCATTTATGTACAGTTTTTTAATAACTGTAAAAATGAGGAAACATCTATAGAAGGCATAAGAGGACAAAATATACTTGAAGAAAAATGCCTATGTTTATTTAGTATTTCTATTAACCTGTATAAAAAGTGTTTTAGAACCAGCCGGTAGGGTATAAAACAAGGTAAATTTTTATTGACATATACCAGCTGTACATTAAGAGTTTATTTAAGACCTGTTCTTTATGTGATTTACTACATCTACAACGCCATTAAAAAAGATATTCTGGATATTTTATATCTCGTCTTACCATTATTATTTGAAATGATATATAATATATATATATTACCAACTTGGTGTGTGTTATACTCTTACACATTGTTGTTAAATTGTGTTGTGTGTTGCTGGACTTCTCCATGTTTTATGTCATTTGACCTCAGAAACCTGTCATCCGTTGGGTCTTGAAAGAGCATCGTCCTGAAGGTACAAGTCATGTTCACCTGGATCCTATTTATTAGTGTAAACCGTATAAAAAATGTGCAACATAAACAAGAGTTTCTTATTGGACAAATTCAGATAGTCTCTCCCCATTTTGGTCCGTTTGGTTTCTAGGGAATACATCACAGGTCAAGTCTTGCATGACCAACTCCTCCCTTCTGATGGCCCTCTGAGTCTCAGGCATGGCTGCTCCCACTAGAATGTTCCAGAACTTCCATTGTTCCAAACACACCTGAGTGTTCCATGTTTGGAGAGTGAAGATCACGTGCGTCACACACTCCGTCCTGAGTGCGGTGACTACCTAGGGAGGATGACAATGCAGATAGCACTGATGGTATAAGTCCAGAGCTTTAGTCCCAGTCTCATCACAGTTCAACTGACAGACAGAAGGAGGTGAGAAGATGAGGCTGGTTCAGATCTCCTCCATACTGCTGTGCTGCCTCTGTCTGTCTGAGGGGAAGATTTCAGGTAACACCTTCGGCTCTTAGTTTATCTTGGGTTTTTGAATATTCCAAAGTTATTTAAACCTCTTACTTATGATGATGCTTTTTCCATGATGATGATGATGGTGGTAGTATTTATTTCTATTTGAAATTCTACCATTATTTGTATTTTGTATGTACTATATATATGCAAAACTATCAAAACCGTCATAGGATGCCACCTTTCCAACAAGTCCGCTCATCAAATTTCTGCCCTGCTAGAGCTTCCCCGGTCAACTGTAAGTGCTGTTATTGTGATGTGGAAGAAACAACGGCTCAGCTGCGAAGTGGTAGGCCACACAAGCTCACAGAATGGGACCGCCGAGTGCTGAAGCGCGTAAAAATCGTCTGTCCTCGGTTGCAACACTCACTACCGAGTTCCAAACTGCCTGTGGAAGCAACATCAGCACAATAACTGTTCGTTGGGAGTTGAATGAAATTTGTTTTCATGGCCGAGCAGCCGCACACAAGCCTAAGATCGCAATGCCAAGCCACGGCTGGAGTGGTGTAAAGCTCGCTGCCATTGGACTCTGGAGCAGTGGAAACGCGTTCTCTGGAGTGATGAATCATGCTGCTTCACCATCTGGCAGTCCAACAGACTAATCTGGGTTTGGTGGATGCCAGGAGAACGCTTCCTGCCCCAATGCATAGAGCCAACTGTAAAGTTTTTGATGGTGGAGGAATAATGGTCTGGGGCTGTTTTTCATGGTTCAGGCTAGGCCCCTTAGTTCCAGTGAAGGGAAATCTTAACGCTACAGCATACAATGACATTCTAGACGATTCTGTGCTTCCAACTTTGTGGCAACAGTTTGGGGAAGGCCCTTTCCTGTTTCAGCATGACAATGCCTCCGTGCACAAGGCGAGGTCCATACAGAAATGGTTTGTCGAGATCGGTGTGGAAGAACTTGACTGGCCTGCACAGAGCCCTGACCTCAACCCCATCGAACACCTTTGGGATGAATTGGAACGCCGACCGTGAGCCAGGCATAATCGCCCAACATCAGTGCCCGACCTCACTAATGCTCTTGTGGCTGAATGGAAGCAAGTCCCCGCAGCAATGTTCCAACATCTAGTGGAAAGCCTTCCCAGAAGAGTGGAGGCTGTTATAACAGCAAAGGGGGGACCAACTCCATATTAATGCCCATGAGTTTGGAATGAGATGTTCGACGAGCAGGATGTTCACATACTTTTTGTCATGTAATGTATTCATTCTAGCCTACTGTTTTTATGTTTTCTGTCTGTTTCCTATGTGTGTGAGCCACATGCCTGTAAGCCGAAGAAAAATGTCCATTCCCAACAAGTTTTGAACTTTAAATTGAGTTTGCTGCTGTTTTCAGAATACCAGCTGGAGTCTGAGACCCTGAGTCAGTGTGAGTCGCTACGTGGTGTTAGTTCTGCCCTGCAACAAAACCATGTCCCCCAGTGCTCAGAGGATGGGAGGTTCAGGTACCTGACATCGCTGTATATGACACATGGTAGTTTGAAGTGGAAAGCTAGCCAGGACAGTAAACAAACAATTTTCCTGTATTCGTCCCAAATGACACCCTATTCCCAATCCCTATATAGTGCACTACTTGCCTAAGGCTCCGGTCAAAAGTAGTGCACTATGCAGGGAATATGGTGCCATTTGGGATGCGACCATTGTTCCCTACTGTCTTCTAATTGTTGTTGTGTACTCCAGACACGTCCAGTGCAGTAGTGGTGGTGGTGAGTGCTGGTGTGTGAACGCTGAGGGAGCTGAGATCTCTGGAACCAGACAGAACGGATCAGCTGTGTACTGTGAGCAGAACGCCTCTCTTCCTATAAATATCTCTCTCAACATGAAACCACATTGGTGCTAGACGGGATTAATTCCCCTCTGGGAACCCTAGCCAGGCTCAATGTGGAACACTAGAAGACCTTCTGAGATGTAAATGCAGTCTATCACCATCATTGTCCTCCTCTTCCTCCTCCTCCTCCTCTTCCCACAGGTCTGACGTCCTGCCAGCTCCACAGACAGCAGGCCCTGCTGAGTGGCGATGCCTCCCTGGTGCCCCAGTGCCAGGCCTCTGGGGACTACCAGGCTGTGCAGTGTGACAGCGCCCAGGGACAGTGCTGGTGTGTAGACCTGGAGGGCATGGAGATCTACGGGACCCGGCAGAACGGAAAGCCCTCTCAATGTGAGTTAGTTATGAGCATGATGATTTGTGTTGTACAGTGGGGAAAAAAAGTATTTAGTCAGCCAGTGAGAGGCCTGTAATTTTCATCATAGGTACACGTCAACTATGACAGACAAATTGAGAAAAAAATATCCAGAAAATCACATTGTAGGATTTTTAATGAATTTATTTGCAAATTATGGTGGAAAATAAGTATTTGGTCACCTACAAACAAGCAAGATTTCTGGCTCTCACAGACCTGTAACTTCTTCTTTAAGAGGCTCCTCTGTCCTCCACTCGTTACCTGTATTAATGGCACCTGTTTGAACTTGTTATCAGTATAAAAGACACCTGTCCACAACCTCAAACAGTCACACTCCAAACTCCACTATGGCCAAGACCAAAGAGCTGTCAAAGGACACCAGAAACAAAATTGTAGACCTGCACCAGGCTGGGAAGACTGAATCTGCAATAGGTAAGCAGCTTGGTTTGAAGAAATCAACTGTGGGAGCAATTATTAGGAAATGGAAGACATACAAGACCACTGATAATCTCCCTCGATCTGGGGCTCCACGCAAGATCTCACCCCGTGGGGTCAAAATGATCACAAGAACGGTGAGCAAAAATCCCAGAACCACACGGGGGGACCTAGTGAATGACCTGCAGAGAGCTGGGACCAAAGTAACAAAGCCTACCATCAGTAACACACTACGCCGCCAGGGAATCAAATCCTGCAGTGCGAGACGTGTCCCCCTGCTTAAGCCAGTACATGTCCAGGCCCGTCTGACGTTTGCTAGAGTGCATTTGGATGATCCAGAAGAGGATTGGGAGAATGTCATATGGTCAGATGAAACCAAAATATAACTTTTTGGTAAAAACTCAACTCGTCGTGTTTGGAGGACAAAGAATGCTGAGTTGCATCCAAAGAACACCATACCTACTGTGAAGCATGGGGGTGGAAACATCATGCTTTGGGGCTGTTTTTCTGCAAAGGGACCAGGACGACTGATCCGTGTAAAGGAAAGAATGAATGGGGTCATGTATCGTGAGATTTTGAGTGAAAACCTCCTTCCATCAGCAAGGGCATTGAAGATGAAACGTGGCTGGGTCTTTCAGCATGACAATGATCCCAAACACACCGCCCGGGCAACGAAGGAGTGGCTTCGTAAGAAGCATTTCAAGGTCCTGGAGTGGCCTAGCCAGTCTCCAGATCTCAACCCCATAGAAAATCTTTGGAAGGAGTTGAAAGTCCGTGTTGCCCAGCGACAGCCCCAAAACATCACTGCTCTAGAGGAGATCTGCATGGAGGAATGGGCCAAAATACCAGCAACAGTGTGTGAAAACCTTGTGAAGACTTACAGAAAACGTTTGACCTGTGTCATTGCCAACAAAGGGTATATAACAAAGTATTGAGAAACTTTAGTTATTGACCAAATACTTATTTTCCACCATAATTTGCAAATAAATTCATTAAAAATCCTACAATGTGATTTTCTGGAGAAAAAAAATCTCATTTTGTCTGTCATAGTTGACGTGTACCTATGATGAAAATTACAGGCCTCTCTCATCTTTTTAAGTGGGAGAACTTGCACAATTGGTGGCTGACTAAATACTTTTTTTCCCCACTGTATATTGATATGTCATTTAGCAGACGCTTTTATCAGAAGCGACTTACAGTAGTGGGTGCATACATTTTCATATGGGTGGCCCCAGCGGGAATCGAACCCACAATCCTGACGTTGCAAGTGCCATGCTCTATCAACTACACACAGCACAGTAATATATAAATGACTAGAACTGATCAGAACAACCTTTGACCTCAGGCCCAGGCACCTGTGAGGTGAGGTCGAGGCGTCTCCTCCACGGCATCGGGGAGCGCTCCCCCCCTCAGTGCTCGGCCGACGGCTCCTTCCTGTCCGTGCAGTGCAAGTTTGTCAACACCACTGACAGGATGGTCTTGGACCTGCTGCACACTTTCAACAGGTGAGTGTCTGGGAGGGAAATATATGCACTCTAAGTTTGCGCCCCAAATGGCACCCTATTCCATATGTATAGTGCACTACTTTTGACCAGGGTCCATAGGGATCTTGTCAAAAGTAGTGCACTATATCAGGGGAATAGGGTGCCATTTGAGACGCTGACATTAACTGTAAGACCGTTGGAATCTCATCCTTCAGTTTATGTTGAAGGTGTGAGACCTAGCCCTCAATCACTCACTCACACAAACACACTGCTGGGGTTTACTTTGACCTGGCTGCCTATTGGCATCCTGTGTGTGAGTGAGACAGGTTTTGAACAAAGCAATTTCTAGTATCTGCCTCTAGATGGCAGCTGAGCGTAATGCTTAGGCCTGTGGACAGGATTTAGACCGATGACGAGCTGGCAGGAGAACTGGGAGACCAAATTCACTTTATTTTCCCTCCTCGCTCTACATTTCTAACCTGGTGTTATCCTATTCTTGTGTATGGTAACTGGAATGTGTTATGAAAAATGGAGATGCTTGGTCTCTAGGGAACTTATTGTAAAATGCAGAATTCACACATTCATTAGAAATGTTTCACAGTGTCTAAAGTAAACAATGTAGTCATTCCAGATGTTTCAGATAATAATAATAATAATCCACCAATATGTAAACTTTTCATCTGGAATGTGGGTTTGGACAAATAGTTTTCACTCCTTCTGTTTAGTTAGCGCAGCTGCAACAATTCCAACACTTACTACAGAGGCCTACACAAAAATGTATACTTTCAGACCTTGAATTATACTTTTATAATAATAATTTTGTCTTGTGTCTATTTCTGGCTAGCAGATGTTTTGACATCCATCTCTAGGCAACAAATGGCACCATATTCCCTGCTTAGTGCGTGCATGCCCGTGTCTGTCTGTGCGTGTATGGGCAGGGTTCCAAGTTGACCCGGCTTGTGCAGTGAACTCTTTGCATGATCGGCCCCCAGCCTGGCCAAGACTGTCTCTGTTATCACTCCTGTCTCCAGCCAAGTACAGCCAAGGGGTCAAGAGTTAAGTTGTTCCCGGTCCTCTAAAACCACTCAAAACTGGTCTTAACTGCCAGCCAGCCAGCAGGCATTTATCAAATGACTCCAAGATCAAAACCTTTTTATATTGACAAATACACTGAAGGGATGATGGCGATGACTTAGTACATGAGCAATGTAGATTTCTGGGGCTTACTTTTACAATCAAGGCAGGCACTCTTGGAGAGAGTATTGCATGTGGATCAATGTTGAAAGTTAAAGTAACACTGTCCGTCTTTGTGGAAGAGCTAACAACTGTTTGCAACTTGAATCAGTTTGTCATCTACATTTACTGTGTATTATAGTATTATAATTAGTATTATAATTAGTATTATAGTGTTATAGTATTATAATTAGTATTATAGTGTACAGTCATGTATTTTACTGTTCTAGTAGCCTATTTTAGACAGTGAAGTGACAAGATGTGTGATATCTTCCACAGGTTCCCTAAAGTATTCCAGACGTTCAGCAGCTTCAGACAGATGTTCCCTGAGGTGTCCAGTTACTGTTTCTGTGCTGACAGCAGAGGCAGGGAGCTCCCCAGCACAGGTGAGAGATACTACATCAGCAGGTGACATATACACACACACACACACACTACATTACTTACAATAACTCTTAACTGGATTTTCATCAGGAATCAGAAATATATATTTTTAAATAACAGTGCTATTAAACAGTGTGTGGAAGTAAAATCATTGTTTCCCCGTGTTCAGGTGTGGAGCTGCTGCTAGATGAGGTGTATGACACAGCCTTCTCAGGTCTGGAGCCAGGCCGCTCCTTCTCCCAGACCAACATGTACCGCATCCTACAGAGGAGATTCCTGGCCATCCAGCTGGCTGTGAGTGGCAGGTTCAGATGTAAGTTAGTTTCCACCATCAATCTGACATTATTTCCGTCAGTGGTGATTGGTGGCACTTTAATTTGTAGGACGGGCTCATAGCAATGGCTGGAACAGAATTTAATTCCTGCTATTATTAGCAGCAGTCCTCCCCTAACCAGTCCTCCTCTGGTTTCCATTGTATTTAATTGTCCCTCTCTCCCTCTGTCTGTCATGGAGGCCCCAGCCCTTGTGAGAGCGAGTCATCCGCTGATGCCCAAGCTGGCAATGTGTATGTGCCATCCTGTGATGCCAATGGTGGTTACGTGCCAACCCAGTGCCAGGCGAGTGGGCAGTGCTGGTGTGTGGACCCCACAGGGAAGGAGATCTTTGGGACACGACAACATGGAGGATCCCCTGACTGTGGTAACTAAGTAACCATTTTGTTGGATTCAAATAATGCTTTGACCATAAAGGGGTTCCAAACCAACAATACAATACCATTGACTGTGCAGATAGAGTGCACACCTCAAGAATGTCCTGCTGAATAAAAGTCTTATCTGCCTCGTTTTGTAGTTTCATTTCAGTCAATTTGATCTGCCTTTGGTTATCATGCTGTACACAGAAGACATTAAATAACAACAGTCAATATGTCCATAAAATTGTAGGCCTACATAAAATGTATAGGAACATGGCGTTTTTCCTCTACTGAACCCAGGTGCTGGAGTGAAGGACTGTCCCTCTGAGCGTCGCCAGGCCCTCTCCAGGCTCCTCTCTAGCCCCACAGGTCAGGTGACCTCAGCCCAGGACTCACAGACACACCCAGGCCCCCTGTCTCCCTGCAGCCCCCAACTCCAACAGCTCCTGCTGGGGTCTCTTACAGAGTCCCTTTCCGAGCGATCCGATGTAGGAGACATCCTGGCTGAGATGATCCAGGGGATGTTCCCTAGCGGGGCCATGGCCCTCAAGGCCCTAGCTCTGTCCTCCAACCCCAAGAGACTCCAGGAGAACCTGTTCGGAGGAAAGTTCTTAGAAAACGCTGGGATGTTCAACTTCACTGGGGCCGTCGGGGCCAGCGGCACGTTGAGTTTCAGTCAAGCCAGTCTGAAAAACAACCAAGATCTAGTTAAGCTCGTCAGCACCACCCTAGAAAACAAAGTCTTCCTCTCCGCCCTACGCCAAACCGTCCTCTTATCCAAAGCCGAGGACAGCACCCAGCTAGGTTAGTTTTTAAATGAATGCTTTTAAGTGCTGTCCTCTGGGGATCCAATGCACATCTTACTGTATTAGTTGTTTTCTACCCAAATAAATTAAAATAAATGAAATTCAATAGGTGAGCTCTTCAGGGTCCTGTTTGAGAGCGCCCAGTCCAGCAGCGGTGGTTGTGAGAGGGACCCCTCTGCCCTGTACGTGCCCAGCTGTGATGACAACGGACAGTATCAGGAGATCCAGTGCCAAGGCTCAGAGTGTTGGTGTGTTGACCCCCAGGGTCAGGAGGTCACAGGGTCACGCTCCAAAGGTCAAAGGCCAAGGTGTCCGTCACGATGCGAGAGGGAGCGAGCGGCTGCCCAGAAGGTAATTACTTTATGACACTCCCCCAGCACGTCTGTAAATAACTACCGTACTGACTCTTCTCTCTGTGTTGTATTTTAAATAACTACCGTACTGACTCTTCTCTCTGTGTTGTATTTTAAATAACTACCGTACTGGCTCTTCTCTCTGTGTTGTATTGTAAATAACTACCGTACTGACTCTTCTCTCTGTGTTGTATTGTAAATAACTACCGTACTGACTCTTCTCTCTGTGTTGTATTGTAAATAACTACCGTACTGACTCTTCTCTCTGTGTTGTATTGTAAATAACTACCGTACTGACTCTTCTCTCTGTGTTGTATTGTAAATAACTACCGTACTGACTCTTCTCTCTGTGCTGTATTGTACTTACTGTGTGTTTTTGTATTGTATCTTTATTGAATACTTTACATTTTTGTTACGCTGTTTGTGCAGAGAGCTTGAGAGTAAGCGTTTCATTGTACTGTACTGTGTAAACCTACGATATGCAAATAAACTGATTTGATTTGAAGGTGAAGTCAGGCCAGGCTGCGGGGGTACAGGTGTTCATGCCGAAGTGTGCGGAGGACGGGAGCTACGTGGCGTTGCAGTGTCTGGGAAAGAGTTGCTTCTGTCTGGACCTCCTGGGAGAGCGACACGCCACTATCCCTGTAGGACAGACTGTTCAGTGTGAGTTGGCAGATCCACCGCTCATCAGACACAGAGTTAGCGTAGTCCTGGACTAAAAAGCATTTCCATGGAGATTGAAATTGCTTCTTAGTTCAAGACCAGGTTTAATCTGTGTCCGGTAAACTGGCCCATAGTGTACAGTCCATCTAGCTGTATTACCTTGTCCTGGTCCAAACTACTACATTATTAAGGTGTAAGGGTGCCCTGGTCCAAACTACTACATTATTAAGGTGTAAGGGTGCCCTGGTCCAAACTGCTACATTATTAAGGTGTAAGGGTGCCCTGGTCCAAACTGCTACATTATTAAGGTGTTAGGGTGCCCTGGTCCAAACTGCTACATTATTAAGGTGTTAGGGTGCCCCGGTCCAAACTACTACATTATTAAGGTGTTAGGATGTCCTGGTCCAAACTGCTACATTATTAAGGTGTTAGGGTGCCCTGGTCCAAACTGCTACATTATTAAGGTGTTAGGGTGCCCTGGTCCAAACTGCTACATTATTAAGGTGTTAGGGTGCCCTGGTCCAAACTGCTACATTATTAAGGTGTTAGGGTGCCCTGGTCCAAACCGCTACATTATTAAGGTGTTAAGGTGCCCTGGTCCAAACTGCTACATTATTAAGGTGTAAGGGTGCCCTGGTCCAAACTGCTACATTATTAAGGTGTTAGGGTGCCCTGGTCCAAACTGCTACATTATTAAGGTGTTAGGATGTCCTGGTCCAAACTGCTACATTATTAAGGTGTTAGGGTGCCCTGGTCCAAACTGCTACATTATTAAGGTGTTAGGGTGCCCTGGTCCAAACTGCTACATTATTAAGGTGTTAGGGTGCCCTGGTCCAAACTGCTACATTATTAAGGTGTTAGGGTGCCCTGGTCCAAACTGCTACATTATTAAGGTGTTAGGGTGCCCTGGTCCAAACTGCTACATTATTAAGGTGTTAAGGTGCCCTGGTCCAAACTGCTACATTATTAAGGTGTTAGGGTGCCCTGGTCTAAACTACTGCATTGTTAAGGGGGTAGGGTGCCATTTGAGACGTAATAATTGTTTTAGCTATTCCTCTGTCTCCAGGTCCTTCCCCTCTCTCTCCCCTTCCCTCCCCAGGGCCAGCTCCAGGCTCCTGTTCCCTGGCGGTGGCTGAGGTGGACCAGTTCCAGGAGGAGGCTAAGCGTCTGGTCCTCCTCTCCAACAGCTCCCACGTCCCTCTGGGCTACAGGTAACCCTGAAGAAGACACAGTGTGCTGAGACCTGGGTGTTTACCCATCACATTATTGAACCATGTATAGAGTGTGACTATCTTTATTTATTATTATAATAATACTACATTTGTATTTAAAGCGCCTTACATTTAAAATAAATAAATAAATAAGGACACTGTTTTCTACTGGATGTTCTCCTCTGGGGTACAGCTACCTGCTGGCTGAAGGCCTTCGTCTGACCTCTGACGAGCTACTGCACGCCCTCTCCTCCTCCGACCAGACCATGCTGCTCTCTGATAGGCTGCTGAGCCACTCCCACTCTGCTCTACGACTGGCTGCCCACTCCAGTATGTTTGGTGTGATGTCATATCCTCTGGATATGATGTCATATCCTTCTCTGCGTGATGTGTTCCATTACTTGTTTCTTTCCATGCCAAGAGTTAACTACGAAAGAGTGTTAGATGGCTACTGTTGTAATATTTAGTGTCATCTCAACGTCATAGTTTCTCTATGTGATTACTTTGTTTTGTTGTATTTTCTCCCCAGCCCTGCAGTTCTATTGGCAGAGCCAGCAGGCAGCATCTGTGAAGGAGAGACAGTCTCTACTGCTGGGCTACCAGCCCTACAGGCCCCAGTGTGATGCCCACAGACAGTGGCTGCCCACCCAGTGCCACCCCAGCACAGGTCAGAGTCACACCTCCAACTTCCAACCCAGCTCTGCATTGTAACTGTAGTAGTGGTGGTAGTGTAATACAGGCCTCAGTACAGGTCATTATACCTTCTCCAGACCCTTCTAGAAGGAGACCTCTCTTAATCAGCAGCGTCTCATTGTTTCTTCACTCATAATATGTTGGTTGGAAACAGATAAGACAAATGAAGTAGCTACAGTAGTGTTGTATTGACTGTGTTGGTAATGTAGCTTCTGTAGTGTTGTATTGACTGTGTTGGTAATGTAGCTTCTGTAGTGTTGTATTGACTGTGTTGGTAATGTAGCTTCTGTAGTGTTGTATTGACTGTGTTGGTAATGTAGCTTCTGTAGTGTTGTATTGACTGTGTTGGTAATGTAGCTACAGTAGTGTTGTATTGACTGAGTTGGTAATGTAGCTACAGTACTGTTGTATTGACTGAGTTGGAACTGTAGCTACAGTACTGTTGTATTGACTGTGTTGGTAATGTAGCTACAGTAGTGTTATATTGACTGAGTTGGTAATGTAGCTTCTGTAGTGTTGTATTGACTGAGTTGGTAATGTAGCTACAGTACTGTTGTATTGACTGAGTTGGAACTGTAGCTACAGTACTGTTGTATTGACTGTGTTGGTAATGTAGCTACAGTAGTGTTATATTGACTGAGTTGGTAATGTAGCTTCTGTAGTGTTGTATTGACTGTGTTGGTAATGTAGCTACAGTAGTATTATATTGACTGAGTTGGTAATGTAGCTTCTGTAGTGTTGTATTGACTGTGTTGGTAATGTAGCTACAGTAGTATTATATTGACTGTGTTGGAACTGTAGCTACAGTAGTATTATATTGAATGTGTTGGAACTGTAGCTTCTGTAGTGTTGTATTGACTGAGTTGGTAATGTAGCTACAGTAGTATTATATTGACTGAGTTGGTAATGTAGCTTCTGTAGTGTTGTATTGACTGAGTTGGTAATGTAGCTACAGTAGTATTATATTGACTGAGTTGGTAATGTAGCTACAGTAGTATTATATTGACTGAGTTGGTAATGTAGCTTCTGTAGTGTTGTATTGACTGTGTTGGTAATGTAGCTACAGTAGGATTATATTGACTGTGTTGGAACTGTAGCTACAGTACTGTTGTATTGACTGTGTTGGAACTGTAGCTACAGTAGTGTTGTATTGACTGTGTTGGAACTGTAGCTACAGTAGTGTTGTATTGACTGTGTTGGAACTGTAGCTACAGTAGTGTTGTATTGACTGTGTTGGAACTGTAGCTAAGTAGTGTTGTATTGACTGAGTTGGTAATGTAGCTATATTACTGTTATATTGACTGAGTTGGTAATGTAGCTACAGTAGTGTTGTATTGACTGTGTTGGTAATGTAGCTACAGTACTGTTGTATTGACTGAGTTGGTAATGTAGCTACAGTAGTGTTGTATTGACTGTGTTGGTAATGTAGCTACAGTACTGTTGTATTGACTGAGTTGGTAATGTAGCTACAGTAGTGTTGTATTGACTGTGTTGGAACTGTCTGCAGGTCATTGCTGGTGTGTGGATGGGGAAGGAGGATATATCCCAGGATCCCTGACCAGTCGCTCCCTGCAGAGACCACAGTGTAAGACAGGACATTTTATAGTTTCTCACTGACTTTCATTTTTCTGTATGTAAGGATAGCCCTCCTCCAATCTGCTTTTGTCAGTGTTGAATGATTTTAGTTGTTTTCTGGGAATCTCCTCTCCTCTTCCAGGCCAGACCCGGTGTCAGAGAGCTCAGGCTCAGGCTCTGCTCTCTGATTGGACACAGTCCTCCTACGACCCGACTTGTGAAGTGGTGAGAATCCTCTCCAGAATGTTGAGCATAAATATAATGAAATGATTTAGTTTTGTTCATAATTCTGCTCTGTCGTTATCCTCCTTGCTGTAACTTCTGTCTGTGTCTTTCAGAGGGATTGGTATAAAGCAGATTTCCTGTTTCTATTGGACAATAAAGTATTCTTCTATTCTTCTGTATCTACAGTATGTGTCCTTAGTAACAGTGGTTGTGGTGCTGTCTGTGTGTTTCCAGAGTGGCCAGTTCTCTGTGCTCCAGAAGGGGTCTTCAGGTGGAGGTGGAGCCCAGTGTGTCAGTCCTGTGTCTGGGGAAACCATCCAGCCTGCTACCCTGAGCCCAACTGGATACCTCACATGTACTGACATGTTTAATACACTCCACTTATAACAACCAACGCATATAAGAATCAATCACTTAGTGGTCCGTCAATTTTGGGACAGACATATTCATATACTTTACTTTTTAAGAAATATCATTTCATTTTATAACACATTGTATATCAAGTCCATCTGAAGGACTCAACTATTTCACATCTTGTTTGCTGTCTGCAATTTGCTAAATAAAAACGTTGAACATGTGAAAATAGAACGGTATTATTTTAAAACCCATCTCCCCCTCTGTCCCCCATGTGGCTCTCTAGGTCCTAGCTGGTGCCAGTTGTTAAAAGACAGCGGTCAGTCTGTGGTGGGTTATGAGCCGGCGTGCCAGGTGGATGGAAGGCTGTTCTCCCCGCTGCAGTGTGACCAGACAGACTGCTGGTGTGTGTCTCAGACAGACGGACAGGAGCTGCCTCAAACCAGGACCCCACGCAGCATGGGGAAGACCCCAGCCTGTGACAGTAAGTTTGGGGTAAATGTACTGGATGTTTAAAGATGGCTATAAGCGGGTTTTGTAAATACACTGTACATAAGCACACACACACACACAGGAAAGAGTTTAGTTGGCCCATAACAATATCCCATCTGTTACCAAAAGCTTATTCTAGCTGTACAAATAGAAAGACAAACACTTCATATAAAAAGTCACTATTTATTTACGCATCTCAGTAAAACTTTGTCTTCCGTCTATTTACCTGTATTCGCTCTGTCTCCAGGTCCCCAGTGTCCCTCTCCGTTCTCGGACATCATCGTTACCCACGGTGACGTGGTCTGTCGCTCTGACGTGATTGGTGGCCAGCAGAACTGTGACCTCATCTGTCACCTGGGTTACGAAAGCACCCTTCCTGTTAACATGCAGTTACTGTGTGACGTGGCGACCAGAGCCTGGGTGACAGAGGCCCCACTTCCTCAAGCCTGCCAGAGTAACTAACCACACACCACTTCAAACAAACCCCCCATATTCTGTCCGGCTGGCTCTCCCTCTCTCTGGCTCTGTAGAGTACAGATGTTTTATTATCCCTAAAATGCTATTTGTGTATATCTGTCTCTCTCTCTCTCCCTCTCTCTCTATCTGTCTCTCTCTATCTTACGTTCTCTCTCCCTCTCTCTTGTTCTCTCTCTCTCCGAGTGTATCTCTGGCTCTCTCTCAATTTCTGAATATTCAAACCGTATTGGGACTTCTGGTTTGCCTAGGAAATTCTCCCAAGCTTCCTGTTAAAAGCATATTAGAAGTAACTTGTGCCAAGCTTCACATGATCTAATTTAGCAGATGTGCATTTATCACAGTGTGTAGTCTAGCACAGAATGGCCAGACCTCCTGTCTGAAAAACAGGGTAATATGACGAATGCTCACTGGAGTTGACATGCAGACATAACAGTCATAGACTATCTAGTAGTGAAAATGTCCATCAAGGCTTTACATTTACATTTACGTCATTTAGCAGACGCTCTTATCCAGAGCGACTTACAAATAGGTGCATTCACCTTATAGCCAGTGGGATAACCACTTTACAATGTTATTTTAAAAAAAAAAATGGGGGGGGGGGGGGTGGGGGGTTGGATTAAAGGGGGGGGGGGGGGGGGGGGGGGGGGGGTAGAAGGATTCCTTTATCCTATCCCAGGTATTCCTTAAAGAGGTGGGGTTTCAAATGTCTCCGGAAGGTGGTGAGTGACTCCGCTGTCCTGGCGTCGTGAGGGAGCTTGTTCCACCATTGGGGTGCCAGAGCAGCGAACAGTTTTGACTGGGCTGAGCGGGAACTATGCTTCCGCAGAGGTAGGGGAGCCAGCAGGCCAGAGGTGGATGAACGCAGTGCCCTCGTTTGGGTGTAGGGACTGATCAGAGCCTGAAGGTACGGAGGTGCCGTCCCCTCACAGCTCCGTAGGCAAGCACCATGGTCTTGTAGCAGATGCGAGCTTCAACTGGAAGCCAGTGGAGTGTGCAGAGGAGCGGGGTGACGTGAGAGAACTTGGGAAGGTTGAGCACCAGACGGGCTGCGGCATTCTGGATGAGTTGTAGGGGTTTAATGGCACAGGCAGGGAGCCCAGCCAACAGCGAGTTGCAGTAATCCAGACGGGAGATGACAAGTGCCTGGATTAGGACCTGTGCCGCTTCCTGTGTAAGGCAGGGTCGTACTCTCCAAATGTTGTAGAGCATGAACCTACAGGATCGGGTCACCGCCTTGATGTTAGCGGAGAACGACAGGGTGTTGTCCAGGGTCACGCCAAGGCTCTTCGCACTCTGGGAGGAGGACACAACGGAGTTGTCAACCGTGATGGCGAGATCATGGAACGGGCAGTCCTTCCCCGGGAGGAAGAGCAGCTCCGTCTTGCCGAGGTTCAGCTTGAGGTGGTGATCCGTCATCCATACTGATATGTCTGCCAGACATGCAGAGATGCGATTCGCCACCTGGTTATCAGAAGGGGGAAAGGAGAAGATTAGTTGTGTGTCGTCAGCGTAGCAATGATAGGAGAGGCCATGTGAGGATATGACAGAGCCAAGTGACTTGGTGTATAGCGAGAATAGGAGAGGGCCTAGAACTGAGCCCTGGGGGACACCAGTGGTGAGAGCACGTGGTGCGGAGACAGCTTCTCGCCACGCCACTTGGTAGGAGCGACCGGTCAGGTAGGATGCAATCCAAGAGTGAGCCGCGCCGGAGATGCCCAGCTCGGAGAGGGTGGAGAGGAGGATCTGATGGTTCACAGTATCAAAGGCAGCAGACAGGTCTAGAAGGACAAGAGCAGAGGAGAGAGAGTTAGCTTTAGCAGTGCGGAGAGCCTCTGTGACACAGAGAAGAGCAGTCTCAGTTGAATGACCAGTCTTGAAACCTGACTGGTTTGGATCAAGAAGGTCATTCTGAGAGAGATAGCAAGAGAGTTGGCTAAAGATGGCACGCTCAATAGTTTTGGAGAGAAAAGAAAGAAGGGATACTGGTCTGTAGTTGTTGACATCGGAGGGATCGAGTGTTGGTTTTTGAGAAGGGGTGCAACTCTCGCTCTCTTGAAGACGGAAGGGACATAGCCAGCGGTCAAGGATGAGTTGATCAGCGAGGTGAGGTAAGGGAGAAGGTCACCGGAGATGGTCTGGAGAAGAGAGGAGGGGATAGGGTCAAGCGGGCAGGTTGTTGGGCGGCCTGCCGTCACAAGTCGCAAGATTTTATCTGGAGAGAGAGGGGAGAAAGAAGTCAAAGCATAGGGTAGGGCAGTGTGAGCAGGACCAGTAGTGTCATTTGACTTAACAAACGAGGATCGGATGTCGTCAACCTTCTTTTCAAAATGGTTGACGAAGTCATCCACAGAGAGGGAGGAGGGGGGGTGGGGATTCAGCAGGGAGGAGAATGTGGCAAAGAGCTTCCTAGGGTTAGAGGCGGATGCTTGGAATTTAGAGTGGTAGAAAGTGGCCTTAGCAGCAGAAACAGATGAAGAAAATGTAGAGAGGAGGGAGTGAAAAGATGCCAGGTCTGCAGGGAGTCTAGTTTTCTTCCATTTCCGCTCAGCTGCCCGGAGCTCTGTTCTGTGAGCTCGCAATGAGTCATCAAGCCACGGAGCTGGAGGGGAGGACCGAGCCGGCCGGGAGGATAGGGGACATAGAGAGTCAAAGGATGCAGAAAGGGAGGAGAGGAGGGTTGAGGAGGCAGAATCAGGAGATTGGAGGGAGAAGGATTGAGCAGAGGGAAGAGATGATAGGATGGAAGAGGAGAGAGTAGCGGGAGAGAGAGAGCGAAGGTTGCGACGGCGCATTACCATCTGTGTAGGGGCAGAGTGAGTAGTGTTGGAGGAGAGGGAGAGAGAAAAGGATACAAAGTAGTGGTCGGAGACTTGGAGGGGAGTTGCAGTGAGATTAGTAGAAGAACAGCATCTAGTAAAGATGAGGTCAAGCGTATTGCCTGCCTTGTGAGTAGGGGGGGACGGTGAGAGGGTGAGGTCAAAAGATGAGAGGAGTGGAAAGAAGGAGGCAGAGAGAAATGAGTCAAATGTAGACGTAGGGAGGTTGAAATCCCCCAGAACTGTGAGGGGTGAGCCATCCTCAGGAAAGGAACTTATCAAGGCGTCAAGCTCATTGATGAACTCTCCAAGGGAACCTGGAGGGCGATAGATGACAAGGATATTAAGCTTAAATGGGCTAGTGACTGTGACAGCATGTAATTCAAATGAGGAGATAGACAGATGGGTCAGGGGAATAATTGAGAATGTCCACTTGGGAGAGATGAGGATTCCTGTGCCACCACCCCGCTGACCAGATGCTCTCGGGGTATGCGAGAACACATGGTCAGACGAGGAGAGAGCAGCAGGAGTAGCAGTGTTTTCAGTGGTAATCCATGTTTCCGTCAGCGCCAAGAAGTCGAGGGACTGGAGGGTAGCATAGGCTGGGATGAAGTCTGCCTTGTTGGCAGCAGAACGGCAGTTCCAGAGGCTGCCTGAGACCTGGAACTCCACGTGGGTCGTGCGTGCAGGGACCACCAGGTTAGAGAGGCAGCAGCCACGCGGTGTGAGGCGTTTGTGTAGCCTGTGCGGAGAGGAGAGAACAGGGATAGGCAGAGGCATAGTTGACAGGCTGCAGCAGATGGCTACAATAATGCAGAGGAGATCGGAATAAAATGAACTAAACATCTGGGAAAGGAGAGAGCGGGGCCTCCCTCACCACAACTCCCAAATATAACTCTCCCAACTTCCACCTCAAACTATAATTGTTGTAAACTACAGCAGTTCAATGTTTTCTAGGAATAGACTAACCTAGTTTATTCAGCTAGCTAACTAGGTGCAGTATTATTCCACGTCCGGGCACCTCGTCATAAGACGCCACAGCCAACTAGCATGCCGGTCTCCAGCAGCAGGGTTTAGCGCCAATACTCAGCCACAACAACCACCAGTGTATCAACACACAAGCAGATCTTTCGTGTCCGTGTCTAACGTTGTGGGTTAGTCCCGACAGCTTGAGCGAGTCCGTCGTCAACTTATTCAGCCAGTTAGTTAGCTAGAATAGTTAGCAAACTAGCTAGCCATTGCTTTCAGACAAAGAAGAACCCCTCCTTTCACGGCACGAACACACAGAGAGAGCCAAACTAACGTTAACTAGTCACCCATGTCCCGAATTCCTTGAGCGACTCGGGCTATCAATATGTAAAAAACAAAACACAAGTGTAGGTTATGACTTACCCCTAGCAGCTACTGTTAGCTAGCCAAGTGCAAAGCTAGCCACTGAATTGACTCAGCCAGTTCGCGTCTGTTCGCTCGGTCGTTCCAGCTATTGTTTACAAGTAGCTATCCAGGTTGCAACAAGCTTGCTAATTTTCAAGCACAGTAGCCACTTGCTACCTAACGTTAACGGTTCAGACAATGAGGTTAGAAAACAGCTGAATGGTAGGCAGTTATTGTATGTAATTATTGTAGGCAGCCAGCTGGCGTAATTACAGGCACTCTCAGGCGTGAAACAACTATACCGTTGCTAATAGCTACTCGCCAGCTAGTCCAGGTGGTGAGTTAGCTAGCTAGCTAGCTTCGTGCTACACCCGGCACCGCCGAATACAATACGAACCTACAATAATTACATACAACAACTACCTACAACAACCCACGATACCTACCTACAATACCTAACTACAATCTAAATACATAGTTTAAGCCTTACTCGACAAAGCCCAAGCTATGTATAAAGCCAAACTTACCCGACGCCAAGCCTAGCTTACCCGACGACCTCCTCCCAGCTCAGCTAGACCTTCGACTCAGGGTTATATTTATCGTGACTTGGCTGATTTGAGTGTATGTTAAAGGGAAGTTGTTTTGGGTGTGCTCCCTCAGTGTTCGGTTGTTGCTCATGTCTGACTGTTTACGTCTCTCTTGGACTAATGATGCTTCACACTGTAATCAGTGCTGTGTACAGTTTGATGGAATCACTACGTGTGTGGGGCAGGGCTTTAGTGTCTAGACTTCATGATGTCATGTCTCTGCCTGTCTCTATGTGTCTGTGTTCCAGGACTTCAGGTGCTGCAGACCGTCCAGACCTCTGTGGTGCTCCAGCTCGCCCTGACTCCGGGTCAGGAACCCTGCAGATCCTCCCTTCACTCCAGCCTGCAGATCTCTCTGCTCCACGACATGAGGGCCAAGGGCCTCTGCAGCCTGCAGGTTGGTGTGTTTGTGTGTCTGTGAGTGTGTGTGTGTGTGTGTCCCAATGTCTGCCATCTACTGTTGCAATAACAGATAGTGAAAACCATGTGCAACTTGCTTTGAATGGAAAGGTGCCTGCAGGTCATATTCCAGTACCACAGAACCTGAACTAATGCAAAACATATGCTGTTAGAAAAAAACAAGTACGTTAACTATAGATTTATTCATAAGCACTATAAACCCTCTAGCAGATATACATGCATGATTGATTGATTTAATAATATGCACTGTATTGATTTGCATATGACAGTTTTATACTACAGCTAGTTGTCTATAGTTGGCTAAGTAAGCCTTGTCCGAGCCAGAACTGTAGCGCAAGGCAGCTTGGTGCACAAGTACACCCACTGGACAGGACGCTAGTTGGCTAGCTAAAGATGGAGGATCTTAATTTGAGCCAGTTTGCTACAGCAGGAAAATAGTCCTGCAGCAACAGGAAATATGAATTATTATGTGTATTATAATTAATGAGCATTTTTGTAGGTTTTGATATATTTTTCATAAGGGAAAATTAAGTCTGAAAGTGGAAATTTCAAACTTCAGAAGCCTTTTTAAACCTCAAATACTCTACACGTTTAAAATGTCCTGCATTGCAGGAAAGTTCTCCTGCAACAGGGAGATTCAATTAAGATCCTACATCTGTACAGGTTGGCTGACTACTGTGTCTCTCCTGTTCTAGCTGACCTTCAGCTCTGTGTCAGTGTGTGATGAGTCGTCTGTCTCTGTGGAGTGTGTGGGGGAGGAAAGTCTCAGTGTTCAGGTCAGCTGGAAGGCTCTTCTCTCAGACCTTCCTGTCTCTGCTCTGCCTGACCTGCATGATGTAGGTAAGGAGCACAGACAATATTTATCAAATATTTCTCAATGAAAGCCGCAAATACTGTCTCACACCCCTTAAATATGTCTCAAAACTAGTTTATGCATTTTAAACTTTGACTTTGTCAAGTGTGTGTATATTTTATTGGAGGTGTGCCAAAGCGCCTTTTCATGTTTCATTTAATTGTAAAACAGAAGTATTTGTGGATTGTAAGTCATTAGTGAATCATCTATTTCCAGATGTGGTGCTCAGTAAGGACAGGCTGTTGGATGGGCTGCTAGGCCTGATGGGTAGTGAGCCCTACCGCTCCCTCTTGACCTCTGAACCCAGAGTCCTCTCTACCTCAGCACCCGGCTTCGGCTGCTCCCATGGCTACCAGCGTGTTGGGACAGGATGTGGTACGTCCTTATTACCTTTCCCACTAAAACACAACCTAGCCTGAACTACTGTGTATCAGGGAGATCAATCAAACAGTTCATATGAAATAAAACTGCATACTTACTGATTTGCTAAAAATCACTACCCTCTTGACAGCATTATTAATAACTGAATTTATACCACACACTCTTTTCTTCCTCCTCTCTCTCCCTCTCTCACTCTCCCTCCCTTTTTCCCTCTCTCCCTCTCGCTCTCTCTCTCTCCTCTCCCTCGCTCTCTCTCGCTCTCTCTCTCTCCCGCTCCCTCGCTCTCTCCCGCTCTCTCGCTCTCCTTCGCTCTCTCCCTCTCTCTCGCTCTCTCCCTCGCTCTCTCTCGCTCCCTCGCTCTCTCTCGCTCTCTCTCCCGCTCCCTCGCTCTCTCTCGCTCTCTCTCCCGCTCCCTCTCGCTCTCTCTCCCGCTCCCTCGCTCTCTCTCGCTCTCTCTCCCGCTCCCTCTCGCTCTCTCTCTCTCTCCCTCTCTCTCTCTCTCTCTCTCTCTCTCTCTCTCTCTCTCTCTCTCTCTCTCTCTCTCTCTCTCTCTCTCTCTCTCTCTCTCTCTCTTCTCTCTTCCCCCCCCCCCCCCCCCCCCCCCCCTCCCATAGTGGTGTGTCCTGCGGGTACATTTTCCAGTGGAGGTGTTTGTTCTCCCTGTCCTCAGGGCTCCTACCAAGACCAGGAGGGGACAGACTTCTGTACCATGTGTCCTAAAGGCACCTCCGCAAACGGAGCCTCCATTGCCACACACTGTGAGTGAGGAGATGGGAAACATGGAACACTTTGGGTTCCTTATTAACACTCGCTTTCTGTTGCTCAGCTCACCCGGTGTTAGAGAGGATTGGGGGAGTATATTTGACTTTATTATTATGTAGATCTATGATATTTATTAAGGTCTAGGACCATCGTCCTATCCCCTAACATAGGCAGCATAACTGCTCAATTCACTACTGTTGTGTATATGTGTGTTTTGTAATGTCCAGGTTTGACAGAGTGCCAGCGCAGTGGCCTGAGGTGTTCAGAGGGAGGGGACTTCCTGTCAGCCCAGCAGGACATCCAGACCAGGAGGTGGCGCTGTGTGACGTCCAGCGGAGAGCAGCTGGAGTGGACAACCTCTGGCCAGCCTCTGTCTGAGGGAGAATGTTCCGGTACGGTCTGGGCCAGCGTTTTAAGAACAAGGTGTATCTTGTATTGCTGCCCCAGAAAGTTCATGTATTGTCTCTGTGGACTGGAAACAAACAATAGTTTGAGCATGAAGGTCTTAGTCAGGTGACTCTGGTCTATTTGAGCTATTTTTATGGACCAGTGTTTTAACACATGGCTGAAACATCAACAGATACCTGAGTCACACTGTATGCATCCCAAATGGCACCCTCTATTTCCTATGTAGTGCACTACTTTTGACCAGGGCCCATTGGGCTGTGGTCAAAAGTAGTGTACTGTATAGGAAATAGGGTGCCAGTTGGAGCACTTCCTGTGATTCAGGTTCTGTCTCAGGATCCCTATAGAGAGACTAAACCTAAGAATTATGCTCAACAATGTTATTAGGATTTTAAGCACTGACAACTGAGGTTGAGTGTTTGTTTTTTAAACTTGTGTGTGACCTCTGTCAGTCAAGAGTTCAAAGTTGCATCCTTTCTTGTACTTTTTATTCAAAAAAAAACTAAATGGAACAGATGGTCCAACTCATTTTACTCCAAGTGCTATATTTATACAGTACACGAATGACTGAAGTGCTAGAGCAATGTCAAGTTGTTGTGTAAGCAAGAGTTTGGCTATTTTTGTGTGTCAAGCCACATTCATTTCTTGGACTTCAGTTGTTGTCATAATATTTCCCTTTCTCCTTTTCAGTTCTGGGGAGGTTTGAGACAGTTCCCAGATCAGCGTTCTCTCTAGCAGCAGAAGACTATGTTGTCCTCAGCTCAGAGACATCAGACATGGCCATGGAGAACCAACTCAGGACGTGTGTGTCAGGTGAGGTCACTGTGAAAAGTTGATATAAAAAATAAAAAAAATGTTACCTTTCCATAATATAAGGATGTGTCACAAATGTCACCCGATTCCCTGTATAGTGTGCTACTTTTTACAACAGGCCTATGGACACTGGTCAAAGGTCATACACTATACAGGGATTCGGGTGCCATTTCGGACGCACTACAAGTGTTTATATACCAAAACCACTAGTGTAAAACATTGGTTATGTTTGTGTCAATCCCCAGCTTGTGCCCAGGTCCAGGCTTGTCTTTACGTTGTCCTATACACAGAAGAAGGACAAACTCACTGTGAACTCTACAGCACCGACGCTGCTAACATCCAGTGTGAAACCTCTGAGGAAGTATGGACGTCCACAATCTGTCTTTGTCTCCCACTACGCTATGGGCTCGTCACAAATGGCACCCTATTTCTTATATAGTGCGCTAGAAAGGGTGTAGGGTACCATTTGGGAAACAACCTATGCTATGTTATTCAGTTCTACACAGTGCTTTCATCAGGCATCACCCACACTGCTGGCTCTGGACAACTGATTCACACAACAGGAGATAGAAGAGGTTCCAGGGTCATTAGGGTTCATCTAATCAAATGAGGAACATGACTATAATCTCTCAGAAATGTTGTTATTGTATTATAGTAAATTATTCATTCCAGAACAAATCAACAACGAAATTGACATAATAGGTTTGATGTGTGGCGGCAGGTAGCTTAGTGGTTAAGAGCGTAGTGCCAGTAACCGAAATGTCACTGGTTCTAATCCCCGAGCCGACTAGGTGAAAAATCTGTCGATGTGCCCTTGAGCAAGGCACTTAACCCTAATTGCTCCTGTAAGTCGCTCTGGATAAGAGTGTCTGCTAAATGACTAAAAATGTAAAAATGTAAAATGTGTTCTAAACTGTTAGCTGTAACTGAAGTTGCAACTGCCGTTTCCATTTGATGTGTTATAACTTTTTCAAGTGTCCCTTTCCTTGTGATTCCCAGACCAAAGGGTTCCTGGGAAATCCAGGTGCTGATATGTTCCAGAGCCTGAGCTGTTCTCTGAAGGTGAACGGGGCTGACAGACAGAACGTCACGGTCATCAGGAAGAAAGGTTCAGTATGAGCTTGCTGTCCTCTTATAAAGTGACCACTGAAATTCACAACGTCCATCCACCTATTTGCGCTCCCCTCTCTTAGCAGTCCATGACGTCCTCTTTCTAACCCCCTCAATAGAATAAGGAAGTAATCTACTGTACAATCAGACATGAATCTATTTGTTTTTTTCCTGCTTCAAATGCAGCTGCTCTTACGGTATATTTCTCTACCAAACCATGAGAATCAGCCTCCCTCTGTGTCATAGGTCATGAATTCACCACTAAGGCCCAGAAGACCTTTGAAAGGCTGAGTTTCCGTAAGGCCAGTTCTGGTGTGTACCGTACAATGGTGTTTGCAGCTGAAGGAACCACTCTGACCGACGTCCATAGTTTCTGTCAGGATGAGTGTACCCGGAACACCTGCTGTGATGGCTTCATCCTCAACCAGAACGTTCTCAATGGAGGTAAAATGCTCTAGCCTGAATGTCAATTCCTTGTCATGCCAAGACATCAATGGAGTGGACCAGAGCACAAACTGACCAAGCTAAAAAGGCTATGCCATATGTGAAGACAGCATCCAGAACCACGTTGTGTAATGCTGCTTAGTGAGGAAGCATATAATATGCCATTTAGCAGACGCTTTTATCCAGGGGATCGAACCCACTACCCTGGCGTTACAAGCGCCATGCTCTACCAATTGAGCTACAGAGGACCACCACTTATAGATGCACTTATTGATTTTTAGCCAATTTCCAATAGATTGGATATTTAAGCAATAAGGCCCGGGGGGGTGTAGTATATGGCCATATATACCACGGCTAAGGGCTGTTCTTAGGGACGATGCAACATGGAGTGCCTGGACACAGCCCTTAGCCGTGGTATATTGGCCATATATTACAAACCCCTGAGGTGCCTTATTGCTATTATAAAATGGTTACCATCGTAATTAGAGCAGTAAAAATACATATTTTGTCATACCCGTGTACGGTCTGATATACCACAGCTGTCTCTCTCTCTCTCTCTCTCTCTCTCTCTCTCTCTCTCTCTCTCTCTCTCTCTCTCTCTCTCTCTCGCTCTCTCGCTCTCTCTCTCTATCTCTTCGTCCAGGTACCATTATGTGTGGTCTGCTGAGCTACCCAGACATGTTGCTATGCAGTGAGGCAGACTGGGACATGTCTGGCCTGGCCAAGGCTAGCAGAATCTGTGGGGCTGGAGTCACCTACAATAAACTGCAGAAACAGTTCCTCTTTAACTTTGGAGGACAAGACTTCACCATCAGTAAGGATATCTACCTAGACTATTACCGTAATATTTAAGGACAGTTTCCCAGACACAGATTTTAAGTCCTGGACTTAAAAGGAAGCTCAATGAAGAATCTCCATTGGAGAAAAGACTAGGCAGGAAACCTGCCTGTACAGTATAGGATGAATAGATCATCTTACTATACTCTATGTGGTTATGAAGTGTTACTGTACTCTGCAACTATGTGGTTATAAAGTGTTACTCTACTCTGTAACTATGTGGTTATGAAGTGTTACTCTACTCTGTAACTATGTGGTTATGAAGTGTTACTCTACTCTGTAACTGTGGTTATGAAGTGTTACTCTACTCTGTAACTGTGGTTATGAAGTGATTTAATGGTCAGTATGTTTCTCTTACAGCCGATACAGCTCTGCCAACATCAAGCAAGAACAAAACTGACTACCAGGCCACCATTATTGTGTTCCAAGGCATTTACCTCTGGAAAGGTATTATACATTTTATTCCTTATACAGATGTATAAAACAATGTACAGTACCAGTCAGTACAATTTTCTACTATGAAATAACACAAATGGAATCATGTAGTAACCAAAATAGTTTTCAACAAATCAAAATATATTTTATATTTCAGATTCTTCAAATAGCCACCCTTTGCCTTGATGACAGCTTTGCACACTCTTGGCATTTTCTTAACCAGCTTCATGAGGAATGCTTTTCCAACAGTCTTGAAGGAGTTCCCACATATGCTGAGCACTTGTTGGCTGCTTTTCCTTCACTCTGCGGTTCAACTCATCCCAAACCATCTCAATTGGGTTGAGGTCGGGGATTGTGGAGGCCAGGTCATCTGATGCAGAACTCCATCACTCTCCTTCTTGGTCAAATAGCCCTTACACAGCCTGGAGGTGTGTTTTGGGTCATTGTCCTGTTGAAAAACAAATGATAGTCCCACTAAGCGCAAACCAGATGGGATGGCGTATCGCTGCAGAACGCTGTGGTAGCCATGCTGGTTAAGTGTGCCTTGAATTCTAAATAAATCACAGACAGTGTCACCAGCAAAGCACCCCACACCATCACACCTCCTCCTCCATAATTCACAGTGGGAACCACACATGCAGAGATAATCCGTTCACGTACTGTCTCACAAAGACACGGCGGTTGGAACCAAAAATCTCAAATTTGGACTCATCAGACCAAAGGACAGATTTCCACCGGTCTAATGTCCATTGCTCGTGTTTCTTGGCCCAAGCAAGTCTCTTCTTATTATTGGTGTCCTTTAGTAGTGGTTTCTTTGCAGCAATTCAACCATGAAGGCCTGATTCACGCAGTCTCCTCTGAACAGTTGATGTTGAGATGTGTCTGTTACTTGAACTCTGAAGCATTTATTTGGGCTGCAATCTGAGGTACAGTTAATTGCCGATTTCTGAGGCTGGTAACTCTAATGAACTTATCCTCTGCAGCAGAGGTAACTCTGGGTCTTCCTTTCCTGTGGCGGTCGTCATGTGAGCCAGTTTCATCATAGCGCTTGATGGTTTTTGCGACTGCAGTTGAAGAAACTTTCAAAGTTCTTGAAGTTTTCCGTATTGACTGACCTTCATGTCTTAAAGTAATGATGGACTGTAGTTTCTCTTTGCTTATTTGAGCTTTTCTTGTCATAATATGGACTTGGTCTTTTACCAAATAGGGCTATCTTCTGTATACCAACCCTACCTTGTCACAACACAACTGATTGGCTCAAACGCATTAAGAAAGAAAGAAATTCCACAAATTAACTTTTAAGAAGGCACACCTGTTAATTGAAATGCATTCCAGGTGACTACCTCATGAAGCTGGTTGAGAGAATGCCAAGAGTGTGCAAAGCTGTCATCAATGCAAAGCGTGGCTATTTGAAGAATCTCAAATATAAAATATATTTTGATTTGTTTAACACTTTTTTGGTTACTAGATGATTCCATATGTGTTATTTCATGGTTTTGATGTCTTCACTATTATTCTACAATATAGAAAATAGTAAAAAATTAAGAAAAACCCTTGAATGAGTAAGTGTGTCCAAACTTTTGACTGGTACTGTACTTCTGAATAAACATTACTGGATTGTCTTGACTTGTCTTGTTATCCTTCTCACATGCTAAAATTATCCATATTTCAGAGTCTGACATGACCACTCGTTCCAAGACCTCCCCAGCCTGTAGCAGTGTCCTCCCACAACAAGCCCCCAAAGTCCTTCTGTCAGGTTAGTTTAGCCTTCTTATCTCTACTAGAATTAGGGACAAAACCTAAACTAACTTTCTGTCACATCACATAGATGCAGTGAAGGAGACGTTTGTGTCCCTGGACAGCAGTGCTGTTGTTGTGGACTCTGAACGGGACATCCCCAGCCTGCAATACTGGATCTTCAAACATCAGTTCTCTGCACAGGAGGCTCAGCTGTGGTGTCTGAAACGTAGGATATATCAGCTTCATGTCTTGCCTGTTCCAAAAGCTATTCACGTTGAATTTCATACACTGAACATTGTAGTCGTTTTCCCACTACTATCATATCGCCTTAATCTTTAGCACGTCTATAATGTGAGTATCATGTGTTCGCTGTGTGTTTCAGGCTGTGAGGAGGAGGAGCTGTGTCACGTGGCTGATGTGAGAGATGAGAGCTCAGTGTACTTTACCTGCACACTGTACCCAGACACCCAGGTGTGTGGGGCCTACGACAAACCCCTGAGACAGGCCTGCAGCCCTGTGCTCCCCCAACAACCCCACACTGCTCACACCAAGAAGGGTGAGTCCTTATAACTCCAGCAAGCCCACACCTCACACACCAAGGGCGGTGAGTCCACAGAGATCCTATTAAGGTTCTGTAAGTAATTCTATGGATGAGTATTTATACTGTACATATGGGTTAAGGGAGGTTAGCCGAAGTACCCTGAAAGCAAATTAATGGTTAATTTAAGAGCCTTCTATTTAAAACATTTAGATAAATTACGTCACTTTACTCAGTTAGAAAAACAGCTACGGACTTGATATACTACACAGGTTATTATCAATCAAAAACTATTATCGATCATCTGAACATGAAGCCCAACCATTACTAGTGTTGTCGTCGCGTCCTTCCCCTCTACTTGATAATGACTGGTGAAGTTGGAATCCCAGCAGCCTCGCTGTTTGTGATTCTAGGCTTGTTTTGGTCTTGTTGTTCCTAGCAACAGGTCAACAGGCTGTATATCAGAAGTTAGGACGACTGCCACTGCTATGCTCTGGGTGGGTCCCAAATGGCACCCCATTTCCTATATAGTGTACTACTTTTGACCAGATCCCTATGGGGCCTAATCAAAAGTAGTGCACTTTAAAGGGAATAGGGTGCCATTTGAGACAGACTCTGTCTCTTAGAAGAGGGAACAGAGAGGATGTTGTTAGATCGGGGAGATCACGCCTTTGATCGAGAGAGAAAAAAGTCCTTATTTAGGTTGCATCCCAAATGGCACCCTATTCCCTATATAATGCACTACTTTTGACCTGGGCTCATATGGCTCTCATTAAAACTACTGCATTATGTACGGAATAGATTGCCATTTGGGACACAGGCTTACACTTGAGCAGCTCTGCGGTTGAGAAAGTAGACCTGTGAGTAATGACGGTATCGTGATCCTGCTCGGGCTCAAACGACAGCAGGCTGCCTTTCCAAGGTTACACAAACCAGGTTGTCCATTTAGTTGCTGTTGAAAGGAACCACTCTTCTCTGTTGAGGGTACTGTCTCTTGCTGTTATCTCTCAACTTGTGTGAATTGGCAAGTTGACAAAATACAGTTTTTAAGGTTTCCTGTCTGTGTTTATGTGCATAATGCATACCACTAACAGAGCAGCACCGACTTCTTCAGAATTCTCTGTATGTTTAGTATGTTGTGCCGTAAGTGAGTCATCTGTGTCAGACGCTGTGATTCAAATGGCACCCTATTCCCTATGTAGTGCACTACTTTGGACCAGAGCCCTGTGGCCATTTGGGACACATCCGATGGTCCTACTGGTGGCCACAGGTAACCTGAGTGCACCGTTAAGTTAAATACAGCCATCATATAATTGGCATATACATTACTCTTACTGAATTTCCACGTGGGCGAGGATATTGGAAATTTAATCAAAGCCTATTGGATGATAATTTATTTTTAACTAGGACAAAGGAGTTTATAACTGACTTTTTCCAACATAACATAGGTACAGCAAATCCTCTTATTGTATGGGACGCCTTTAAATGTGCCTTTAGAGGCCATGCAATTCAGTACTCATCTCGAAAACAAAAGCAATTTAGGTCAAAAGAGTCCATACTAACAAAATAAATAGAAAGTCTAACAGAACAGATAGATGGCAATAAAAACTGTAACATAGAGGCTCAGAATAAATTAGAGGAAAAACAAAAAGAAATGGAGAAACTTATTCAAGAAAGATCAAGTGTAATATACACTGCTCAAAAAAATAAAGGGAACACTAAAATAACACATCCTAGATCTGAATGAATGAAATAATCTTATTAAATACTTTTTTCTTTACATAGTTGAATGTGCTGACAACAAAATCACACAAAAATGATCAATGGAAATCAAATTTATCAACCCATGGAGGTCTGGATTTGGAGTCACCCTCAAAATTAAAGTGGAAAACCACACTACAAGCTGATCCAACTTTGATGTAATGTCCTTAAAACAAGTCAAAATGAGGCTCAGTAGTGTGTGTGGCCTCCACGTGCCTGTATGACCTCCCTACAACGCCTGGGCATGCTCCTGATGAGGTGGCGGATGGTCTCCTGAGGGATCTCCTCCCAGACCTGGACTAAAGCATCCGCCAACTCCTGGACAGTCTGTGGTGCAACGTGGCGTTGGTGGATGGAGTGAGACATGATGTCCCAGATGTGCTCAATTGGATTCAGGTCTGGGGAACGGGCGGGCCAGTCCATAGCATCAATGCCTTCCTCTTGCAGGAACTGCTGACACACTCCAGCCACATGAGGTCTAGCATTGTCTCGCATTAGGAGGAACCCAGGGCCAACCGCACCAGCATATGGTCTCACAAGGGGTCTGAGGATCTCATCTCGGTACCTAATGGCAGTCAGGCTACCTCTGGCGAGCACATGGAGGGCTGTGCGGCCCCCCAAAGAAATGCCACCCCACACCATGACTGACCCACCGCCAAACCGGTCATGCTGGAGGATGTTGCAGGCAGCAGAACGTTCTCCACGGCGTCTCCAGACTCTGTCTCGTCTGTCACATGTGCTCCGTGTGAACCTGCTTTCATCTGTGAAGAGCACAGTGCGCCAGTGGCAAATTTGCCAATCTTGGTGTTCTCTGGCAAATGCCAAACGTCCTGCACGGTGTTGGGCTGTAAGCACAACCCCCACCTGTGGACGTCGGGCCCTCATACCTCCCTCATGGAGTCTGTTTCTGACTGTTTGAGCAGACACATGCACATTTGTGGCCTGCTGGAGGTCATTTTGCAGGGCTCTGGCAGTGCTCCTCCTGCTCCTCCTTGCACAAAGGCGGAGATAGCGGTCCTGCTGCTGGGTTGTTGCCCTCCTACGGCCTCCTTCACGTCTCCTGATGTACTGGCCTGTCTCCTGGTAGCGCCTCCATGCTCTGGACACTACGCTGACAGACACAGCAAACCTTCGTGCCACAGCTCGCATTGATGTGCCATCCTGGATGAGCTGCACTACCTGAGCCACTTGTGTGGGTTGTAGACTCCGTCTCATGCTACCACTAGAGTGAAAGCACCGCCAGCATTCAAAAGTGACCAAAACATCAGCCAGGAAGCATAGGAACTGAGAAGTGGTCTGTGGTCACCACCTGCAAAACCAGTCCTTTATTGGGGGTGTCTTGCTAATTGCCTATAATTTTCACCTGCTGTCTATTCCATTAGCACAACAGCATGTGAAATGTATTGTCAATCAGTGTTGCTTCCTAAGTGGACAGTTTGATTTCACAGAAGTGTGATTGACTTGGAGTTACATTGTGTTGTTTAAGTGTTCCCTTTATTTTTTTGAGCAGTGTATTATAAAAATAAAGCAAACTGGATGGAATATGGGGAAAAATGCACCAAATTCTTTTTTAATCTTCAACATAGGAATGCTACGAAAAATAATTTAATGAAACTGGTTACAATTGTTACCCATGATTCAGCAAATTATATTTTGAAGGAGGAAACTAAGTACTTTAAGCATATGTTTTTGTTTCAGTCGCCTCCATCTCCTCTAACTGAAGCTAATTGTAGAGATTTTTTTTCTATTGATAATGTAAAATTAACAGCCATACAGTGAAGGTGAAATTACAGAGGAGGAACTTCTGGATGCAATTAAAGACTTTAAGTCCGGGAAAACTCCAGGGTTGGATGGCATACCAGTCGACGTATACCAAACCTTTTTAGATATACTAAGAGGACCGTTATTAGCATGTTTTAACCACTCCTATGTAAATTATAGATTATCTGACACTCAAGAAGAAGGTCTGATCTCATTATTACTGAAACAGGATACAAGTGGAAAATATAAAGATCCAGTCCATTTTAGAAATTGGAGGCCCCTTACACTTCAGTGTTGTGATGCAAAAATTCTAGCAAAATGTATAGCGCATAGAATTAAAAAGGTATTGTCGGATATTATTCATTCTAATCAGACAGGTTTTTTACATGGAAGATACATTGGAGATAATATAAGGCAAGTATTGGAAACAATAGAACACTATGGAAAATCTAATAGTAAATAATGGTAATTTCTCAAAGTTTTAAACTGTCAAGAGGAGTGAAACAAGGTTGCCCACTATCGGCATATCTATTTATTGTGGCCATCGAGATGTTAGCTATTAAAATCAGATCCAACAATAATATCAGGGGATTAGAAATCCAGGGTTTAAAAACAAAGGTGTCATTGTACGCTGATTATTCATGTTTTCTTTTAAATCCACAACTAGAATCCCTCCACAGCCTCATAGAGGATCTAGATACATTTTCTAACCTCTCTGGATTACAACCAAATTATGACAAATGTACTATATTACGTATTGGATCACTAAAAAATACAATTTTTACATTACCATGTAGTTTACCAATAAAATGGTCTGATGGTGATGTGGATATACTCTGAATACATATCCCAAAGGAAATAAATGATCTCACTTCAATACATTTTAATAGAAAGTTAGCAAAAATAGAAAAGGTCTTGCTACCATGGAAAGGTAAATACCTGTCAATTTGTGGAAAAATCACCCTGATTAACTCTTTAGTATTATCCCAGTTTACCTATTTGCTTATGGTCTTGCCTACGCCTAGCGAACAGTTTTTTAAATTATATCTAAAAAAAATATTCCATTTTATTTGGAACGGCAAGCCAGACAAAATTAAACGGGCCTATTTATATAATGAATATGAATTCGGAGGACAGAAATTATTAAATATTAAAGCATTAGACCTATCACTAAAAGCTTCAGTCATACAAAAGTTATACTTAAATCCGAACTGGTTCTCTAGCAAATTAGTAAGATTGTCTCACCCAATGTTCAAGAATGGCCTTTTTCCCTTTATTCAGGTTACAACCTCTCACTTTCAGTTATTTGAAAAGGAAATAATCTCCCAAATATCACTATTTCTAAAACAAGCCATAGAAATTTGGTTGCAATTTCAATTTAATTCTCCAGAAACTACAGAACAAATAATGCAACAAATATTGTGGTTAAACTCAAATATACTAATTGACAAAAAAACTTTTTTTTTTTACAAAATGTTTACAAAAGGTATAATCTTCGTAAATGATATCATCGGTAGGACTGGTGGAGTTATGTCGCACATGCAGCTAACAAAAACATATGGAAATGTCTGCTCTACCCAAAATTACAACCAAATAATTGCAGCCTTACCGCAAAAATGGAAGAGAAAAGTGGAAGGGGGAGAAAGTAAGGAACTTGTCTGTCGGCCTTGCATTAAAGAACATAATTGGTTAAGGAAAACTGTGATAAATAAAAAAAGTATACCAGTTTCATTTAAGGACCAACGGATTGACAGCAGTCCCATATAGATTGCAAAATAGTTGGGAAGACATTTTTGACGTACCGATCCCATGGCATAGTGTTTATGAACTGATACGCAAAACGACACCGGATTCAAAACTTAGAATCTTTCAATTGAAATTATTATATAAAATTCTTGCTCCCAATATAATGTTATTTATATGGGGGATACAATCTTCCCAGCTCTGCAGATTTTGCTGTGAAGAGACAAAATCATTAGATCATTTGTTTTGGTACTGTCCATTTGTAGCTTTTTTTTGGACACAGGTCCAGGAATGGCTAAAGGATTGCAATATTTACCTGGAGCTAACCTTGCAGATAGCATTACTGGGTGATCTGAAAAGTCATAGTCAATCGATCAATAATATAATAATACTTTTAGCAAAAATGTTTATTTTCAATTTACAATCTGTAGAAACAATGAGAATAGAAAGGTTCAGCATTTTTGTAAAACATCACAGTACAGTTGAAAAATATATGGCAAATAGAAATCCTATATGGATAGTGTTAAGAGATAGATGGGAGTTGTTGAATGGAGTTGAAGGATGGGACTAATAACAACTAACAACAAATAATAACAAGATAACTAATAATGTAAGCATACTGTGTCCATAATAAACAATAAGTATATAGGTTGTAGGTTGGGAGCTTTTGTGAAAGAGCACAGTTAGAAAGATATGCATATAGAAGCAAACCGGATGGACATCATGAAAATGATCGGAGAGGTTGAGAGTAGAAGAAGTTCAGGAGAAAAAACAAACAAAATATAATTATTGTAAAATTGACTGTGTCCATAAAATGTAGATAGTAATTATAAGCTGGAAGTAGAGGCCTAAGCATTGTTGTTCACTAGTTTACTCCAAGTAGGGAAAGGGTGGTGGGGTTGGAAAGTAATAAATGGGAATATATATTTTTTAAAGGATATGTATGTGTATGTATGTACAGTGGGGAGAACAAGTATTTGATACACTGCCGATTTTGCAGGTTTTCCTACTTACAAAGCATGTAGAGGTCTGTAATTTTTATCATAGGTACACTTCAACTGTGAGAGATGGAATCTAAAGATACATCTAAAAAATCTGTCTATCATAGAGCTTCTCTACAGGTCTGTATGTATCATCATAGAGCTTCTCTACAGGTCTGTATATCATAGAGCTTCTCTACAGGTCTGTCTGTATCGTCATAGAGCTCTAGCCACTCTGACAGTAGAACATTATGTAACACTGCTGCTGTCCTTCCACAGCCCAGTAACTAACTCTACCCAGACTGACACAGTGGATTACACTCCACACTCCAGTCCAGAGCACTAATCCAGTCCAGTGTCATTTTTTCCCTCCAAGACAACTTTGAAAACATTTCCAAGTCTAAACACAAGCAGTGAAGAGACGAACAGATGCTTGAGAGACTGGTGACTAGTTCCAGGCATACAAATGTCTTATTTTTCTAAGCCTAGGTAGTTTTATTTTATATCTCCGTAATGAGATGATGAATCACCTCTGACAGGAGTCTAGACTTACCCCATCACTAGAGCCACAGATGGGAGGGGGAGGAGAGGTGGGGATAATGCATAATGATATAATAATACTCTCACTTCTCTCTCACTCTGAGGTGAGTCTGCCGCCGGTGTACTGGAGTCATTTATAGGTGCAGACCAGATGGAAAATGAAAGAAAACAATCCACTTGGTTTGAGGGAAATGATTTGCTACCTGTCACATGTAGTCTCTTAGCCATGGCAGTGAAGACTTTATCAAGTCAAGATCACATAATATTAGCACAAGTGTCCCCAACTCATCCCGTTTAACAGCAACCTGTTGTCTGTTGTTATGAGAGATGTTGTACGTATAGAAAATGCCCATCGGACCAAAATGCTCGGCCTTATGGGTCAGTAACATATTGTCCAAAACTGTGCTTCCCTCTCTATAAACTCTCTTCCAAGCAGACAGCTAGCTACGTCTCTCCTTGATTTGCTCATACGTGTAAGTGTCATTAAACCCTCATTTCCTCTCATTAAAGGGTTCTGGGCTGTTGACATCTGAAGTGTTCAGACAGGAACAGGGCTCTCTCTGGTACATCCTGTACTTCAAGGCTACAGCCAGATTCACTCAGACCCAGTAACCCTGGCCAGCGTACTGTTCTGTAGCCCAGTCATAATGAATCATACTGGTAAGGTAAACATTGAGCTCAGTTAGACAGAGTCCAGTCAGGCAAAGGGTACGATGTTGTTCTTTCTGTTGGTGGAAGGTGCTATGTTGCAGCTTCAGATCACTGGTAGGTGCTTGGTCTGTATGTCATAGTGTGGTGCTGAAGTGGTTGTTAAACTTATCCCACTACCATATTATTTGCCAGAATAATACATTAGCCTCTAAAACTTCTTCAACTTATCCTACTACCATATTATTTGCCAGAATAATACATTAGCCTCTAAAACTTCTTAAACGTATCCCACTACCATATTATTTGCCAGAATAATACATTAGCCTCTAAAACTTGTTCAACTTATCTCCATTAAAACAGCTGAAGCAAGCACACACATTTTCTCTCCTGATAAATGACATTTTCTATTATTTCAGCAGCTTATTTGTGTTGTTCTGTGTGTCTGATGTGTTTTAACAGTTGATCTGACTGGAAGTGTGGAGAGTTTCTACAGCCGTGTTCCCTTTAAGAAGATGGTGTCTTATTCCGTCCGTAGCCGTGTCAACCTGAGTGCCAAGCCTATCACTGAGGGGTAAGAGGCCTTAAGTCAGTGTTACCTGGGTCCCACTGGTTCTGGGGGTAAGAGGCCTTAGGGCAGTGTTACCTGGGTCCCACTGGTTCTGGGGGTAAGAGGCTTTAGGGCAGTGTTACCTGGGTGCCACTGGTTCTGGGGGTAAGAGGCCTTAGGTCAGTGTTACCTGGGTCCCACTGGTTCTGGGGGTAAGAGGCCTTAGGGCAGTGTTACCTGGGTCCCACTGGTTCTGGGGGTAAGAGGCTTTAGGGCAGTGTTACCTGGGTGCCACTGGTTCTGGGGGTAAAAGGCCTTAGGTCAGTGTTACCTGGGTCCCACTGGTTCTGGGGGTAAGAGGTCTTAGGGCAGTGTTACCTGGGTCCCACTGGTTCTGGGGGTAAGAGGTCTTAGGGCAGTGTTACCTGGGTGCCACTGTTTCTGGGGGTAAGAGGCCTTAAGTCAGTGTTACCTGGGTCCCACTGGTTCTGGGGGTAAGAGGCCTTAGGGCAGTGTTACCTGGGTCCCACTGGTTCTGGGGGTAAGAGGCCTTAGGGCAGTGTTACCTGGGTGCCACTGGTTCTGCTCTCAGTACCACCACCACCCCCAATAAAACATATTTCACAGAAATCTTCTTCAGGAAATATTTTTTTTACTGCATGAGTAGTAGGATAATAACATTAAAGTCTTTATCAATTCCTGTTTTGTTTCCCCCAAAAAAACAGTGTTTGCTTTGTGTTTGTAACAGGTTCCGGGAATGTGAGCGGAGATGTGATGAAGACCCGTGTTGCCGTGGAATCGGATACGTCAGGGACACCCAATCACCTGGTCAGTTGTTATTTCAGTCAAGATATTCACTGAGATGTTTTTACATTGCTGACAAATGCTCCGAAATTCGAAGTTCAAGGGGCAAGAGAGAAGAGGGAAACAATCACAATTTAACTCCAAAGTCCAAAGGAGACACAAATATTACCTCTGAAGTGTGTGTGTGTGTGTGCTCTCTCCATCCAGGATCAGACATTCTCTGCTTGACTCTGAACAGCTTTGGCATCCAGACGTGTGGTGAAGGTGAGAGGACAACCTGGAGGGTCCAGGACTGCACCCCCTCCAAAGTAGAAACCGGGGTGTATCCGCTCGGCTGGTACGAGAAACCAGGTGTGTATATATCTGAGGATAAGTAGGTACAGGGTGGATCCCAAATGACACCCTATTCCCTATGGGTCCTGTTCAAAAGTAGTGCACTATAGAGGGAATAGTGTGCCGTTTGGAACTCAACCACATTTAGGGTAGCTTACTCAGTGAGTAGGCATGAAACACATCTGGGCAACATCTTGAATTGTCTCTTACTTTTATGTTTGATGTCTTAATGTTACTTTCACTTCTGGAAATAGTGAACCGCACCTTTGCCCTGGTTACAATCTGTGTGTCCCGTATGGCACCTTCTCTGTATAGTGCACTACCTTTGACCAGAGCCCGTTGGGGGAGTAGTGTGCCCTTTGAGACGCTGCTCGCTGATTTAAGCAGATAAATGTGTTATTATGCTTCAGCTGTTGACCTCATTTTGTGGTTTCTATTTTGTCACCTGGTAAGGATTGCAGAGACTAGAAATTGTTCTTACCTTTTTGAGAAATTCTTAGACTCTGTGGTAATTTTTGTGTTCTTACGAGTCCGTTTATAGCTAACACATTTGTTTCTGTTTTAAATGGCACCCTATCTCTATTTCGTCCACTAGGGTGCCATTTGAGGCAGGACCGTGATAAATATTTACTGCAGTTGGTGTTGCAGAGTCACATGATCTAGCAGACACATTTACTGGCCAAGTTGTTTTCTTATCATTAAGGAATTAATTACGTAATGAGTCAAATGTTTCCATTGTTCCCCCTTCCCCTCAGTGAATCAGTGGACTAAATCTCCACGATTGTGCCCCCGTTTCGAACTACGTCTTCCTTCAAAGAATGGTAAGAGTGCAGTTACTAAACTAAAGAGCAGCTACTAACCTGAAGAATATTTCACCTCAGGAATTTAGATGAAATGTACTAATACATCACACTGTTAGTTTTATACGTCAGCTACAATAAACAGACAAGTGTGTTTATTCCTGCTGGAGTCCTTCTGTAACTGGCTGAATAGAACACGTCAGCCTTTCTGTCTTTGGATGCGTCCCAAATGGCACCCTATTCCCTATATAGTGCGCTACTTTTGACCAGGGCCCATGTGGCTCTTTTGAAAAAATAGTGCATTATGGGGAATTGGGGTGCTATTTGGGCGACAACCCATTTCACATTTGTGTGTGTTCAAAGGGAACCCCCCCTCCCATCAATGAGACAAACTTACATGGTTATTTTGTGAGCTTTCATTGTGCTGACGCGCTTAAATGTTTACAAGCCACAGTGTTTTCCACTTAGCCTTTAGTTAGACACACTTCCTCCATAGCCCCCAGTAGCTATAAACCTGGCCATTAGACAAAGGAGAGGCTGTCTCCAAACTGCTCCAGTACAGGCTTTCAACTGCTCTCATTAGTATCTAGTACACAAGAATTGTGTAATTGAATGTTTAGAGAGCTCTGTCATTTTGGCATTAAAATACATTTCAATGGCTGCATCCCAAATATGGCACCCTTTTCCTTATGTAGGACACTACTTTTGAACAGAGCACTATGGGCCCTGGTCAAAAGTAGAGCACTAAATAGGGAATAGGATGCTGTTTGAGACGTAGGCAATGTGTTAAATGCATCCCCTGCTGATAAAGATGTGTGTGTCTCTGCCAGTGAGTTTGAGTGAGTGGAGACTCCTGGATGCGTCCTCTACTCTGGTGGATTCATCTGTCTCCACGTTTGACATTATTCACATCAGTAAAGACATCGCTGAGGACCTGGACAGGACCAGAGACTGGTGTCTGTCTGGTGAGAAACATCTTCATCATGTGCCAGAGTCTGGTCTAACGGTCAAAGCCCCCAACTCAGGACCACACATGCCCCCTGGCAAGAGGGGTTTAAGCTCCTCCTCGGTCTCTCCTGTCTGTGCCCCTCATCTGTGCCCCAATCATTGTATCTACCTCTCTCTACTCTCCTCCTATCCTGTCAGTTAAACTGTGTCTGTGTGTCTCCCCTCAGCGTGTGAGGAGGCTGAGTCCTGTGCTGTGGTGTCAGTGGAGCGGACCGACTCGGCTGTCCGCTGTGTCCTCTACCCAGACACCCTGGCCTGTGCCCCCTCCACTTCCACCCCCACTGGAGGTCAGGACTGTCGGCTGGTCATCAGAGAGTCAGCTCTCCAGGTCTACCTCCACAAAGGTGGGCAACATCCCTGATCCCTGACCCTGGCTCACTATACATCCCTGACCCCTGACCCTGGCTCACTATACATCCCAGACCCCTGACCCTGGCTCACTATACATCCCTGACCCTGGCTCACTATACATCCCTGACCCCTGACCCTGGCTCACTATACATCCCTGACCCCGGCTCACTATACATCCCTGACCCCTGACCCTGGCTCATTATACATCCTTGACCCCTGACCCTGGCTCACTATACATCCCAGACCCCTGACCCTGGCTCACTATACATCCCTGACCCCTGACCCTGGCTCACTATACATCCCTGACCCCTGACCCTGATCACTATACATCCCTGACCCCGGCTCACTATACATCCCTGACCCCTGACCCTGGCTCACTATACATCCCTGACCCTGACCCTGGCTCACTATACATCCCTGACCCCTGACCCTGGGTCACTTTCTGTATGCCCTCTCTCATAGAATATATTCTCAGTCAATTTAGCTGGTAAAGGACTAATGGCTAAATAGAAAGACATGTCTTTACCTGCTCTAGACACAGAGAGTTCTGAAAGACATGTCTTTACCTGCTCTAGATGCAGAGAGTTCTGAAAGACATGTCTTTACCTGCTCTAGACGCAGAGAGTTCTGAAAGACATGTCTTTACCTGCTCTAGACGCAGAGAGTTCTGAAAGACATGTCTTTACCTGCTCTAGACACAGAGAGTTCTGAAAGACATGTCTTTACCTGCTCTAGACACAGAGAGTTCTGATGACTGCTGCTAATGTGTCTAGTGTTTGAAGAAATAGAGATATTTATTGGTGGATTAGGCAATCACTGCAGCCTAGTTATTGTAATGATCATTATTATTATAAATCATTATTTATCTTCCAAGAGGTGCTGAAGGAGTTTTACAGCTGGGTGATTCCAGTGCAGACAGTGTCTCCATCCCAAATGTCACCCTGTTCCCTTTATAGTGCACTACGTTTGACCAGGGCCCATAGTTGTCAGTGTCAGTCCAGGCTTCCCTCTGACTGATGGTTATTTATTCTGTGGGATCCAGAACTGAAGGCAGAGTTGACGTCAGTGTTTATCCCGGCTCACGGAACGCTCCAGGGAGAGGCCGGGACAACGCCGCTCGGGTCAGACAGGAAGACAGTCAGACAGTTCTTGGGAGTTCCGTACGCTCGTCCACCTATGAGAGCGCTCCGTTTCGCCCCCCCACAGCCTGCTGAATGGAGTGGCACATGGAACGCCACGATTACCAGGTAAACAATGACTGTGGAGGTAGAAATGTTTTAAAGATGCGTTATAAAGGTTTTCTATAATTTCCTCCAATAGTTTTGAAAGTAGCGTTCACGAGCCAAAACGGGTCCCCGAAAATTCTATGATATGTTACATCCTGCAACAAGATAAAAATACATATTTGCAGTGTGCTTTGTATTCTATATAAGCCTCATGACCCATATCAAGTTTTATTTTAGATGTTTTTTCCATATGTGTGTGTGTGTGTCTTATAATATTTGTATGTCTGTCTGCCTGTCTGTCTGTGAGTGTTTGTCTGTTAGTTACATTTTTGCACCACATGCAGTGTGTTAATGTCTCCTATAATCTTGTTGTTGTGGATGTTTCCCATGGCAGACCCAGTTGTCTGCAGCCTGGAGCTGTAGCGTCATCAGCCACCAGTGAGGACTGTCTGTACCTCAACATCTTCGTCCCCAGTGGCATCGTAAGTCACATTGTACCTAATAGAGAACTTTGTTGCACTAGAAGCCCTGTTGACCTCTCCTTTACTAAACCTTAGACACCTCAAACACCACTACACTGCTGGTCCCTCAGATTGACCATCTAGACACCTCAAACACCACTACACTGCTGGTCCCTCAGATTGACCATTGGTCTGCCATGTCATTCCTGTTCTTGTATTTCCCTCTGACAGAGAGGGAGTGCAGCGGTCCTGGTGTTCTTCCATAACCCGTCTGGAGCAGCCAGCCATGACACACCATCTCTACTGGACGGCTCCTACCTGGCTGCCGTCGGCAACATCGTCGTGGTTACCGTCAACACCAGGGTTTCAGCATTCGGATTCCTCAGCACAGGTGCTCCCCTTAACACACGTCAGTAGCAGCATTTAATGAGCTTATAGGTTATATGCTTTCAAAAGTCACGAGTGCTGCCTTCTAAAGCTGAACTCACAATTCGATCTGAGAGTGCTGCTGAAATGGCATTGCACTGTTGAAATAAGTTAATGTTAAAGTAGTAGGAAGATAGTGGAAATGAAGTTAGAATCAGGTCATGATGAATGTTAAGGGGAGAGGATGACATCATGTTTACTGTTGGTATTCTGCTGCTGTGGTGGGCTTAGAGGGGCCGGAGGGGGAGAGAGAGAGGGGGAGAGAGAGAGGGGGAGAGAGAGGGGGGGAGAGAGAGAGGGAGGGAGAGAGCGAGGAGAGGGAGGGAGGGAGGGAGAGAGAGAGAAAAAATATCTGCTGATGGTGTGTTCTGTGCTGATGTGGCACTGAGAGGGAGGAGTGACACTCTCTCTCTCGCCAAAGTCAGCCAGCCGCAGCACGCAGCTGGCACACTCAGAGACATGTGGAAGGACTGTGTGTGTGTGTTCAAGTTTCAACTTTATTATCCTAGACGGCACTTTCTGTTTTAATGTATGATGTATAGTCTTGGTGATAGGAGCCCTCAGCTAGCAATTCTATAAGACCCTGCAACACAGCAACACCTACTAAACTACTGGTCCCACTCAGCTAGCAACTCTAGAAAACACAGCAACACCTACTAAAGCACTGGTCCCCCTCAGCTAGCAACTCTAGAAAACACAGCAACACCTACTAAACCACTGGTCCCTCCCAGACAGTTCTTCTATAAAGCCCTGCAACACAGCAACACCTACTTACTAAAGCACTGGTCCCAGATATCTCTCCAAACTCCAATCAAATCTAATCAAATTGTATTTGTCACATGCGCCGAATACAACAGGTGTAGACCTTACAGTGAAATGCTTACTTACAAGCCTTTAACCAACAATGCAGTTTTAAGAAAGAATAATAAAAAATAAAAAAAAGACTTTGGAATGTTGTAAGCTTTGTGTTTGCTGTTGCTGAATGTATTCACGTTTGTCCATTCGTTTCTTGGTCCATTTTGAGTGGGTAATTAGTGGCTTTTGGACCCCAATTGGAATAAAAAGATGTTGTTTGTATATTTTGGAAATGATGTAGACAATAACACCAAGTCATAACCAAAGACCATATTACGTTATATACGTTTATCTCTTGAATGGACTTTACTCCTGAAACTGTAGATGAAATAACAGCAATGTGAACTCTGAATGCCTCTAGGCTCCACAGCCCTGCCAGGCAACGCTGGTCTCCAGGACCAGGTAGCAGCTCTGAAGTGGGTCCAGGAGAACATTGAGGCGTTCGGAGGTGACCCCAGGCTGGTGACGGTGGGGGCAGAGCGGAGCGGAGCCGATGTGGCCAGCCTACATCTGACCTCTCCCTCCTCACGTGGTCTCTTCAACAGGATGCTGCTCATGGTAAGCTGACCTGTGACCCTGATCCTCACTGACCTTTACTAAGAGTCCCAAATGGCACCCTATTCCCTATATAGTGTACTGCTTTTGACCAGAGCCCTATCAAAAGTAGTGCACTCTATGGGAAATAGGGCTATTTTGGATGTGTTACTAAGCCGTTATGTGTAAGTAATGTTATTACAGTAACGGTCTTAACCATTCCATCTGTTTATAACTAGTTTAGGGTGTCAAACAGTAACACCCTTGTGTTAATGGTACGAATGTCACTGATCATGCAGTGTGACAGCCATCACAGTTTTCTTCTACGTTCACGGTATAGTCCAGTAGGGTATGTCCTCTCTATACAGCAGGGTATGTCCTCTCTATACAGCAGGATATGTCCTCTCTATACAGCAGGATATGTCCTCTCTATACAGCAGGATATCCTCGGGTAAGTTACTCTCTATACAGCAGGATATGTCCTCTCTATACGCAGGATATGTCCTCTCTATACAGCAGGATATGTCCTCTCTATACAGCAGGATATGTCCTCTCTATACAGCAGGATATGCCCTCTCTATACAGCTGGATATGTCCTCTCTATACAGCAGGATATGTCCTCTCTATACAGCAGGATATGTCCTCTCTATACAGCTGGATATGTCCTCTCTATACAGTAGGATATGCCCTCTCTATACAGCAGGATATGTCCTCTCTATACAGCAGGATATGTCCTCTCTATACAGCTGGATATGTCCCTCTCTATACAGCAGGATATGTCCTCTCATATACAGCAGGATTCCCTCTTCCGCAGGATATGTCCTCTCTATACAGCAGGATATGTCCTCTCTATACAGCAGGATATGTCCTCTCTATACAGCAGGATATGCCCTCTCTATACAGCAGGATATGTCCTCTCTATACAGCTGGATATGTCCTCTCTATACAGCTGGATATGTCCTCTCTATACAGCAGGATATGTCCTCTCTATACAGCAGGATATGTCCTCTCTATACAGCAGGATATGTCCTCTCTATACAGCAGGATATGTCCTCTCTATACAGCAGGATATGTCCTCTCTATACAGCAGGATATGTCCTCTCTATACAGCAGGATATGTCCTCTCTATACAGCAGGATATGCCCTCTCTATACAGCAGGATATGTCCTCTCTATACAGCAGGATATGTCCTCTCTATACAGCAGGATATGTCCTCTCTATACAGCAGGATATGTCCTCTCTATACAGCAGGATATGTCCTCTCTATACAGCAGGATATGTCCTCTCTATACAGCAGGATATGTCCTCTCTATGCAGCTGGATATGTCCTCTCTATGCAGCAGGATTTGTGTCCATACATTAAGCCCATATCCAGTCTTAAGAGTTCAGATGGATGGCTTGTGCGTACTCCCCCTCCTCTTCCAGTGCTGTAGTGCTGAGTCCGTGACCGGGAGGCACACACACAGTGTTCCTCGTCTTCCTCCTCCTCCAGCTGCTCATCTTCCTCTCCTTCCTCATGTCCCCCAGAGACATGTAGGAGGAGACTGTGTTCCGCAAGCCAAAGCTGAGCATAGAGTCTCTGTTGCCAGGGTAACGATGAGGCTGGTCTGTCAGCTCCGAGCTGGGGTTAGAATAGATGTGATGCAGCGTTAGTATATGGAGTTAGCCTGTTATCTATCCCTGATAAAGTACATTGAAAGCTAAACTCCAAACTAAGCTCAAACCATATGTAATTGTCAGAATCCATGAAACTCCCAGAGAGGGGTGGTGACAGATACAGATGGATGGAGAGAAACAAGGTTGGAGAGAGAGGGATGAAATTTGGAGACAGAGAGATGAAGGTTGGAGAGAGAGGGATGAAGGTGTTAACCATTGGATGGAGAGAAACAAGGTTGGAGAGAGAGGGATGAAGTTTGGAGACAGAGAAATTAAGGTTGGAGGGAGAGAGGGATGAAGGTTGGAGAGAGGGATGAAGGTAGAGAGAGAGGGATGAAGGTGAGAAGAGAGATGAAGGTGGAGAGAGAGGGATAAAGATTGGAGAGAGGGATGAAGGTAGAGAGAGAGGGATGAAGGTGGAGAGAGAGGGATGAAGGTAGAGAGAGAGGGATGAAAGTGGAGAGAGAGGGATGAAGGTGGAGAGAGAGAGATGAAGGTGGAGAGAGAGAGATGAAGGTGGAGAGAGAGAGCTGAAAGTTGGAGAGAGAGCTGAAGATTGAAGAGAGAGGGATAAAGGTTGGCGAGCGAGGGATGAAAGTGTGAGAGAGGGATGAAGGTTGGAGAGGGATGAAGGTTGGAGAGGGATGAAGGTTGGAGAGGGATGAAGGTTGGAGAGGGATGAAGGTTGGAGAGGGATGAAGGTTGAAGAGAGAGGGATGAAAGTGGAGAAAGAGGGATGAAAGTTGGAGAGAGAGGGATGAAGGTTGGAGAGGGATGAAGTTTGGAGAGGGATGAAGGTTGGAGAGGGATGAAGGTTGGAGAGGGATGAAGGTTGGAGAGAGAGGGATGAAAGTGGAGAAAGTGGGATGAAAGTTGGAGAGAGAGAGATGAAGGTTGGAGAGAGAGAGATGAAGGTTGGAGAGAGAGAGATGAAGGTTAGAGAGAGGGATGAAGGTTGGAGAGAGGGATGAAGGTGAGAGGGATGAAGATGCAGAGAGAGGGAAAGAGAGGTAAACGTTAGAGGAAGAGGTACCTGTTGACATCTTTCCAGTCAAAATTGTTGTGCATCACCACATGGGGCGCCTGGGAGGCCAGGTTGAGGTTGCCATTGGTTACAGCCTGACAGGGGGTGGTGAGGAGACAGCACAGGCCATCTGCACAATCTGTCAAAGAGGAGGGGCCACTTTCTTTACCAGAAACCATACACAGCTATCCTGTGGTTATAACCAGTTAGCTACCATAAACAGTGACTAAAATGTAAATGTACAAGGACACATTAATGGCACAAGGAGAGCACTAGAATTGAATGTCTTCCACATCCACAAAATAGCCTACTTCACAAATGTACTTCCACTACAGTCGACAGCTCTTATGACTCCACTTAGTTACTGAATATAGCATAGCATTACAGTGCATTGGAGTTGGTGTGGCTTGAAAGAGTCAATAATTCCACGTTAGAAAGTAATAACTACCATACCAGTGGTGTCATGAGTTCTAAAATAATGAATGGTTCCAGCCCTTATAATAATGCTGTACTTGTCAGCTTATCTTTCCTATAAATAGTTTCCATAGAGTCTACATGTGTATGGCTTTAATGTCAGAATGTAATATTCATCAGATATGTTAGCGTCCTGGAAAAACCTATTTTTTAAAAAGAAAAGGGGAAAAAAAGAAATGTATTTTCAGATATGACTATTGCCAGACATATTGCCTTTAATCATGAACCTTTCACAGATCATGGAGGGGGATGACTGCTTTAATCATGAACCTTTCACAGATCATGGAGGGGGATGACTACTATAATCATGAACCTTTCACAGATCATGGAGGGGGATGACTACTTTAATCATGAACCTTTCACAGATCATGGAGGGGGATGACTACTATAATCATGAACCTTTCACAGATCATGGAGGGGGATGACTACTTTCAATTTATGTATTTTTTTTTTTAATCTACAAAAAAGTGAGAAACAAGGTTTTTCAAGGACACCGATGAATAGATTTGGACTAAATATCCACGATTATGTCCCCATGGATTGTTATTTACCAGAGTAGTGGTTGACAAGGTCCTCCAGACACTGGAAGGTCAGACCAGGTGAGATGTAGTACCAGTTGTTGGGAAGGCGGATGATGCGATAGTGTACCATAGCCCTGTGACGTACAGACAGGGTATACACACCTACAACACCACCCAGTCAAAGAAAAACAATACATCATTGAATCCGTATAAAGTGGGTTGATTTTGGTTGATCATTTTAGTAGTTGACGTGAGAAAATGTATTGGCAGCCCTGTAGTCTAGTTTAGACGAAAGGCTTTATAACACCAACTTTTATATATATACCATTTATTTACGCCATTTAGCGGTCACCTTTATCCAAAGTGATTTACAGTAGTGCTTGCATACCCACAAACCTCGCGTTGCAAGTACAATGCCCTACAAACGGAGCCACGCAGGACCACCACAGGACCACCTAAGATCCATTTAAGTTACTGTGCAGACATCTCTAGGCCACTCACCTTTTTGACTTTCTCTTATCATGAAGGAGCCAGCTCTGTTTCCGGGCAGACGAAGCAGTTCCTCTGCTTTGGGTCGGGCCACCCCTTCAAACAACCAGCTAAATGAATAAGATTAAAGTTCAACCATTATCATCAAGCATGCCTTAATGCTTAGAACCTCCCCTAAAACAACAGCTGTGAAATAAAGATTAAAACATATCACTAGCCATTTGAATAACCTTTGTGATAGCCTTGTACCTTTTCAGAAATACCAAGCATTAAGAGCATTATCGTCCGTTAGGTCACTTTTATGCCTTAAAGGCAGATAGATACATGGGCACTGACTAGGAAAGTGTTCAGGTTAGTATATGTAGCCAGGCAGAGTACATGGCAACTGGACCAGGAAAGTGGCAGGTTAGCTATACTGTAAGGCATGCGGGATGACATGGCACTGGGACCAGGAAAAGTGTTCAGGTTAGTATTATGTAGCAGGCCGATGACATGGCACTGGACCAGGAAAGTGTCAGGGTTAGTATATTGTAGCAGGCGGATGACATGGGCACTGGACCAGGAAAGTGTCAGGTAGTATATGTAGCAGGCAGATGACATGGCACTGGACCAGGAAAGTGTCAGGTTAGTAATGTAGCAGGCAGATGACATGGCATGACCAGGAAAGTGTCAGGTTAGTATATGTAGCAGGCAGATGACATGGCACTGGACCAGGAAAGTGTCAGGTTAGTATATGTAGCAGGCGGATGACATGGCACTGGACCAGGAAAGTGTCAGGTTAGTATATGTAGCAGGCAGATTACATGGCACTGGACCAGGAAAGTGTCAGGTTAGTATATGTAGCAGGCAGATGACATGGCACTGGACCAGGAAAGTGTCAGGTAGGTTAGTGTTGCAGTGAGTTCACCCACCCGTGATAGACCTTGGCCACATGGTTGTTGGGGATGTAGTTCTCATATCCTGTTTGGACAGAACAAACCCTCCACCAGTAACCCTCCCTGACAGAAGACAAGAAGGAAGGAGAGTGAGTCCCAAATAGCATTTAGTTCACTATAGGCCAATAGGGCTCTGGTCAAAAGAATTGGCCAGATTTGATCCCTTCTCTGTCAGTCTAGTCAAACAGATCAGCTCTAAGAAGAGGTAGTGTTGTGTTGAGGTACTGAATGTGGAGGACTAGGCCTGCGTCCCAAATTGCCCCCTAGTCCCTATATAGTGCACTACTTTTGACCAGGGCCCATTGCACTCTATTCCCAAAAGGGCTCTGGTCAAAAGTAGTGCACTATATAGGGAATAGGGGTGCCATTTGGGACACAGTCCTTAGATTCAGTTGGGTTCAGTCACTCACTCTGCCAGGAGTCTCAGTCTCTCTCCTATCCTGAAGAGAGGCACACTGACGTCTGCTGAGGGGTAGTCCGACAGGACTACCAGGGTATCACTGACGTCTGCTGAGGGGTAGTCCGACAGGACTCCCAGGGTATCACTGACGTCTGCTGAGGGGTAGTCAGACAGGACTACCAGGGTATCACTGACGTCTGCTGAGGGGTAGTCCGACAGGACTACCAGGGTATCACTGACGTCTGCTGAGGGGTAGTCCGACAGGACTCCCAGGGTATCACTGACGTCTGCTGAGGGGTAGTCAGACAGGACTCCCAGGGTATCACTGACGTCTGCTGAGGGGTAGTCCGACAGGACTACCAGGGTATCACTGACGTCTGCTGAGGGGTAATCCGACAGGACTCCCAGGGTATCGTTGTCTGGCAAGAAGGGAAACCATAATGATTAATAATATACACAGTCATTTGTAATGGTAAAGTCATACAGATATACAGTACGTACAGAATGTTTTAATTCTATATTTCTGGTTAAAGTCTTCTCTTTATAGTGGTCAGTGTGAAAAACAGTCCCCTCCTGTGCCAGTCTGGCCCAGCGGGAACTAGTGGTGGTTATTTAAGCAGAGGGAGGACAACGTTTTTATTTAATGAGCATGGCCTTATTTGGCAATAAATTAATAAAACCAAAAGCTTACCTTGACTTGGAAGAGTTCCAGTGTTGGATAGCCACTGCCAGCTAGCTAACATAGCATAATCTCTGTTTGAGCCGGGTGTTTGAGTAGGATAAACTAGCTAGCTGCATTCGCTAGCTAAGGAAGTGAAAGTGAAAAACATACTACAAAAAAATATAGCTAGCTCTCTCGCTTGATTAATTTTTGAATAAATTAATTTGTTCAACACTGTTCAACTATTGTCTTTCTCTCTCTTTGAGTCAGCTACTCACCACATGTTATGCACTGCAGTGCTAGCTAGCGGTAGCTTATGCTTTCAGTACTAGATTCATTCTCTGATCCTTTGATTGGGTGGACAACATGTCAGTTCATGCTGCAAGAGCTCTGATAGGTTGGAGGACGTCCTCCGGAAGTTGTCATAATTACTGTGTAAATCTATGTAAGGGGGTGAGAACCTCTAATGGTTATTTACTGTGGAGTGCATAATGTACGAGGTGACTGTAGTTCATCGTCATAGCTGATGTAACCAATGGGAAAACGCCATGTACTGGTGTACTATCTTAATTTGACCAGTTTCTCACAGCAGGAAAATAATCCTTCAGCAACAGGAAATGTAAATTATTGTGTGGATTATAATTAATGGACATTTTTGTAGGGGTTGATACCTTTTTAGTTAGGAAAAATCAAGTCTGACATTTTAAAATGGAAATTACAAACGAAGAAGCATTTTTAAAACTTAGAATACACAACAATTAGTATTTCCTTCTGCAAAGGAAAATTCTCTGCGACAACAGAGTGATCAAATTAAGAGAGTACATCTGTACAGTATCTCCCAATAACTAGCGAAAGCAGACGTGTTATCAGGTCGTCCATATCACATGAAGATTATATTATTTTTCCATTCAGTCAGCAGCTCTTGCGCGGTCATTTCAAGACGCTAAACGCTCACACACTGATGCTGTTACAAAAACATTTAAAAAAAAATTGTTTTTGTATGTTTGTTTTTACATAGGAGTACATGTTGTTACAAGTCAGGGAGTAGGGAAGTAGGATACTGTTCAGAATTTAATTTAATGAAGAAATATGTTTTATATTACATCATGGTCCATTAAAAAGCATGTTGTTAGAGGTGCTGACGAACTGAATAGTAAACTGTCTACAACAGAAAGTTCTACACTGTATATATACTCCCAACAATATACTCCCAACAATTTAATTGGTAAACAAAATATAGCAAATATTGCGTGGTGATCATTTGACCTAATTCTAAATTATTTTCTTCATTTATAAGCTTGCGGTAGTTTGGCTACAGTTTGCATGAGAGGAGCCTTATTTATTTTGGGTGACATTATGCAAATGTTTACACATGCACAGAGCATGACAGGGCCAGTACAGCTTATGAAAACAGTGTCAGTCTACCAAGTCAGTCCACCCTTACTTAACAAGTACATTAAATTAACTATTGCCCATTAAAGAGGCAATCTGCGATTCTGAACTTTTAAATGAATTAATATATAGCCATTCTTGAATAATTTTTATTTATTTTGCCCCTTTAACAGGATCCTTTCATTAACAAAACAATAATTACCTAAATACAGGCTTCCTTAACCAGAGAGACTTACTTCTCAGAGAGGGGTCAGAGCTGGTGTTGGTGTCATCCCCATTCGCTGGCATAGAGACTGGGCTGGTCCTGACGTTCCCCATGTCTGGTCAGAGAGCCTTGTTGTTCATTTGGATGCAGGAATAAAGTGCTGGGAAGCAGCAGTGCTATGCATGCGTGCCTCTCATTCCTTTATCTCACTATTTAGCCCAGCACTGGTATTCTCAAGTTTAGGATGTCGATATCATCCTCCTTTCTTCAGAGAGCCTAACAACACCAGCCTGTAGCAGTCTCAGCCGTTGTACCTAATACAACCCCATATTTGGTACAATATAACCTGAATTAGCTTAGCATGATGCTACAGTACTGTATAACGGTGATAAGCAGCAGCTTATCCGTCTATTCTATGCATCCTGCCAATCTGTTTTTGTTTAGCTTATCTTGTCACTTCCTCCCTAATGGGGAAGTTGAGTGTAGCTTGTTTTTCACCACATTTTTCCACTCCTGAAATAGACTAATCACCACAGGACAGTAGCTAATAGGTTATAGACTAATCACCACAGGACAGTAGCTAATAGATTATAGACTAATCACCACAGGACAGGCTATAGATTTATAGACATTAGATCATCCATGGACAAAATTAGCTATCAATAGATCATATTAGCTATCTTACATAGAGACAGTATTAATAAGTTAAGCTAGATCCTTTCTCAGCTTAGCTCAGTGAGACTAACACCACATGGAGTGTACTGACGTTACATTATCTACACAGAGTGGCACAGTATCACTTTCATCTAGTGGTTTCTACTGTTACTCATTCCATTTCTCTCCAAATGCTAGCTTCATATATATTTTCCATCTCATGCTATGTGTATGACTAGTAGCCCAGAGCAGTAGTTAGGCATGCCTGAGTTCCCGGAGTGGCTTCTCCCTCTGACTATCACCCGGCGTGCAGATCAACACCAGCACTGACTAGTTCACTAGTACTTCTGTAACCCAACATCTTTGCTCTTATATCCCCAGGGTGGCTCTGTGTTCTCCTCTGCCTCAGTGCTGAGTGGTTCTCTGACTCTGTCCTCCTCTCTCTCTCTCTCTCTCTCCCCAGGGTGGCTCTGTGTTCTCCCCTGCCTCAGTGCTGAGTGTATCCAAGGCCCAGAGGCAGGCTGAGGCTCTGGCCCGGGAGCTGGGCTGTCCCCCCTCTGACCCAGAACAGCTGGCCTCCTGCCTGAGAGCAGCACCAGCACAGGACCTCAACGCTGCCCAGACTAAGGTACTGTTGGCCTTGTAGACCCAGACCAAGGTACTGTTGGCCTTATAGACCCAGACCAAGGTACTGTTGGCCTTGTAGACCCAGACCAAGGTACTGTTGGCCTTATAGACCCAGACCAAGGTACTGTTGGCCTTATAGACCCAGACTAAGGTACTGTTGGCCTTATAGACCCAGACCAAGGTACTGTTGGCCTTATAGACCCAGACCAAGGTACTGTTGGCCTTATAGACCCAGACCAAGGTACTGTGGCCTTATGACCCAGACCAAGGGTACTGTTGGCCTTATAGACCCAGACTAAGGTACGGTTGCCTTATAGACCCAGACCAAGGTACTGTGGCCTTTAGAAGACCAAGACCAGGTACTGTTGGCCTTATAGACCCAGACCAAGGTACTGTGGCCTTATAGACCCAGACCAAGGTACTGTTGGCCTTATGACCCAGACCCTTATAGACACAAGGTACGTGTGGCCTTATAGACCCAGACAAGGTATTTGGCCTTATAGACCCAGACAAGGTACTGTTGGCCTTATAGACCCAGACCAAGGTACTGTTGGCCTTATAGCCCAGACAAGGTACTGTTGGCCTTATAGACCCAGACAAGGTACTGTGGCCTTAAGGACCCGACTAAGTACATGTTGGCCTTATAGACCCAGACTAAGGTACTGTTGGCCTTATAGACCCAGACTCAGGTACTGTTGGCCTTATAGACCCAGACCAAGGTACTGTTGGCCTTATAGACCCAGACTTATAGACCCAGACTAAGGTACTGTTGGCCTTATAGACCCAGACCAAGGTACTGTTGGCCTTATAGACCCAGACTAAGGTACTGTTGGCCTTATAGACCCAGACTTAGACCCAGACTAGTACTGTGGCCTTATAGACCCAGACCAAGGTACTGTTGGCCTTATAGACCAGACAAGGTACTGTTGGCCTTATAGACCCAGACCAAGGTACTGTTGGCCTTATAGACCCAGACTTATAGACCCAGACTAAGGTACTGTTGGCCTTATAGACCCAGACTAAGGTACTGTTGGCCTTATAGACCCAGACTAAGGTACTGTTGGCCTTATAGACCCAGACTAAGGTACTGTTGGCCTTATAGACCCAGACCAAGGTACTGTTGGCCTTATAGACCCAGACCAAGGTACTGTTGGCCTTATAGACCCAGACTAAGGTACTGTTGGCCTTATAGACCCAGACTAAGGTACTGTTGGCCTTATAGACCCAGACTAAGGTACTGTTGGCCTTATAGACCCAGACTAAGGTACTGTTGGCCTTATAGACCCAGACCAATGTACTGTTGGCCTTATAGACCCAGACCAAGGAAGGTAGCCTGTTTCTGTAGTGAGGCAGCTTGATGTAGTTTGTGTGTTTGTATTGGTATTGATATGTAGGCTACGTGTGCCTTTTTAAAATTATTATTTTATTTTTAAAAATATTGATGTAGTTCTGTTCTTGTCTGTTAATGTTCTGTATTATGTCATGTTTCATGTGGACCCCAGGAAGAGTAGCTGCTGCTTTTGGAACAGCTAATGGGGATCCTAATAAAAGACCAAATACCAAAATACCCCCCAATTTTTTTTTATTTAAAACCCCTGGACAGGACACTAGTCTATCTTCTGTTTCTGTAGCGTTTGGCAGCTTGATGTACCGGTATACCCCCTGGACAGGACGCTAGTCTATCTTCTGTTTCTGTAGCTTCTTTTTGACATTTTTCAATATAATATATCTATTAAAAACACATGCTGTGTTCCCATTCTAACAGGTATCATAGGTTGTATTCCAAATGGCACCCTATTCCCTGTTTAATTCCAAATGGCACCCTATTCCCTGTTTAGTGCACTACTTTTGACTAGGGCCCATAGGGCTCTGGTCGAAAGTAGTGCACTATAAAGGCAATAGATGCTATTTGGGTCATCGTTTTTTTGTTTTTCTGTCAAATGTTCTGTTATCTGTTTCAGTTGCTGTCAGTCAGTGGGCCCCTGCAGGCCTGGGGTCCAGTGGTGGATGGGGTCTCTGTCCAGGGGAAACCCTCCATGGCCCTGATGAATGCACTCTCCCACAGAGCTGACCTCCTGCTGGGCTCCTCCGCAGAGGATGGACTCATCAGCAGGGCCAAGAGGATCAAGGTGAGAACCAGAGATCCTACAATTCATAGGCGTTCTTTATGTATTTCTATGGTGAGAACATTCACTTCTAGTATCGTCCATCTATTTAGTTGTACCTGTTTATTGAGCTTTCTCCATGCTTTAGGATGGAACTGGGGAATTCGGCTTTTTGTTTTTCATATAAGATATATTATAATGCGTTAACTCCTAGTTCAACTCAGCTAGTGACTACTGTGTTGGCGGTTTGTCCTCATTCATATCAATGCATCCCCAATTATTAGTGTTGATTTAGTATTACTATACTCAGCCACATTTCATATCACCAACTTCTACTTTTCCCCCCTAATGTCTGACGACAGAACTTTGAGGAGCTCCAGGGGCGAGCTGACAGTAAAACAGCGTTCTACGAAGCCCTGTCCAACTCTCTGGGTGGAGACGATGCCAATGCTTTTGTCAAGGCTGCAGCTACCTGGTTTTACTCTATGCAGCACTCTCCCTCTCCTGCTGGTTACAATGTCTTCTCTCAGGCTCTTAACAATGCAACCAGGTGAGAAATGTGCTAAGCACACTACTGTATACAGTATTCATGGAGTTCCAGAATACCTTCCTCTTATTCATAGAATTTAGTGTATCAATATACAGTTCCTGTTTGGAGAAGCAAGCACCATAATAATCTAATCATGTCACAAGATACCATTCTCTGTTCAGTTCTGTGTATTCAGTTATCAGTTCAGTTCGGTTCATTTATTTGGCCTTTTACAGGAATTTGTGTCTTCGCGTTCAAGAGCACTGAGTTCTATACAGTGAGTTCTATACAGTGAGTTCTATACAGTGAGTTCTATGCAGTGAGTTCTATACAGTGAGTTCTATACAGTGAGTTCTATAAAGTGAGTTTTATACAGTGCCTTCAGAAAGTATTCATACCCCTTGACTAATTGTGTTACAGCCTGAATTCAAAATTGTTTAAATTGATATTTTTCCTCACCCATCTACACACAATACCCCATAATGACAAATTTATTGAAAATGAAATACAGAAATATCTTATTTACGTAAGTATTCACACCTGATACACCTTTGGCGGAGATTACAGCTTTGAGTCGTATTGGGATATGTCTGTATCAGCTTTGCACGTCTGGATTTTGAGATTTTCTCCCATTCTTCCGGGCTGATTTTCTCAAAATCTGTTAAGTTATATGGGGAGCGGCGGTGAACAGCAATCTTCAAGTCTTTCCACAGATTTTCAATGGGATTCAAGTCTGGGCTTTGGCTGGGCCACTCAAGGACTTTCACATTCTTGTTCTGAAGCCATTCCATCATTGCTTTGGCTCTATGCTTGCAGTCATTGTCCTATTGGAACGTAAAGCAGGTTCTCATATAGGATTTGCCTGTATTGCTGAAAAGCATCCCCATAGCATGATGCTGCCACCACCATGCTTCACGGTAGGGATGGTGTTAGACGGGTGATGAGCTGTGCCTGGTTTTCTCCAATCATAGCGCTTTGCATTCAGGCCAAAGAGTTACATTTTTGTCTCATCAGACCACAGAATATTTTGCTTTATGCTCGGAGTCTTTCATGTGCCTTTTTGCAAACTCCAGGTGTGCTGTCATTTGCCTTTTTCTCAGGAGTGGCTTCCATCTGGCCACTCTCACATAAAGCCCAGATTGGTGGAGTGCTGTAGAGACAGTTATTCTTCTGGCAGGTTCTCCCATCTTAGCCAAGGAACTCTGCAGTTTTGTCAGAGTGGTCATTGGGTTCTTGGTCACCTCCCTGACCAAAGTCCTTCTTGTCCGGTTGCTCAGTTTGGTCAAACGGCCAGCTCTAGGCAGAGTCTGGGTAGTTCCATATTTTTTCAATTTTCCAATGATGAAGACCACTGAGTTCTTGGAAACTTTCAACACTCTAGAAATGGTTTTATACCCTTCCCCAGATATATGCCTCATCACAACAGTTCCTTAGACTTCATGGTATAGTTTCTGCTCTGACATGCACTGTCAACTGTGGGACCTTATATACACAGGTGTGTTTCTTTCTAAATCATGCCCAAACAATTGAATTGGCCACAGATGGACTCCAATCAAGTTGTAGTGACATCTCAAGGATGATCAAAGGAAATTGGATGCACCTGAGCTCAATTTGGAGTGTCATAGGAAAGGGGTGTGAATACATATGTAAATTAGATATTTCTGTATTTTATTTTTGATAAATTAGCTAACAATTCTTAAAACATGTTTTCACTTTGTCATTATGGGATATTGTGTGTAGATGGGTGAGAACATGTTTTATTTAATCAATACTTTCTGAAGGCCATACAGTGAGTTCTATACAGTGAGTTCTATACAGTGAGTTCTATACAGTGAGTTCTATACAGTGAATTCAAGGCAGTTAGTTTTACGCAGTGCGTTCGGTACAGTGAGTTATATGCAGTGAGTTCTATACAGTGAGTTCTATACAGTGAGTTCTATACAGTGAGTTCTATACAGTGAGTTCTATACAGTGAATTCAAGGCAGTTAGTTTTACGCAGTGCGTTCAGTACAGTGAGTTATATGCAGTGAGTTCTATGCAGTGAGTTCTACGCAGTTAGTTCTACACAGTGAGTTCTACACAGTGAATTCAAGGCAGTTAGTTCTACGCAGTGAGTTCTATACAGTGCAGAGTGAGTAGAGACTCATACCTAGAGTATAGACCTCTTTACACTTATATGTTGCTTTACTGTCATTGACAAACTGGAACAGGGTGTGCATCCCAAATGGCACCCTATTCCCTATATAGTGTACTACTTTCGACCCGAGCCCTGTGGGCCCTGTTCAAAAGTAGTGCACTATAAAGGGAATAGGGTGCCATTTGGGACGCAACACTGAATAACTGGAACAGAGGGTGTTTCACTTGTGGTCCAGAGGAAGGAAACAGCCAGCCAAGTGAAGACTGAAATAACCTGAGGATTTAGAAGAACTGTGTGAGCTGTTTTACTGATAGTGTTAGAAGCAGTGTGTGTAGAAAAGAAAGAAATGTAACCATTCAGAAATAGAACTGCTAGTGCTGTGGCGCAGCCATTTAACTTGGCCCTGCAATGGGACATAGACCAAGCTTTTCACCAGGGATGTGCCATAAGGAAACGTCAGGGCATATATTCATAAAGCGTCTTAGAGAAGGAATGCTGATCTAGGACCAGTTTTGCCTTTTGGATTATAAAATGAATGGATAGATGGAATCTGATTCTATACTGAACAAAAATATAAACGCAGCATGCAACAATTTTCAAAGATTTGACTGAGTTACAGTTCATATAAGGAAATCAGTCAATTGAAATAAATAAATTAGGCCTTAAAGTATGGATTTCACATGACTGGGCAGGGGCGCAGCCATAGGTGGGCCTGGGAGGGTACAGGCCCACCCACTTGGCAGCCAGGCCCAGCCAGGACCCCCACCCCCAACTGTCAGGTGGATGGGTTATCTTGGCAAAGGGGAAATGCTCACTAACAGGGATGTAAACAAATTTGTGCACAACATTTGAGAGAAATAAGCTTTTTGTGTGTATGAAACATTTACTGGGATTTTGTATTTCAGTGAATGAAACATGGGACCAACACTTTACATGTTGCGTTTATACACTGCTCAAAAAAATAAAGGGAACACTTAAACAACACATCCTAGATCTGAATGAATGAAAAAATCTTATTAAATACTTTTTTCTTTACATAGTTGAATGTGCTGACAACAAAATCACACAAAAATTATCAATGGAAATCAAATGTATCAACCCATGGAGGTCTGGATTTGGAGTCACCCTCAAAATTAAAGTGGAAAACCACACTACAGGCTGATCCAACTTTGATGTAATGTCCTTAAAACAAGTCAAAATGAGGCTCAGTAGTGTGTGTGGCCTCCACGTGCCTGTATGACCTCCCTACAACGCCTGGGCATGCTCCTGATGTGGTGGTGGATGGTCTCCTGAGGGATCTCCTCCCAGACCTGGACTAAAGCATCCGCCAACTCCTGGACAGTCTGTGGTGCAACGTGGCGTTGGTGGATGGAGCGAGACATGATGCTCCACCTGCTCCTCCTTGCACAAAGGCGGAGGTAGCAGTCCTGCTGCTGGGTTGTTGCCCTCCTACGGCCTCCTCCACGTCTCCTGATGTACTGGCCTGTCTCCTGGTAGCGCCTCCATGCTCTGGACACTACGCTGACAGACACAGCAAACCTTCTTGCCACAGCTCGCATTGATGTGCCATCCTGGATGAGCTGCACTACCTGAGCCACTTGTGTGGGTTGTAGACTCTGTCTCATGCTACCACTAGAGTGAAAGCACCGCCAGCATTCAAAAGTGACCAAAACATCAGCCAGGAAGCATAGGAACTGAGAAGTGGTCTGTGGTCACCACCTGCAAAACCAGTCCTTTATTGGGGGGTGTCTTGCTAATTGCCTATAATTTCCACCTGTTGTCTATTCCATTTGCACAACAGCATGTGAAATGTATTGTCAATCAGTGTTGCTTCCTAAGTGGACAGTTTGATTTCACAGAAGTGTGATTGACTTGGAGTCACATTGTGTTGTTTAAGTGTTCCCTTTATTTTTTTGAGCAGTGTATTTTTGTTCAGTTCAGCACTCCTACTCTGAGACACTTCATGAATACGGTCCCAGATTCACTCAAGATCAATAATTATTTCCGTCATCTTATATGCAATGGATTCTGTACATACTGTATGTCTCTGTAGTTATGCGTATGTTCTGTATATATCTGCAGTATTGACAGAGATGTTCTTCTAATGCGTATGTTCTGTATATATCTGCAGTATTGACAGAGATGTTCTTCTAATGCGTATGTTCTGTATATATCTGCAGTATTGACAGAGATGTTCTTCTAATGCGTATGTTCTGTATATATCTGCAGTATTGACAGAGATGTTCTTCTAATGCGTATGTTCTGTATATATCTGCAGTATTGACAGAGATGTTCTTCTAATGCGTATGTTCTGTATATATCTGCAGTATTGACAGAGATGTTCTTCTAATGCGTATGTTCTGTATATATCTGCAGTATTGACAGAGATGTTCTTCTAATGGGTATGTTCTGTATATATCTGCAGTATTGACAGAGATGTTCTTCTAATGCGTATTTTCTGTATATATCTGCAGTATTGACAGAGATGTTCTAGAGACAGGCTTTGGTAGTTATATGAATGGTTTCCGCTGCCTCTCCTCTTCAGCGTTTACTGCACTGGACTTCACCCACATAATAACTAGTGTCAAATATAGCAGGGAACAGGGCTGACGCTGACCCACACAACACACCCATGGACCTGCGGTTAGCTCAGGATAGCAGCCGACCGATGCCTTGAAGAGGAAAAACAACAGCATATCTCACATTCACAACATGTATTTTAGTAAAAGAGTCCTGACCTGAAACTATCACTATGCTAGGAGTTATACTAGACATTCTCCAGAGTTCAAAATGCCTGTAACTTAAAGGCAGATATGTCCACTGCTCGTTTATCCACATCCATCAGTGCATTTTGGCTGCAGCAGGAGTGGCCCCTCGCTCAGTAAATACCCGCCCTGCTGTAACACACTGGATATGTCCCAAATGGCACCCTATTCCCTGCATAGTGCACTACCGCTATGGGCTCTGGTCAAAAGTAGTGCACTATATAGGGAATCGGGTGCCATTTGGAACCTAGCCTTAGTTAACTAGCCTGGGTTCTGTGGCAGCCAGACAGACCATTTCTTCTGAAGACACACATACACACACACACACAACCCTCAGTCACACATGCACACACACACAACCCTCAGTCACACATACACACACACAACCCTCAGTCACACACACACACACACAACCCTCAGTCACACACACACACACAACCCTCAGTCACACACACACACACACACAACCCTCAGTCACACACACACACACACACAACCCTCAGTCACACACACACACACACAACCCTCAGTCACATACACACACACACAACCCTCAGTCACACATGCACACACACACAACCCTCAGTCACACATACACACACACAACCCTCAGTCACACACACACACACACAACCCTCAGTCACACACACACACACACAACCCTCAGTCACACACACACACACACAACCCTCAGTCACACATACACACACACAACCCTCAGTCACACATGCACATGTTTGGTTTGTTAGACAACACTGAGTGAGTGATTGTCAGTGAACTGCTGTCCTGTCATGTACAGAATAGGTCCACCTGGATTTATCCTTTCTCTCAGTCTTTGTCCACAAAGCAAAGTGAAACATTTTTCATTTTAGTCATTTAGCAGACGCTCTTATCCAGAGCAACTTACAGTTAGTGAGTGCATACAATAAACAATGCTGTGAAGTGTGTTGAGACAGTGTTAAATGTCTCAACAATGTCTCTCTCTGTCGCTCTCTGTCTCTGCAGAGATCTCTTCATTGTGTGCCCCACCATAAAGATGGCCAACTTCTGGGCAGCTAACTCCAGATCCAATGTGTTCATGTACCACCGTGCCTGAGGACACCGCCCAGACCAGGTAATCACTGGGTGTGAGGAGGACTAGGCAGCCAGGAAGCCAGTTCAGGTCAGGGCTCCAGACCGTTGACTACTAGTCAAGTAGTACTTGCGTTAACTCAGACTACCTTGTTGTGTCCAGCAATACTGGTAAATGTGTTTTGCTGTGTTGCTAGGGAAGTGGCATGATAATGTATTGTTTATTTGTTTTTCTTTGCTGTGTTGCTAGGGAAGTGGCATGATTATTATTTTATTTTTTGTCATTTAGCAGACGCTCTTATCCAGAGCGACTTACAGTTAGTGAGTGCATACATTTTCATACTGCCCCCCCCCCCGTGGGAAACGAACCCACAACCCTGGTGTTGCAAGCGCCATGCTCTACCAACTGAGCGACAGGGGACTACATGATAATGTATTATTTATTTGTTTTGTTTTGCTGTGTTGCTAGGGAAGTGGGATGATAATGTATTATTTTGTATTTGTGTGTGATTTGTTTTCATTTCAGTGCTGACCTGTCAGTGCCCCTGGATGTCCAGTATGTGTTTGGCCTCCCCCACAGCCCACTGACCTACAACCTGTTCACCAACACAGAGAGACGCCTCTCCCTGCAGATGATGACCTACATGGCCAACTTCATCAAGTCCGGGTAAAAAAAAAATACTAAACAGAAATGACTTTAAATAAATGCCAACTATACCGTATAGTAGAGCCATTTCCATCTAAATCAATTGGTTTATTTTGTATTGTTTGTTACATCTAAACCAATTCCCATGACTGGAGAATACTGCCTTATGCATGTGGTATCATAATATATAATATATGCCATTTACAGTGGCTTGCGAAAGTATTCACCCCCCTTGGCATTTATTCTATTTTGTTGCCTTACAACCTGGAATTAAAAATCGATTTTGGGGGGGTTTGTATCATTTGATTTACACAACATGCCTACCACTTTGAAGATGCAAAATATTTTTTATTGTGAAACAAACAAGAAATAAGACAAAAAAACAGAACTTGAGCATGCATAACTATTCACCCCCCCCCAAAGTCAATACTTTGTAGAGCCACCTTTTGCAGCAATTACAGCTGCAAGTCTCTTGGGGTATGTCTCTATAAGCTTGGCACATCTAGCCACTGGGGGGTTTGCCCATTCTTCAAGGCAAAACTGCTCCAGCTCCTTCAAGTTGGATGGGTTCCGCTGGTGTACAGCAATCTTTAAGTCATACCACAGAATCTCAATTGGATTGAGGTCTGGGCTTTGACTAGGCCATTCCAAGACATTTCAATGTTTCCCCTTAAACCACTTTAGTGTTGCTTTAGCAGTATGCTTAGGGTCATTGTCCTGCTGGAAGGTGAACCTCCGTCCCTGTCTCAAATCTCTGGAAGACTGAAACAGGTTTCCTTCAGAATTTCCCTGTATTTAGCGCCATCCATCATTCCTTCAATTCTGACCAGTTTCCCAGTCCCTGCCGATGAAAAACATCCCCACAGCATGATGCTGCCATCACCATGCTTCACTGTGGGGATGGTGTTCTCGTGGAGATGAGAGGTGTTGGGTTTGCGCCAGACATAGCGTTTGATGGCCAAAAAGCTCATTTTTAGTCTCATCTGACCAGAGTACTTTCTCCCATATGTTTGGGGAGTCTCCCACATGCCTTTTGGCGAACACCAAACGTGTGTTCGCCAAAACGTGCGGCCCTCTCTTGGCAGTTTTGTTGTGGTGCCATATTCTTTCATTTTTTAAATAATGGATTTAATGGTGCTCCGTGGGATGTTCAAAGTTTCTGATATGTTTTTATAACCCAACCCTGATCTGTACTTCTCCACAACTTTGTCCCTGACCTGTTTGGAGAGCTCATTGGTCTTCATGGTGCCGCTTGCTTGGTGGTGCCCCTTGCTTAGTGGTGTTGCAGACTCTGGGGCCTTTCAGAACAGGTGTATATATACTGAGATCATGTGACAGATCATGTGACACTTAGATTGCACACAGATGGACTTTATTTAACTAATTATGTGACTTCTGAAGGTAATTGGTTGCACCAGATCTTATTTAGGGGCTTCATAGCAAAGGGGGTGAACACATATGCATGCACCATTTTTCCGTTATTTATTTTTTAGAATTTTTTGAAACAAGTTATTGTTTTAGTTTCACTATTTTGTGTATGTCCACTACATGAAATCCCAAAAAAAATCCATTGAAATTACAGGCTGTAATGCAACAAAATAGGAAAAACGCCAAGGGGGATGAATACTTTTGCAAGGCACTGTAGCAGACGCTTTTATCCAAAGTGACTTACAGTCATGTGTGCATACTACGTCTCTTAAAGTATGTTTTCTCCTCCTGAACAGAGATCCCAACCAGGCTCACAGTGTGTCCCGCGTGGCCTTCAGCGAGGCGGCACTGCCCCCCTGGCATGCCTTCCAGCCCCACCCTGATGGGGACAGCTACATGGAGGTGGAGCCAGGCCTCAGTAACCACAGGGGCCTCCGCAGGGCCCAGTGCTCCTTCTGGGCCGACTACGTCCCCGCTCTGACCGCCTCCACTGGTGGGTCCAAACTGTCCAAACTGAAAATAAGATTACGTAAAACATCAATTTACCAACAAACCACAGACATCTTTGACGAAAAGAACAATGACAGGAACACAAAGGCAAAATAAAAATGAAAACAAGTATTAATTATTCACTTTCTGTATTTTCAGTGTCAGAAGGACATACGTAGAAACATATGTAGCCGGTAATTACAGGCTTAGTACTCTATGTTCTTAGATGGTGCCAAACGTCCAGTCTCCGTCTGCAGAGCTTTTCATCTTTAGGAAAAACATCCATATATCACCGCTTTAGAGAAGAACAAAGCTGCTTCTACTTCATGGGATTACTTGGTGTCACAAGAAAGATGTCTCTGTTTTTCAGGCAAACTTTCATCTGCTGTGTCGGAGGGGGAATCTGCTGGTTTGGGGGCTGGCACGCCAACACCAGAGACCAAGTTATTTGCTGATTTCCTGACAACTGTCACCCAGAGCAAACCCAAGTCAGAGAAGGATGCTTATAATTAGAAAGGACATCCACACTACGTACCATTTAATCAGCATTCAGGGTTTATCATTCACACATAGTGAGAAATGTTGTTTCAACTGCCAAAGTAGTCTATAAATTAAGTAATGTCATTTAACTGCCTGTTAGAGTTTCCATACTAATGAAATAAAACAATTGCATTACAAAATCCTCCTGAAGTCTGTGATGTTTATACTCCCTTCACGTCTAGAGTAGTAATCAGGTAATCTCTCGTCATAGCCTGAACATTCAAATCATCTAGCAACAACAAAGTACTCTTTCCAGGAAGCGCCTCCTCTAGGAGCGTTCCAAAATGATAACCCAAAATATATTTCGACCATTATCAACACATAAACCCACACTACAATAACGTTTGTCATATCTTCCTCTTTAAGTCATGTCATTCGCATTCTTTAATTTCTTCATGCCCAGGATAATTCTTTACTTTGGCCAGTTGCTCAAAAGGAGACAACAAGAGATACAATCTAATATCTAAAAGGTAAAGGTTCCCATGAGGTACCTCTAGTCCTAGTGAACCCAGTGTTTATACTGTAGAGGAACTGGCCCTAACCTTACAGGGGTTACTACTGTTGAGACTGACTGAACTGGCCCTAACCTTACAGGGGTTACTACTGTAGAGACTGACTGAACTGGCCCTAACCTTACAGGGGTTACTACTGTTGAGACTGACTGAACTGGCCCTAACCTTACAGGGGTTTACTACTGTAGAGACTGACTGAACTGGCCCTAACCTTACAGGGGTTACTACTGTAGAGACTGACTGAACTGGCCCTAACCTTACAGGGTTTATTACTGTACTATAGAGACTGACTGAACTGGCCCTAACCTTACAGGGGTTACTACTGTAAGGGACTGACTGAACTGGGCCTAACCTTACAAGGGTTTATATACTGTAGAGACTGACTGAGCTGGCCTAACCGTACAGGTTTATAAACTGTAAGTGTAGAGACCTGAACGGAAACGGGCCTCCTAACCTTACAGGGTTTTATACTGTACTGTAGAGACTGACTGAACTGGCCCTAACCTTACAGGGTTTACTCACTGTAGAGACTGACTGAGCTGGCCCTAACCTTACAGGGTTTATCTGTACTGTAGAGACTGACTGAGCTGGCCCTAACCTTACAGGGTTTACTACTGTACTGTAGAGACTGACTGAGCTGGCCCTAACCTTACAGGGTTATACTGTACTGTAGAGACTGACTGAACTGGCCCTAACCTTACAGGGTTTATACTGTAGAGACTGACTGAGCTGGCCCTAACCTTACAGGGTTTACTACTGTAGAGACTGACTGAGCTGGCCCTAACCTTACAGGGTTTACTACTGTAGAGACTGACTGAACTGGCCCTAACCTTACATGGTTTATCGTACTGTAGAGACTGACTGAACTGGCCCTAACCTTACAGGGTTTATACTGTACTGTAGAGACTGACTGAGCTGGCCCTAACCTTACAGGGTTTATACTGTAGTAACTGTAGAGACTGACTGAGCTGGCCCTAACCTTACAGGGTTTATACTGTACTGTAGAGACTGACTGAGCTGGCCCTAACCTTACAGGGTTTATACTGTACTGTAGAGACTGACTGAACTGGCCCTAACCTTACAGGGTTTACTACTGTAGAGACTGACTGAGCTGGCCCTAACCTTACAGGGTTTACTACTGTACTGTAGAGACTGACTGAGCTGGCCCTAACCTTACAGGGTTTATACTGTACTGTAGAGACTGACTGAGCTGGCCCTAACCTTACAGGGTTTACTACTGTAGAGACTGACTGAGCTGGCCCTAACCTTACAGGGTTTTATACTGTACTGTAGAGACTGACTGAACTGGCCCTAACCTTACAGGGTTTATACTGTACTGTAGAGACTGACTGAACTGGCCCTAACCTTACAGGGTTTATACTGTACTGTAGAGACTGACTGAACTGGCCCTAACCTTACAGGGTTTATACTGTACTGTAGAGACTGACTGAACTGGCCCTAACCTTACAGGGTTTATACTGTACTATAGAGACTGACTGAACTGGCCCTAACCTTACAGGGTTCATACTGTACTGTAGAGACTGACTGAACTGGCCCTAACCTTACATGACCGTAGCTAAGCTTTGTTCCTGGCACTCACACACACTACACTGTTCTGTGTATGTTGTACACATTCCACCTCATGGCTGCCAAATAGATGAACAGAGAAATGAAGAGGAGTTTCAGTATGTGATCTGGACAGATTAATGCTAGTCCTATCTCACCACACCTCTCCTTGTCCTCTATACAGATTAATGCTAGTCCTATCTCACCACACCTCTCCTTGTCCTCTAGACAGATTAATGCTAGTCCTATCTCACCACACCTCTCCTTGTCCTCTAGACAGATTAATGCTAGTCATATCTCACCACACCTCTCCTTGTCCTCTAGACAGATTAATACTAGTCCTATCTCACCACACCTCTCCTTGTCCTCTAGACAGATTAATGCTAGTCCTATCTCACCACACCTCTCCTTGTCCTCTAGACAGATTAATGCTAGTCATATCTCACCACACCTCTCCTTGTCCTCTAGACAGATTAATGCTAGTCCTATCTCACCACACCTCTCCTTGTCCTCTAGACAGGTTAATGCTAGTCATATCTCACCACATCTCTCCTTGTCCTCTAGACAGATTAATGCTAGTCCTATCTCACCACACCTCTCCTTGTCCTCTAGACAGATTAATACTAGTCCTATCTCACCACACCTCTCCTTGTCCTCTGGACAGATTAATGCTAGTCCTATTACACCACACCTCTCCTTGTCCTCTGGACAGATTAATGCTAGTCCTATCACACCACACCTCTACTTGTCTTCTAGACAGATTAATACTAGTCCTATCACACCACACCTCTCCTTGTTCTCTAGACAGATTAATGCTAGTCATATCTCACCACACCTCTCCTTGTCCTCTAGACAGATTAATGCTAGTCCTATCTCACCACACCTCTCCTTGTCCTCTGGACAGATTAATGCTAGTCCTATCACACCACACCTCTCCTTGTCCTCTAGACAGATTAATGCTAGTCCTATCACACCACACCTCTCCTTGTCCTCTAGACAGATTAATGCTAGTCCTATCTCACCACACCTCTTCTTGTCATCTAGACAGATTAATGCTAGTCCTATCACACCACACCTCTCCTTGTCATCTAGACAGATTAATGCTAGTCCTATCACACCACACCTCTACTTGTCCTCTAGACAGATTAATGCTAGTCCTATCACACCACACCTCTCCTTGTCATCTAGACAGATTAATGCTAGTCCTATCACACCACACCTCTACTTGTCCTCTATGCAGATTAATGCTTGTCATATCACACCACACCTCTCCTTGTCCTCTAGTTGAACTACCAGTTCAAGAGGCCCTGCTATGTTGCAACTGGTGTCGCAGGCTGGTCTACGTCCTAAATGGCTCCCTATGTAGTGCACTACATTTGACCAGAGCCATGTGGGTTCTGGTCAAAAGTAGTGCACTTCATCCCATTTGGGATGCATCGACGATCTCCCAATCAACAAATAACAGTGTTTGTGATAGTGTTCCAAAGATTCATAGTGTCAAGTAAATAGTCATATATCAATGTTTATATTAAGAATTCAAACAGTCATAACATATGAATATGTTTATGAGCCATACTAGGTCCCTTGGTTCCTCTACTGTACATTTGTTCTGAAACTAAATTGTGTCATATTCAACATACTTTAGCAACACCCATTTTTGCCTACTTAACAAGTTGTTTGCTTAATTAGGAGCCTCCAACAAGTCTGTTGTCACTGAAAAAATATCTACATTTCCTTTGAAGATGGGACTTTCTTTAGTGTTCCGAGGGTTCATGGTCCTCATCAGAGAGGTCAACAGGTCAGTGTTCCGAGGGTTCACGGTCCTCATCAGAGATCAACAGGTCAGTGTTCCGAGGGTTCACGGTCCTCATCAGAGAGGTCAACAGGTCAGTGTTCCGAGGGTTCACGGTCCTCATCAGAGAGATCAACAGGTCAGTGTTCCGAGGGTTCACGGTCCTCATCAGAAAGGTCAACAGGTCAGTGTTCCGAGGGTTCACGGTCCTCATCAGAGAGGTCAACAGGTCAGAGTTCCGAGGGTTTACGGTCCTCATCAGAGAGGTCAACAGGTCAGAGTTCCGAGGGTTTACGGTCCTCATCAGAGAGGTCAACAGGTCAGTGTTCCGAGGGTTCACGGTCCTCATCAGAGAGGTCAACAGGTCAGTGTTCTGAGGGTTCACGGTCCTCATCAGAGAGGTCAACAGGTCAGTGTTCTGAGTTACGATACCAAAACCCACCTGGTAATTTTCTAGAACTGCCTTAAGGACAAAGGGTGGATTTATTTGTGTGTTTTAATTTCTTAAACACACCAAGGTTAAAGTCATTCTCCAGACCAGTGAATCTACTCTGTTGTATACAGAGCTCTGCTAGAAATATCCTGCTGGGATATCCAATCCCCTCCGGAAGTTTGGCCAGTCTGATTATCATAGGATATCCTCTTGTACCGTTTCTAAGCTCCTAGCTCTGGTCCAGGGCGCTAGTGTGGCTTGTTAACACTGAACGCTGAGCCTCTTCAAGAGGACCAGAGCTACTAAGCCCTCATATCCAAGACTGGAAATAAATAAGAACGACTAGCTGATCGCCGTATCAAAATGTATATTCACAAGCAAACACAGTAGGCATTGTGCAAAGTATAGCTTTGTTTAGCCAGTACTGTACTGAACACCTTAAATAAATGAATGCCCAAATGAGGTTTAATTAAGTCATATACAACATGTGCTTTCATCCTTTTGCAGTGTTCAATTCACCATCTCGTTGAAAACCCAATGAGGGTTCATTAAGTATTTGAGCATCTGTTTGTAGGAGTGACTGTTTCAGTGAAGTTTATAGTTGACCTTTGACTGGGATTATTGAAAGCACACATTGTATGTGCAAGGTTATTCTTCAAGTTTATGTGTGAGATAAATTGAGGTTTTGGACATTTTATTGGGCTATGAAATGTATTTATGTTAAACAGAGGCAGACAGGCAGGCAGGCAGACAGAGACTGTCAAGCTAGCACCTTCTTTGCTGGTTGGTTGATTCATAGTTGATTGGTTTGAATTTGTTAAAAATTGTATTAGATTAATAAATCAACATACAGAGAAGTTTAAGGAAGATGATATTACATTGTATCAACTACTTATTTTTGTTGCTCAGCTCAAGTTTTTTTCTCTTTTTTTAGTAGAGGAGGAGAGGTGGGAATTGAAGAAAGGCAGGGATGAAAATCATTCAAGCAAAACTACAGGGCTTGTCCCGAGGTTTGACGTCAGACAGAAGGACTCACTTGTAGCGAGCATTGACCGGCGCTGGCTATCATTTGCACTGCACGGTTTTGCAATAATCTGAGCTCGTGGGATGCGTTCTATTTTTACAAGAATCTCATTCTGGGTTCAATGAAGTTAATATTGGAATTTCGTAATGAGGTGGCTTCTGCCGTGGATTCTAATAGTAGCCAGCACTCATCAGGTAAGCATAGATTATTTTATTTTATTCTAACCCTCATACTAACTTTTAATGTATTTTATCTATGGTTTTCAAGATTACAGGGTATGGATTCCCGATCATAAGAATATAATGCATATAAATGATCGCAGGTTGTGCACATATATCCATTAGAAAATGTAATTGCGTAATAACGCACGGAGGCATTTTGTGCGCGATGCCAATAACCGGTAGCCCATTATTGGTTTCCCATTGACACTGTGCTATTATCTTGTTGTCAATATTAAGCATACAATAGACCTACTCAGAGAGAATCTGTCTCCGTGGTAGCACTGAAACCTAGACAGTCATGAAACTGTTAGACCGGGCACTTCTCTACTCTCTCCTCCACTCTCTCTTTCTCTCTTTCCTCTAATCTCTCCTCCACCCTCTTTCTCTCTTTCCTCTAGTCTCTCCTCCACCCTCTCTTTCTCTCTTTCCTCTACTCTCTCCTCCACCCTCTCTTTCTCTCTTTCCTCTACTGTCTCCTCCACCCTCTCTTTCTCTCTTTCCTCTAGTCTCTCTTCCACTCTCTCTTTCTCTCTTTCGTCTAGTCTCTCCTCCACCCTCTCTTTCTCTCTTTCCTCTACTCTCTCTTCCACTCTCTCTTTCTCTCTTTCCCCTAGTCTCTCTCTTCCACCCTCTCTTTCTCTCTTTCCTCTAGTCTCTCCTCCACTCTCTCTTTCTCCCTTTCCTCTAGTCTCTCCTCCACCCTCTCTCTTTCTTCTCTCTTTCCTCTCTCTCTCTTCCACCTCTCTTTCTCTCTTTCCTCTAGTCTCTCCTTCTCCTCCACCCTCTCTTTCTCTCTTTCTTACTCTCTCTCCACCCTCTCTTTCTCTCTTTCCTCTATCTCTCTCCTCCACCCTACTCTCTCTCCTTCTCTAGTCTCCCCCTCCTCTTCTCTCTTTCCTCTACTCTCTCTTCCACTCTCTCTTTCTCTCTTTCTCTCTCCTCGTCTCCTCCACCCTCTCTTTCTCTCTTTCCTCTAGTCTCTCCTCCACTCTCTCTTTCTCTCTTTCCTCTACTCTCTCTTCCAATCTCTCTCATTTTAGCTCAGATAATGACAGCTCAGGTACTACCTCAGTTCTCTCTCTGACTAATATCGTTTAAATGTGTTATTAGGTAGGTGTGGTTGAATGACCCTGGCCTGAGAGTTATTTATTTCTATCAGTCACTAGCCTCACTCATTACTTTATAGGGGAAAACCAAACCGCTAGTGCCAATTTGGTGTTTGTGTCCATGGGGCTGGCTGAACTAGATAAAATGCAATAAATGTAAAGACTAAGGAAGTACAAACTTGTACAGTATGTTATGCATGTGAACCCTACCCTACATTGATCTTCAGTCTACAATACTACAGCTCATACACAACTTGATCTTCATCTTTTGCTTGGTGGGGGGACTCCTGGCCTTAGTTTGGAAATGTGTTTCCTTCTGGAATGAAACATATTTCCCCTTGCTGTGCTCTGATTTCATGTACTACTGTTAAAAATGTTCCTGGAAGAACAACTTCCTTCCGCAACAAATTTGGGGTTGAGTGCAACTACAGGCTCCATCCCAATGTAACCCCTGGCTACTGTAACCACTATACTGGCTGGGTGGCCCCATCCCAATGTAACCCCAGTCTACTGTAACCACTATTCTGGCTGGGTGGCCCCATCCCAATGTAACCCCTGGCTACTGTAACCACTATTCTGGCTGGGTGGCCCCATCCCATTGTAACCCCTGTCTACTGTAACCACTATACTGGCTGGGTGGCCCCATCCCAATGTAACCCCTGGCTACTGTAACCACTATTCTGGCTGGGTGGCCCCATCCCAATGTAACCCCTGGCTACTGTAACCACTATACTGGCTGGGTGGCCCCATCCCAATGTAACCCCTGGCTACTGTAACCACTATACTGAGGAGAGGATATTAGTTGTTGGTGCACATGAACATTGACATAGGTACTGATGATCAACCTGGAGCCGCTGCTGGTCTCTCTGCTCTGTGGGTTTACAGGAATAACACAACAAGACCATCCCAAAGACCAACCCACCAGTATGACCCAGTATTTCATAAGTGTTGTTCTGTCCATCCTACAGGTTTTCCCCTACATTCCACGGCCATGCCTCCCTTGACGACGACCATAGAGCTGTATAACCGTACCGCATTCTGCAAATGGCCCTGCAAGTGTGCCAAGAGCGCCCCCCTGTGTCCACCAGGGGTCAGTGTGCTGATGGACGGCTGTGACTGCTGTAAGGCCTGTTCCAAGCAGGTGGGGGAGACCTGCAACGAGGCCGATGTCTGTGACTACCATAAGGGGCTGTACTGCGACTACAGCGCGGACAAGCCGAGGTACGAAAAAGGAGTGTGTGCCTGTAAGTGTCACCTCAGATAACTTTCCTCTTTGAGTTCTGACGTTCTACCATCTCCATCTGTGCCGTTAAGTCAATTTGTAATTATAAATACAGTAATGAGAATGGACGTTGTACTGATTAGAAGGAATTGATACATTTATTGATTTGTGTGCCACAGTGCATTGAGACTGGTCTTTCTTGAGAAAGGCTTTAGAGCTGAAATGCTGACATTGAACAGTCTCAACTACAGTACCAGGTAAAGGTTTGGACACACCTACTCATTCCATGCTGGTTAAGTGTGCCTTGAATTCTAAATAAATCACAGACAGTGTCACCAGCAAAGCACCCCCACACCATAACACCTCCTTCTCCATGCTTTACGGTGGGAACTACACATGCAGAGATCATCCGCTCACCCACACCTCTTCTCACAAAGACACGGCGGTTGGAACCAAAAATCTCAAATTTGGACTCCAGACCAAAGGACAAATTTCCACCTGTCTATTGTCCATTGCTCGTGTTTCTTGGCCCAAGCAAGTCTCTTTTTCTTATTGGTGTCCTTTAGTAGTGGTTTTCTTTGCAGAAATATGACCATGAAGGCCTGATTCACACAGTCCCCTCTGAACAGTTAATGTTGAGATGTGTCTGTGACTTGAACTCTGTGAAGCATTTATTTGGGCTGCAATTTCTGAGGCTGGTAACTCTAATGAACTTATCCTCTGCAGCAGAGGAAACTCTGGGTCTTCCATTCCTGTGGTGGTCCTCATGAGAGCCAGTTTCATCATAGCGCATTAAGAAGGAAATAAATTCCACAAATTAACTTTTAAGAAGGCACACCTGTTAATTGAAATGCATTCCAGGTGACTACCTCATGAAGCTGGTTGAGAGAATGCCAAGAGTGTGCAAAGCTGTCATCAAGGCAAAGGGTGGCTATATGGCTATATGTACATATGTGTTATTTCATAGTTTTGATGTCTTCACTATTGTTCTACAATGTAAAAATAAAGAAAAAACCCTTGAATGAGTAAGTGTGTCCAAACTTTTGACTGGTAGTGTACATCCCGCTTCTTGTTTTCCTATGTATACCTATAGGGCAGGGGTGAACCTTTCGGCTCAAGGGCCACATTGAGTTTTTGAAACCAAGTGAAGGGCCACATACTATATGCGTGAAAAAACATGTGAAGCCTTTATTAATTTTCACGTTGATACGCAACTACTAGTGTACTGTAGGTGTTCATATGCTTGCAGAACAATTCTACCCTTGTACCATCTCTACCCTTGTTTTTTGTGAACACATTTTTCACAACATTTTCACAAAATTTATATAATTTATAACATCACAGACACAGTCAAACACACACACTGATCCTGCATCTCTACCCTTGTAAAGTACAATCAAACTTAGTCACAATATGCAAACTTAAAAATAGATATATATTATATGACTGGAGAAATGCAAAATATAACAGCAGATGTGTAAAAAAAAACAACATATGGTAAGAGCATCAGTTTCATTTGGAGTGGTCTGTTTTTGAAAGCATATTAAGGAACAATTCTCATCTCCATTGTGAGCCGTATTTACAGTTATCCAGTCACCTCAGCCCAAATCTGACTGATTAGTTATTACCTGTATCCAAGTGCATTGCTGCATAATTCTCACTGCATGACCAACACCATGAAAAAGCATAGTCCTTGCCTTCCCCAGTCACGGTTATTCAAGTCTTAATGTGAACAATGGGTGTGGTCACCTCTCTTGGCAAGGGCATCAAAGTTTGGTGTCATCTTTGATGTAGAGATTCTCAGAACAGCTGACAAGTGGTCATTTGTTAAATTTGACCTGTGACGGGATTTGTTGTAATTCATGACTGAGAACGTTTGTTCACACACATATGTGGACCCGAATAAAACAACATCCTTTGGGCGTTCTTTTTAATGTTTGGAACATTGTTTCATTCAGTGAGCCATAGAACTGGTCTATTGTTGCTGTTTTGTACTTCTTCTTCAAAACACTGTCACATTTGGATGTCGATGAGCTCCAATTGTGTGTCTGGGGGTGCTTTCTCACTGTCGAAAGACAGGGGGCATGATACAAGCTCCAGCTCAGTCTCAATCTTGGTGGAGTCTGAGAAGCGGCAGGAACTCAGCATGCAGGTCGATCAAAGTGCTACTGTATGTCTCACTGCGATGTGGGCGCGTTCAGTGCGGCCAGTGTCGGAAAAAGAGCGAGAGACTGGCTGCTCATTTCTCTGGAGAACAACATAAGTTTGGCCTTGAATGCTTTCACGTTGGAATACAGTTCATGTACAAAAACACAATTTCCCTACAGTTTCACATTTAGATCGTTCAGATGCCCCAATATGTCCACACCGAAAGCAAAGTCGCCCAGCCAGTCTGTGTCTTTCAACTCGGAGAAGTCGTCAGCTTTACCAACCATATCACTGAACATACCTATCTCCCCTCTCAGTTCCCACACGGCGAAATACTTTTCCCAGGCTTAGCCAGCGCACATTTGAATGGTACAACAAGTCCTGGTGCTCTGCCTCTGTGTCATTGAGCAGCTGAATGATCTGACGATGGTTAAGCCCCCTTGCCCGTATAAAGTTGGCAAGTTTTACAACCACTTTGACAACATTTCCCAGCAATAACACACTTTTATCATGCTTGCTTGAAATGACGATTGAGATTGTATTCCTTAAAAATGGCAACACCTTATTGGCATATCAGTAAAAAAGTATTTTGCTGACCATTCAATAACATACGACATTCACAGTCCACTTTTCTCATTTTCGCAGCACTCATTTTTCACGTCAAAAGTCGTCAAGCAATGAAGTGGCTATGATGACTGAGCGGATTCTGAATCTGACTGTAGGCCCAAATACAGAGGATACAGCGCCATCTATTGGAGCTTGTTTGTATATCATGGAATTAGTAATTTTAGGCCAAAAATCGTAACTCAAATATAATAATATGTAATACATTTAATAAATGTCTCGTGGGCCGGATTGAAGTGCCCGGCGGGCCTCCCCCTTGCTATAGGGGATATACTTGACCGTGCAGCGCTGATTCTTATTATTTTACATGCTCTATCAAACAGACATGGTGGGTACAGGCTGTGAGTACGACGGAGTGATCTACCGGAACGGCCAGAGCTTCCAACCCAGCTGTAAGTACCGCTGTCTGTGTGTAAACGGGGCCATCGGCTGTGTACCGCTATGCACGGACTCCCAGCCACCCCGGGTGTGGTGCCAGACGCCCAAGCGGGTCAAACTGCCGGGCCGATGCTGTGAGCAGTGGATCTGTGATGAGCCCAGGAAGCCCCGCAAGGCAGCCCCCAGTCATGCGGAGATAGGTACAGTACTAGATTATATGGGACGCATCCCAAATGGCACCCTATTCCCTATGTAGTGCACTACTTTTGACCAGAGCAGGGAATCCAGGAATCCTCCAACCAGGATTTCTGGAAAGCCTGGGCATTTTTGGGGAAGTTACCTGAAGTTTGCATCCCTAATCAAGAGTCTATTCCTCTGTTTATTTGGCAGTGCGCGCCAGCCACAATGAGGTCTGGCATAAGAACTGCATTACCCAGACCACCTCCTGGTCCCCGTGTTCCAAGACCTGTGGACGTGGCCTGTCCCTGAGGATCTCCAACGCCAACGACCAGTGTGAGTTGATCAAGGAGTCCCGCCTCTGCAACATCCGGCCCTGTGACGTCGACATCACCAAGCACATCAAGGTGAGAACATCTGTCATGGCTTATGTCCTAAATGGCACCCTATTCCCTTTAAAGTGTACTACCCGTAGAGCTCTGGTCAAAAGTAGTGCACTATATAGGGAATAGGGTGCCATTTAGGACAAACACAATATCTCACTTGTGCTTTCAATGAAACCAGGCCCATCAACTCAAGTATTGTGCATATGAACATGGTTTTAAATCATATGGGTGAAATGTTTTTTCAGTACAGTTGAATATCATTTTGACAGTGTAACAGTATTCTGACCCCAATGTCAATCAATCTATTATTGATTCTGACCCATGTTTATCTATGAAACCCCTCAGCCAGGGAAGAAGTGTCTGAACATTTACAGGGAGGAGCATAGCCAGAATTTCACAATCTCAGGCTGCACCAGCAAGAAGCCCTACCGGCCAAAATACTGTGGCGTCTGCATGGCCACAGACGATCGCTGCTGCATCCCTTACAAGTCCAAGACTATCGAGGTGGAGTTTAAGTGTCCCAACGGAGCCACGCTGACATGGCAGGTGATGTGGATCAACGCCTGCTTCTGTAACCTCAGCTGCAGGAACCCCAACGACATCTTCTCTGACCTGGAGCACTACTACGACCACAATGAGGTCATCAACTGACAACTGAGCAGCCTTGTCCGAGCCTGAACGTACGGCCCCGTAGGGCAGGAGACCATCTCCTGTTTATGTAGCATGAGGCAGTACAACCCCTGGACAAGACGCTATGTCTGTCGCAGGGCCTTACCCAAATCCATCTCCTTAATGCTGAAGGCCAAGCAGAGAGGTGTCGGTCCCATTTTTTAGAGTCTTCGGTATGATTCGACTGGGGAGAACTGAGCAGAGGACAGGTTCATTTAAATTACTATTGTCTCCAGCTTTACATTCCTTGGAATAAAGGGATTGATGATATGTTGGTTAGTTGAATTAGATGTTCAAGTAACGGGCTGGAACAAAGCCTGCGCACCCCTTGGGTCCCCAGGACTAGGATTGAAGAAAATTCAATTTGAACCCTGCCCAAACTCTTGATTATGATCAAGCCCCTTATGTGTAGAATATATATATTTTTATGCACAGGGTTTTGCAATTATTTATTCTCCATTCAATGAAAGGAAAAAGGTGTTGTTTTCCGATTTTCTTTCAAAATGAGCGTGAAAGCATGTTTTTCATATTGGGGAAAAAACATCCAAATATACACTGAGTGTACAAAACATTAAGAACACATTCCTAATATTGAGTTGCACCCCCCCCCCCCCCCCTTTTGCCCTCAGAACAGCCTCAATTCGTCAGGGCATGGAGTCTACAAGGTGCCAAAAGCGTTCCACAGGGATGCTGGCCCATGTTGACTCCAATGCTTCCCACAGTTGTGTCAAATTGGCTGGATGTCCTTTGGGTGGTGGACCATTCTTGATACACATAGGAAACTGTTGAGTGTGAAAAAAACAGCAGCGTTGCAGTTCTTGACACAAACCGGTGCGCCTGGCACCTACTACCATACCCTGTTTAAAGGCACTTTTAAATATTTTGTCTTGCCCATTCACCCTCTGAATGGCACACATACACAATCCGTGTCTCAAGGCTTAAAACTCCTTCTTTAACCTGTCTCCTCCCCTTCATCTACACTGACTTGAAGTGGATTTAACAAGTGACATCAATAAGGGATCATAGCGTTCACCAGGATTCACCTGGTCAGTCTATGTCATGGAATGTTCTGTACACTCAGTATATGTGTTGAAGTTGATTATGTATTTGTGATGATGTTATAGTAGGATACAGGGGTCAAACCTATTCTAATTATGCGTCATATTCATATGGGGATCATTTTCTACCAAGTTAGGGCATTAACCACTGGAGTGGTCATCCTGTTTTATGCTCTTCTGTTTTGCTCTACTCTTTTTGTGTCATGTCATTAAGCTTACTATGTATGTACTGTTGAACTCAAAACATTTTGTCAAGTATTCAGTAGAGTTTATTGCAAAGTGTATATCAGACAAGATTCTCTCACATTCTCAGTTTTGCGTTTATTTCCTTTGACTCTTAATGAACAATAATGTTTGCCTCAATGTCTGCTTTGTCAAGTCAGTTATTTGCTCTGAGGTTAAAAGTGTATCAGCTTTGATTGATTGAAATTTGAGATCAGCTGAATAAGTGTTGTAATTTATTTCATTGGTCAATGTACCATGTCATCATAAACAACAACAACCTCTATCCAGGAAGTCACATTTTATTGGTTCAAATAAATACAAACAGCATTATGTACCAGTATGAAGATTTGGGTAGTGACAAATCTTTTCAAAGTAATTTTGTCAAAATAATTTCCGCAGCTTTTTTTGCTATTTCTCTAATACGGAGTGGTACTATACATTGCATCTCTATATCATTTAAATGTTAAAATAATCAGTTTTTCAGCATTGGAAAGATTTGACCAAGCATATGTAAAATATTTTACATATTCTTAATTCAGGGCTTATTTAAGCGTCATCCTAGGATCACTGATAGTAATTGTAATACATAAATCATATGTTAAACAACAGAAACAAAATAGGGAGTCCTCAATTTGATGCTTCATCTAAAAACATATGGCGTTAACAGGACTGTACATGAAATGTGTTTGGTTGAAAAAACCCTGGCATTGTAACATTCTCACAATAAAAACAATACATATTAGAGGAACATCCATACAGATTACATATCACCCAAATGACATACAGTATGGCAACCATTGGGTATAAACTCTATTACCCACAATGCAGTGAGAACAGAGCATAGATAGACTGTCTATCATAGTAGCATGTTGTGGTTTATTGTCAGCAGCAACACAGGCAGTAGGGTAGGGAATGGACAGGGGTTATGAGGTTAGGGACACAGGGCCTGCGTCCCAAATGGCACCCTATTTACCACATAATGCACTACTTTTTGACGTCAAAAGTAGCGCACTATATAGGAAATAGGGTGCCATTTGGGACACAGCCTAGGACCTTTCAGTGACCAAAGGCACTAGCAGGCGTCCTCAGTCTTGCTGCTGGACGTGACAACGGTCTGATCCACGGTGCTGTTGGAGACACTCTCCACGGACACGTCGGTGTGAGCCCGGGCGGGCTGTTTGTCGTTGCTGTGAGAGTGGCTCCTGTTGCTGTCGCAGGAGGCGATGCTGGAGCCTGAGGCGGTACGGGACCTCACCAGTCTGGTCATGCTGGCCGAGGACACTAGGGGAAGGCAGGAGAGACCGTTAGGATGAGTCCCAAATTACACCCTATTCCAAATATATATATATACATACACTGCTCAAAAAAATAAAAGGGAACACTTAAACAACACAATGTAACTCCAAGTCAATCACACTTCTGTGAAATCAAACTGTCCACTTAGGAACCAACACTGATTGACAATACATTTCACATGCTGTTGTGCAAATGGAATAGACAACAGGTGGAAATTATAGGCAATTAGCAAGACACCCCCAATAAAGGAGTGGTTCTGCAGGTGGTGACCACAGACCATTTCTCAGTTCCTATGCTTCCTGGCTGATGTTTTGGTCACTTTTGAATGCTGGCGGTGCTTTCACTCTAGTGGTAGCATGAGACGGAGTCTACAACCCACACAAGTGGCTCAGGTAGTGCAGCTCATCCAGGATGGCACATCAATGCGAGCTGTGGCAAGAAGGTTTGCTGTGTCTGTCAGCGTAGTGTCCAGAGCATGGAGGTGCTACCAGGAGACAGGCCAGTACATCAGGAGACGTGGAGGAGGCCGTAGGAGGGCAACAACCCAGCAGCATGACTGCTACCTCCGCCTTTGTGCAAGGAGGAGCAGGAGGAGCACTGCCAGAGCCCTGCAAAATGACCTCCAGCAGGCCACAAATGTGCATGTGTCTGCTCAAACGGTCAGAAACAGACTCCATTAGGGTGGTATGAGGGCCCGACGTCCACAGGTGGGGGTTGTGCTTACAGCCCAACACCGTGCAGGACGTTTGGCATTTGCCAGAGAACACCAAGATTGGCAAATTCGCCACTGGTGCCCTGTGCTCTTCAGATGAAAGCAGGTTCACACTGAGCACGTGACAGACGTGACAGAGTCTGGAGACGCCGTGGAGAACGTTCTGCTGCCTGCAACATCCTCCAGCATGACCGGTTTGGCGGTGGGTCAGTCATGGTGTGGGGTGGCATTTCTTTTGGGGGGCCGCACAACCCTCCATGTGCTCGCCAGAGGTAGCCTGACTGCCATTAGGTACCGAGATGAGACCATATGCTGGTGCGGTTGGCCCTGGGTTCCTCCTAATGCAAGACAATGCTAGACCTCATGTGGCTGGAGTGTGTCAGCAGTTCCTGCAAGAGGAAGGCATTGATGCTATGGACGGCCGGCCCGTTCCCCAGACCTGAATCCAATTGAGTACATCTGGGACATCATGTCTTGCTCCATCCACCAACGGCACGTTGCACCACAGACTGTCCAGGAGTTGGCGGATGCTTTAGTCCAGGTCTGGGAGGAGATCCCTCAGGAGACCATCCGCCACCTCATCAGGAGCATGCCCAGGCGTTGTAGGGAGGTCATACAGGCACGTGGAGGCCACACACACACTACTGAGCCTCATTTTGACTTGTTTTAAGGACATTACATCAAAGTTGGATCAGCCTGTAGTGTGGTTTTCCACTTTAATTTTGAGTGTGACTCCAAATCCAGACCTCCATGGGTTGATACATTTGATTTCCATTGATAATTTTTTGTGTGATTTTGTTGTCAGCACATTCAACTATGTAAAGAAAAAAGTATTTAATAAGATTATTTCATTCATTCAGATCTAGGATGTGTTATTTTAGTGTTCCCTTTATTTTTTTGAGCAGTGTATATATATATATATATATATATATGAGTCCCCTATAGCTCAGTTGGTAGAGCATGGTGCTTTCAACGCCAGGGTTGTGGGGGGCCAGTATGAAAATGTATGCACTAAGTCGCTCTGGATAAGAGCATCTGATAAAATGACTAAAATGTAAAATAATATACAGTTCCTTCGGAAAGTATTCAGACCCCTTGACTTTTTACACTGTTACCTTACAGCCTTATTCAAAAAATGTATTTATTTATTTTTTATCCTCAGCTATCTACACACAATACCCCATAATGACAAAGCAAAAACAGGTTTAGATATTTTTGCAAATGTATTAAAAATAATTAACAGAAATACCTTATTTTCATAAGTATTCAGACCCTTTGCTATGAGACTTGAAATTGAGCTCAGGTGTATCCTGTTTCCATTGATCATCCTTGAGATGTTTCTAAAACTTGATTGGAGTCCACCTGTGGTAAAATCAATTTGACATGATTTGGAAAGGCACACACCTGTGTATATAAGGTCTCCCAGTTGACAGTGCATGTCAGAGAAAAAACCAAGCCATGAGGTCGAAGGAATTGTCCGTAGAGCTCCAAGACAGGATTGTGTCGAGGCACAGATCCGGGGAAGGGTACCAAAAAATGTCTGCAGCATTGAAGGTCCCCAAGAACACAGTGGCCTCCATCGTTCTTAAATGGAAGAAGTTTGGAACCACCTAGACTCTTCCTAGAGCTGAGCAATCGTGGGAGAAGGGCCTTGGTCAGGGAGGTGACCAATAACCCGATGGTCACTCTGACAGGGCTCTAGAGTTCCTTTGTGGAGATGGTTGTCCTTCTGGAAGGTTCTCCCATCTCTGCAGCACTCCACCAATCATGCATTTATGGTAGAGTGGCCAGACGGAAACCACTCCTTATGTAAAAGGCACATGACAGCCCACTTTGAGTTTGCCAAAAGGCACCTAAAGACTGTCTATGAGAAACAAGATTCTCTGGTCTGATGAAACCAAGATTTAACTCTTTGGCCTGAATGCCAAGTGTCACGTCTGGAGGAAACCTGGCACCATCCCTACGGTGAAGCATGGTGGTGGCAGCATCATGCTGTGGGGATGTTTTTCAGCGGCAGGGACTGGGAGACTAGTCAGGATTGAGGGAAAGATGAATGGAGTAAAGTACATAGAGATCCTTGATGAAAACCTGCTCCAGAGTGCTCCGGACCTCAGACTGGGGCGAAGGTTCACCTTCCAACAGGACAACGACCCTAAGCACACAGCCAAGACAACGCAGGAGTGGCTTCAGGACTAGTCTCTGAATGTCCTTGAGTGGCCCAGCCACAGACCGGACTTGAACCCGATCGAACATCTCTGGAGAGACCTGAAAATAGCTGTGCAGCAACACTCCCCATCCAACCTGACAGAGCTTGAGGGGATCTGCAGAGAAGAATGGAAGAAACTCCCCAAATAAAGGTGTGCCAAGCTTGTAGGGTCATACCCAAGAAGACTCAAGGCTGTAATCGCTTCCAAATGTGTTTCAACAAAGTACTGAGTAAAGGGTCTGAATACTTATGTAAATGTGATATCAATGTTTTATAAATTAGCAAAAAATTCAAAAATACTTTTTGCTTTGTCATTATGGGGTATTGTGTGTAGATTGATGAGGGGGAAAAACTATTTAATCAATTTTAGAAAAAGGCTGTAACGTAACAAAATGTGGAAAAAGTCAAGGGGTCTGAATACTTTCTGAAGGCACTGTAGTGCACTGCTTTTGACCAGACCCCAAGGGCTCTATTCGCTCTGAAAGTTAGTCTCTTGGTACACTAGGAAGCTGGTAGCCACATTTTAGTTCCTCAGTTTTCTCAGTGCATGCTGACGACGGCTTCTGGAATATTGGGGAGCAGTAATATTCCACGTGAGAGATTCTCATTCTCTTTTTCTGTGCATGCTACCACTGACTACAGGTGATACCTTGTTGACATGCACTAAGATTAACATCATCTTCCAATTAGATCCATGATCCATTATCCTGAGTTGATACTTACTGTAACCCATGCCCTGGATGAAGTACTTGAAGGCCTCTGTCAGTTTGCCAGGCTGGCTCACCTGGGGAAGTCCTCCACAGTCAGCCATCTGATTGGACAAAGACAAAAGATTATGGGTCAACCAATCACCATTATCTTAACAACCCTTTTCTCATTACCAATCACATGCATTGTTCTTGGATGGTCAATGACACTGTGCTTCTGGATCTTTACTTACAAACTACTTTTGACAGTAATATTAATTGTTACATCTGTCTGAGTCACACATTAAACTCACCTTGAGCAGTGTTGTCTGTGTTGGGTTGAGCTTTGCGTTGCTCTCGACCACAGCCTCGACTGCAGGGGAGCTGTCTCCCACCACCAGCAGTGCAGGGCACCTGCAGGAGTCAGCAGATTAATTAGCTACTTAACTAATAATGCTCATAGTCAATATCATAACTAATACTCAATATCATAATTAATACTCATAGTAAATATCATAACTAATACTCAGTCAATAGAGCTAATGCTCATAGTCAATATAATATCTGAAACAATCATGAGTAGCTAGGGCCCTGAGTTTTCCCTGGTCAGGTCATGTGGTCAGGTAAGAGTCAGGGCCCTGATGCGGAGTCGGTCCGTGTGACGTACTTCAGAGTCCTGACGTTAATGTTTCCCCCCGGGACAGGCCTCTCGATCTCCAGGTCCCTGCGGCTCTGGTAGGACTTGAGGAACTGGGCCAGGTTGGACTGGTTGACATCATTGGTGATGTGGTTGCGGTATGTGGCGATCAGATCAGGGTTGTTCTGGATCTCCTCCTAATGCACAAATAATAAAACTCAATGGTAACGCTTTCTATGAAGTACATCCGTTATAACATTGTGTATAATACACGTAATGTGTTATGACACTGACTATAAACATCCATAACAAGGGGTTGATGTTTCACAACAATTCATAGCTATTTAAATATAAATGTAATTGTATCATTCATACTCAGGTATATACAGTGGCTTGCGAAAGTATTCACCCCCTTGGCATTTTTCCTATTTTGTTGCCTTACAATCTGGAATTAAAATGGATTTTTTGGGGGTTTGTATCATTTGATTTACACAACATGCCTACCACTTTGAAGATGCAAAATATTTTTTTCTTGTGAAACAAACAACAAATAAGACAAAAAAACTGAAAACTTGAGCGTGCATAACTATTCACCCCCCCCCCCCCCCCCCCCCCAAAGTCAAAGTAGAACCTAAAATTGCAGTCATACACTATCTCTTCACTCCCAAAGAATCTCAATTTTTATCTTTCAAAATCGCAGCTCCCAAGAGGTACCGTTCTTTCTCCATATGTGGGTTGGTTGCGAGGTCCCCACAAACTTTACCTTTTTGCAAACACCACGTGATTGCCCTTATTTTTTTAACTTTTAGATTGCCTTATTTGGCCCTCTTCCTTCTTCTGACCATTCCCCTCCCTGCCTGTAAAATGATGCGCCCCACTCACTGTATGGCTCGGGATGTGTGGGTGCGCCAAAAGCGCCCCTTAAAACAAGTCTTGGGTCTTTCCATATGGTTCACATCGGAACCAAACGTTGCTTTTTTTTCCAACCTCGCCACCTCCTGCTCTGTGAGTGTGCTTGGCTTGGGCAGGCTCGCTTCAGCCCTAGGCTTATCTTTGGTGTCTTTATTGCCTCGCTGATTAATGCCCTCCTTGCCTGGTCTGTGAGTTTTGGTGGGCAGCGCTCTCTTGGCAGGTTTGTTGTGGTGCCATATTCTTTCCATTTTTTAATAATGGATTTAAATGGTGCTCCGTGGGATGTTCAAAGTTTTGGATATTTTTTTCTAACCCAACCCTGATCTGTACTTCTCCACAACTTTGTCCCTGACCTGTTTGGAGAGCTCCTTGGTCTTCAAGGTGCCCCTTGCTTAGAGGTGTTGCAGAACAGGTGTGTAAAAACACACACATATATATATATATATATATATATATATACACATACATACATACATATATATATATATATATATACACATACATACATACATATATATATATATATATATATACACATACATACATACATACATAGATCATGTGACACTTAGATTGCACACAGGTGGACTTTATTTAACTAATTATGTGACTTCTGAAGGTAATTGGTTGCACCAGATCTTATTTAGGGGCTTCATAGCAAAGGGGGTGAATACATATGCACGTACCACTTTAAGTTATTTTTTTCATTCCACTTCACCAATTTGGACTATTTTGTGTTTGTCCATTAGACCATTACATGAAATCCAAATAAAAATACATTTAAATTACAGGTTGTAATGCAACAAAAATAGGAAAAAACGCCAAGGGGGATGAATACTTTTGCAAGGCACTGTAGCTTCCAGAGGGGGACAGAAGTCTTATATTGACAGTTTATTGAACAAAACTACATCTTTAGGATGTTTAAAAACAATTTGTCGCTCTTTCGATACGGACTGTCAGTGGTTGTAGTGTAGTAGATGGAACAGAGGTAGTAATTAAGGTGTTAGTGTTACTCCTGTGTCTATCTTACCCTTACCTTTCCAAACATGTGGTTTATAACATGATCAGGTAGTGCTTGGATCCAGCCAGTCATCTGAACAGAGAGAGAGTTGGTAGTTTACAGAGGTGCATGCTCCCCCAACCAGGCTCTGATCAAAACACAAAGATCATTAAAGCAGATCTATACGTAATCCCCTAAGAATTCAACTCTATCAGAGTAAATCGGCGTGTCACCATTGTTATGTCGGAGGGTATTAATAATCATAATAAACTAATACAAAGTTAGTTATGGTATGTTATGTTAGATAAGCTATGCTACCTTGTGTGTAAGTGAATCTATCACGCTCTCAGCACGTGCATTGATGTTGATGAGGACAAGTCCCTCAACCTTGTCTGGATGGTTCAGCTGTAGCCAGGAAGAATAAAGAGAAGAAGAACATAGCGCAACCCATTTGGGACATATTTAGGATTCAAGAGAGCAGGAAACGACACAAACACTTGTACAGCAAGACAAACTTTGTTGTGATATCTACTATAAGCTTCATTGTTTCAGTGGTTCGTCTAACGTAAGGATAACCACCACACCGTCTGTTCAGTGTCTGTACAGTACAGAACAGTGTAGATGTGTGCAAACAAAATAACATTCCAAAGGACTTGCTGCTTGGCAATGACAATGATCACGATTATGTTGCCGGTTTCAACACTGTGGTATGTTGGAAGGACTTTTACTAGGTTTAAATCCTAGTTTAATCATGGCTGCTCAATTTAAACAAAAACAATGAGTTCAACAGCAACAAAAATCAACTCACAGCGAATTTCGCGATGATGTAGGCACCAGCACCACAGCCCAGTCCAATGACACTCTTAAACCTGAAGGGAAACAACAAGAGGTTTGATGGGAGTTTGAAGCTTCTAATAAGAGGATGTAAACTTCTGCGTGAATGTAATTTAAATGATATTTAGTTATCCACATAAAATAAAATAAATGTGTTTTTGATCCCGGAGGATAACACTTTTATTAAAACACGTATTTCCAAAATGTTCCTCAATGGTAAAACAAATCAATCATAAGTGAAAATCATGTTTTTATTGGTATTTGTACTGCATTGTTGAGGGAGCTTGCCAGTACACATTTAGCTGCACCGTTTATACCAGCTGTAAACTGTGTATGTGACGAATAAACTTTGATTTGGGTCTTACCGAAAGTGCTTGAGGACCTGAGGGAGAGTCTCAGAGAGCTGGTCCATAGAGGGGTAGGTGTGCCTGCAGCGGAAGACCAGAACAAGTTACCTCAGGTGCTCCTCATCCTCTCTAACAAGATACAAGTCATGGATGTGTCCCAAATGGCACCCTATTCCCTATATAGTGCACTACTTTTGACCAAAGCCTCTGGTCAAAAGTAATGCACTATATGGGGAATAGGGTGCCATTTGGGACACACCCATCATGTTATTTTGCCAAACTAGTCTCTCAAACATGTTGACATTTTTTTATTGAATTTCTCATCCATTTGTTATCATCTGTTGGTACCTTGTTATTCTCTTTCTACCCTCTGAACATCGTCTCTTTTCTCACTGGTTACTTCTACTACCTGAACATTCAGGTAGAGGGAACTACACTAGCCTAGCAGTGACCCAGTCCCCTGATGTTGACTGTTTAAGAGTCTTGTGGACCAGGTGCCATGTGACAGTGGATTATCATGGCAGGCAGCTGCTGTTAGTCCTGCTGTCCACTAACACTAACAACAGATGGGACTAGATCCCAGTGTCCACTAACAACAGATGGGACTAGATCCCAGTGTCCACTAACAACAGATGGGACTAGATCCCAGTGTCCACTAACAACAGATGGGACTAGATCCCAGTGTCCACTAACAACAGATGGGACTAGATCCCAGTGTCCACTAACAACAGATTGGACTAGATCCCAGTGTCCACTAACAACAGATGGGACTAGATCCCAGTGTCCACTAACAACAGATGGGACTAGATCCCAGTGTCCACTAACAACAGATTGGACTAGATCCCAGTGTCCACTAAGACTAACAACAGATGGGACTAGATCCCAGTGTCCACTAAGACTAACAACAGATGGGACTAGATCCCAGTGTCCACTAAGTCTAACAACAGATGGGACTAGATCCCAGTGTCCACTAAGACTAACAACAGATGGGACTAGATCCCAGTGTCCACTAACAACAGATGGGACTAGATCCCAGTGTCCACTAAGTCTAACAACAGATGGGACTAGATCCCAGTGTCCACTAAGACTAACAACAGATGGGACTAGATCCCAGTGTCCACTAACAACAGATGGGACTAGATCCCAGTGTCCACTAACAACAGATGGGACTAGATCCCAGTGTCCACTAACATCAGATGGGACTAGATCCCAGTGTCCACTAACAACAGATGGGACTAGAACCCAGTGTCCACTAACAACAGATGGGACTAGATCCCAGTGTCCACTAACAACAGATGGGACTAGATCCCAGTGTCCACTAACAACAGATGGGACTAGATTCCAGTGTCCACTAACAACAGATGGGACTAGATCCCAGTGTCCACTAACAACAGATGGGACTAGATCCCAGTGTCCACTAACAACAGATGGGACTAGATCCCAGCTTGTGTCTCTCAGACCGGGCATTACTCTGACCTACATCCTCGTTGCTGTTGAACTCTTGATAGCAGCCCACCCATTCGGTTTGTTTTCAAGGTCACTTTCTATGCAGGTGTCTACTGTATGTATGTATGTATGTATGTATGTATGTATACTGCTCAAAAAAAATAAAGGGAACACTTAAACAACACAATGTAACTCCAAGTCAATCACACTTCTGTGAAATCAAACTGTCCACTTAGGAAGCAACACTGATTGACAATAAATTGCACATGCTGTTGTGCAAATGGAATATACAACAGGTGGAAATTATAGGCAATTAGCAAGACACCCCCAATAAAGGAGTGGTTCTGCAGGTGGTGACCACAGACCACTTCTCAGTTCCTATGCTTCCTGGCTGATGTTTTGGTCACTTTTGAATGCTGGCGGTGCTTTCACTCTAGTGGTAGCATGAGACGGAGTCTACAACCCACACAAGTGGCTCAGGTAGTGCAGCTCATCCAGGATGGCACATCAATGCGAGCTGTGGCAAGAAGGTTTGCTGCGTCTGTCAGCGTAGTGTCCAGAGCATGGAGGCGCTACCAGGAGACAGGCCAATACATCAGGAGACGTGGAGGAGGGCAACAACCCAGCAGCAGGACCGCTACCTCCGCCTTTGTGCAAGGAGGAGCAGGAGGAGCACTGCCAGAGCCCTGCAAAATGACCTCCAGCAGGCCACAAATGTGCATGTGTCTGCTCAAACGGTCAGAAACAGACTCCATGAGGGTGGTATGAGGGCCCGACGTCCACAGGTGGGGGTTGTGCTTACAGCCCAACACCGTGCAGGATGTTTGGCATTTGCCAGAGAACACCAAGATTGGCAAATTCGCCACTGGCGCCCTGTGCTCTTCACAGATGAAAGCAGGTTCACACTGAGCACATGTGACAGACGTGACAGAGTCTGGAGACGCCGTGGAGAACGTTCTGCTGCCTGCAACATCCTCCAGCATGACCGGTTTGGCGGTGGGTCAGTCATGGTGTGGGGTGGCATTTCTTTGGGGGGCCGCACAGCCCTCCATGTGCTCGCCAGAGGTAGCCTGACTGCCATTAGGTACCGAGATGAGATCCTCAGACCCCTTGTGAGACCATATGCTGGTGCGGTTGGCCCTGGGTTCCTCCTAATGCAAGACAATGCTAGACCTCATGTGGCTGGAGTGTGTCAGCAGTTCCTGCAAGAGGAAGGCATTGATGCTATGGACTGGCCGGCCCGTTCCCCAGACCTGAATCCAATTGAGCACATCTGGGACATCATGTCTCGCTCCATCCACCAACGCCACGTTGCACCACAGACTGTCCAGGAGTTGGCGGATGCTTTAGGTCAGGTCTGGGAGGAGATCCCTCAGGAGACCATCCGCCACCTCATCAGGAGCATGCCCAGGCGTTGTAGGGAGGTCATACATGCACGTGGAGGCCACACACACTACTGAGCCTCATTTTGACTTGTTTTAAGGACATTACATCAAAGTTGGATCAGCCTGTAGTGTGGTTTTCCACTTTAATTTTGAGTGTGATTCCAATTCCAGACCTCCATGGGTTGATACATTTGATTTCCATTGATAATTTTTGTGTGATTTTGTTGTCAGCACATTCAACTATGTAAAGAAAAAAGTATTTAATAAGATTATTTCATTCATTCAGATCGAGGATGTTTTATTTTAGTGTTCCCTTTATTTTTTTGAGCAGTGTATGTATTTATGTACATTTTGTTGAATGTGTTTGTATGCAAATTTACTAGCAGCACTCCACCTTACGGGCGGTAAATCATTGGAGCCGACTAATTTGTTTCTATTCAATTTCATGGTACACGGAGGACTGCCACCACCAGAGAATCTTCAACTCAATAACCCCCTTGCAAAGCACAAATTCATGCTGCTAATAAAGGATGACTTGACTTGAGAGTGTGACACTGGTCACTCACTCGGCGGAGAGAGTGGCGGCACCCTCATGCTGCCCAGGGGCATCGACGTGGCACACGGCAAAGTGCCTCATGATCTCCTGCATGTCCTCGTGGCTGAACAGGGGGTTGAAGCACGACTTGTCTAGACACATGGGAGAATATAAGACAAGTTCAGCAAAGTGCTCCTAAATGTTGTTTTTCCCTGTGCATTGATGCTTTTGAAATTGACATTGAATTGAATAGAACAACCGTATGTGACTGTATACAGGTCACGACAGCCTGAATTAACACACAAAAACAAGTAATTTGTTTAAAGTTCTGTTTGTCATCAAAGCGCTGTATTTAGATGCACATCAATATGGAATGGAACTTAGCTCTTAGCTGCCAGATGTGTACAATAACAATCAACTGAAGATAAACTGCACAGCCCAGACAGGGCTCTCTCACAGCAACAAAACATACAGTTCAGTCCAATATCGTGGAAGGTCATGATGACGGGGCGGTTGCCCTTGGGAACCCCCTTCAGGGTGCAGTGGACCTTTCCAAACTGAGTCTCCACGTCATCCTCCTGCCATGGGAAAACTCTGATTAGACAAACACCACAACTATAACGGTCCTACTTGCAGCTGTTACTTACCATGATATAAATACATAGAGTTTAGGTGTTGATACGTACCCTAAGGCCGACCATGAGTCTTGCAACCGCCCCGGTCAGCCCCTGAAGGACAAAACAAAACCAATCTCATTATACACAGCGTCATAAATCAACTTGTTGGAGTGAGTTGATGAACTCTGTTTTATCAAAACGGCCATCAACAGAAAAATATAGTGTATCCCAAATGGCACCCTATAGAGTACAACTTTTGACCAGAGCGTTATTGGCCCTGGTCAAGAGTAATGCACTAAAAAGGGAATTCGAACATTTTAGATATTTTCGTAATCTGCTACAGTATGGTTTTAAGAAACTTCAGGACAAACGCTTCACTGTTGAACTTTGCTTCGGGGTCCTGCCTACAGGGACATGAGGGCTAATTTGATGTATTACCTTTTTTTTTTTTTTTTTACTTTTTATCCTGGTTTTATTAACTCTTACTCTGGTAAAGGGGTTGTTCATTGATAACTTTGACTAAGGCACAATGAGGTTCCAGCAACTGGTTCCAACTACTGCCAAAGCTGAACAGGCACGTAGTGGTCATATGCGTCCCAAATGGCACCCTATATAATTTTTCTGAATGTTTTATATCCTTCCTGTGTATTTCGAATGACCTGAGCACCATTCAATCCAAACTGATATCCAGAACTTTCCGGTGTATGAACAACTAAACAACTCACAGGAAGTGGGTTAATGTTGACTTGCGCTTCATTTCCCTCCAGGTCAACCTCATCCAGCTCCACCAAAGAGGGGATCTGCTGAGAAGCCTGTTGATGTTGATGAGCACCCTGTTGAATGGAGAAGGGGAAAAAAAAACGTTTCACAGAATACTCACGGTTGCTTCCCAACTGGCACTCTATTCCCTAGATCAGGGTTGCCCAACCCTGTTCATGGAGAGCTACCCTTATGTAGGTTTTCGCTCCAACCCCAGGTGTTACTAACCTGATTGATCTTATCAACCTGCTAATTATTAGAATCAGGTGTGCTAGATTAGGGTTGGAGCAAAAACCTACAGGACGGTAGCTCTCCAGGAACAGGGTTGGGCAGTCCTGCCTTATATTGTCCACTACTTTTGACCAGGGCCAAATAGTCTCTGGTCAAAGGTAGTGGACTACATAGGTAATAGGGTGCAGTTTGGGATGAAACCTTAACCAACATATAAAAAAACATACATTTCACATTTGAAATCGATAGCAAAGCTATTGGATTTGTTATACAGTGGGGATTTAGGTATTAAATTGGCTGCATTATTCTGTGATGCTGCTGTAGGCTATATTTGCCCATGTCAACCAACGGAAGCATCAAGCAGCATCTGTACAGTGGCATTTGCCATAACACCCATCTGCCATGATGCTGCAGACCGTATGTGTCAGTGTATCAGTGAACAGATTACAGCAACTTTGTTTGTTTACACTGGGTTTCCTTTATGAATTCGTTAAAAGGGTAGCCTACACATCCTAATGTTTGTCAGCCATTGCGCACGTGTGGTGAGCGCGCGAATGTTTCCAGCGCATGAGAGCGACTACCTGCTAGTGATGGGCATTCCGAGTCTTTTCGGTGAGCCCGCACATTTGTCTCCGTTCACGTAAAAGAGCCGGTTCATTCGGTTCACTCCCAAACGGCTCTTCGTTCAAAATGCTTTCAAAATGGATTTAGAACCATGAAAAAGTGCACATCTCCAATGTAAAGCCCAAAAGGTAGGCTACCATTATGTCAGATCGTGAAATGCGCGTTCAAATAAATTTTTACCTGGCCAAATTATTAGATGGCCTGCAAAGAAAATGAATTTTTGTTTATATGCACTGACAAAAATCAGGGTGGACCAGATTGACGCGCTCTCCCGACTATTTATTGATTCTGCAGTGAGGATTCACCCTCTTTAGATAATTCTTTTGTAACTTGTTTTGAGCTCAAAAAGCAGTATGCAAATCAGGGAGCCAAAAATAACGGCTCTTTCACCAATGCGATTCGGTTCCCGACGTTCACCAGAAAGATCCGTTCAAAAAGAGCCGTTCGTTCGCGAAGGACCAATCATCACTACTACCTGCCAGTACCTCATCATCATCACACATACGCATACCCGTTCTTTATACCTCAATGACACATACCCACCTTCCTAGACATGATGCTCGGTGATGGTGGTGCGGATATGTTGGTTGAAAACCGAAAAGCGCCTAGATTCGTAAATTCGTAAATTCCTCAGAGACACATAACCTAATAAACGAATTTTGTTCAGACGTCACAAAGATTTTGGAATTTTGGCTTCGCTTTCTCTGTGGTTGTCATAATGGTCATCGTGGTCTGCCAGCTTAAATAAAGGCAAATCCCTAGACAATTCCCAAGGTTATTTTGACCAATCCTCATCATGATGACCGTGGGCTAGACATAGGCCTAGGTTTTTTTGTTATATGACTGGTTTCTAGTTTGGATTGTATAGCCTGCCCTATAGTGTATTTTACTTAAAATATGTGGTGCTCAATGCAAGGAAAAAAAAAAAGTTAACAACTCAAAATATAAGTGCAGAGCCTACAATAGGCTAGATTTTAATACTGTTCAGATTAATACAACTATAAGGGGTTTATGAAAGAAATGGTAAGCCTATGTATGGTAAGCCTCTCCATGGGTATCACCGTAACCCAGATTTACAGGTTGAATACAACATGTGAGAGGGCTACATCACAACAATCACAATCTACTCCTGACCGTTTTAATCATTCATATGTCATAAACTCCTCACAACAAACTCCTAATGTCCTGGGGCTGCGTGACAAATGGCACCCTATTCCCTACATAGTGATGGGCCCTGATCAAAAGTCGAAGCACTATAAAGGGAATACACAAAAGGGTTCTTCAGTTGTCTCTGTGGAAAGGGTCCTACAGTACATGGAACCCAAAATAGTTTTACCTGGAACCAAACGGGTTCTACCTGGAACCAAAAAGGGTTCTATGGAGACAGCCGAAGAACCCTTTTAGGTTCTAGATAGTTCCTTTTTTTCTAAGAGTGTAAGGTGCCATTTGGGACACAACTGTATACCCTGTCGCTGGCCTGCTGGTTCAGTAATCAGGGGGTGTGTGTCGCTGCCTGCTGGTTCAGTAATCAGGGGTGTGTGTGTCGCTGCCTGCTGGTTCAGTAATCAGGGGGTGTGTGTGTCGCTGCCTGCTGGTTCAGTAATCAGGGGTGTGTGTGTCGCTGCCTGCTGGTTCAGTAATCAGGGGGTGTGTGTCGCTGCCTGCTGGTTCAGTAATCAGGGTGTGTGTGTCGCTGCCTGCTGGTTCAGTAAAATCAGGGGTGTGTGTCGCTGCCTGCTGGTTCATCAGTAATCAGGGGTGGTGTGTGTCCGCTGCCTGCTGGTTCAGTAAATCATGGGGTGTGTGTCGCTGCCTGCGGTTCAAGTAATCATGGGGTGTGTGTGCGCTGCCTGCTGGTTCCGTAATCATGGGTGTTTTCGCTGCCGTCTGGTTCAGTATCATGGGGTGTGTGTGTCGCTGCCTGCTGGTTCAGTAATCAGGGGGTGTGTGTCGCTGCCTGCTGGTTCAGTAATCAGGGGGTGTGTGTCGCTGCCAATGCCTGGCAAGCCAAAAAGCCCACAAAGCTGCAGTAGGTGATCTGTTTCAATCAGTCAATGGCAAAGACTAGAGAGAATATGCATCCCAAATGGCACCCTATTCCCTATATAGTATGGGACCTGGTCAAAAGAAGTACACTATAAAGGGAATGGGGTGCAATTTAGGACGCAATCTAGAGCAGGCATGGGCAACTGGTGCCCTTTTGTAGCCCCCGGATCAATTTCCAAAAAGGAAAAATAAAATATATATATATTATTTTATTTATTGTTTTATTTTTGGAACTCAGTCAGGGTCTCAACATACTGTTGAGAGTTAGAATAGTAGAATACACAAGGTCCAATTTCAAAATGTGTTTGTGAATCAGCAGTTTTTCTCTTGTTATATCAGTCACTGACAGTCACTCAATTAGCTCATGTCAGCTAACTTCTAGTAAACACGGTCGACTTACCGCCCGGGGGCCCCCATTGATTTTGTTAGTCACTCTCACTCAAATATCATATTAAAAACTGCAAACGTTTCTCTCCACCCAATGGCAAAATGTGTAGAATTGCAGAAAATTAGCTGTGAAACTGCAAAAATGTCTCTCCTCAAATCAAATCAAATGTTATTTGTCACATGCTTCGTAAATAACAGGTGTAGACTAACAGTGAAACGCTTACTTACTTCCTCCCCATGGCTAAATGAGTATAATTGCATGAAATTGGTTCGAACATTTCAAAATCTACTCTCTGCGCCCCATGGCAAAATGTGTAGAATTGCAGCAAACTTGATTTAAAACTGCAACATTTCTCTCTATGCTCCATGGCAAAATGTGTAAAATTGTAGGAAATTAACTCCAAAAAAAAAAAAAAAAAGATCTCTGCTGTCAAGAGGGGGGCCACTAAAATGTGGGCCCCCAAAAGGCTAAGGCCGGCTCTGACTGCATGTGTGGGTATGGATGTTGGTATGGAGAACCCTGTGAGCCACTGAGGACCCTCATCAAAGTTGCCCATCCCTGGTCTAGAGCAGAGGCCACTCAAGGACATTCAGAGACTTGTCCCGAAGCCACTCCTACGTTGTCTTGCTGTGTGCTTAGGGTCGTTGTCCTGTTGGAAGGTGAACCTTCGCCCCCCTGTCTGAAAAATAATTTAATCCATTTTAGAATAAAGGCTGTAACGTAACAAAATGTGGAAAAATGGAAGGGGTCTCAATACTTTCCGAATGCACTGTATATGAAACATTTAGGATGCAATTTAGGATGCAGACATAGGTGTAAGCCATGGTAAGAAATAAGAATGCATGACGGCTGTGTCATCACAGCAGGCAGTGGCTAGCAGACTCTGTTCTGAAGGGATTACCATGGCGCCCCCGTCCGTAAATTACTGCACTAATTTTGACCAGGACCATTACAGAGCACACCCTATTCCCAATGGGGCCTGGTCAAAAGTAGTCCACTAGTGAATAGGGTGCCATTTGGGTCATATACCATGATCCATGGCAGTGACACTGACTTGAGGACTGAAGATTTGAAATGGTGGTTTAGATGTCATGGAATCCTCTCTCATCACAGGCCTTCCCTGTCCTATTTATCAGATAGACAAAGCTATTGCAGATTACTTTCTGATTACTCTCAGATTATTAATATCTTTCTGAGCATTAAATTACAGTGCATTCTGTGTCAGAGCCTGCTTTTATACTTTATTACATACAGTAGGAATCTGTGTCGCACATGTTTGACTGTATGGCTTGGATCTATCAATTTATTGATTGATCTGTCTGTCTGTCTGTCTCAAGTACCAGAATACTAGGACTGTGTGTGTAGCACCACGAAGTGGCTGTTGTGTTCACACTTTTATCGTACGCTAGATGGCGTACCGGAGCAACCTAAAAGATATCCCGATAGAGCATTGTAGACGTATCATTATTCTATGCAGCTGGATTTTAGACAACAAATAATGGGGTTAGGTAGAACATATTTTAGAAAACGTCTGGACAGCTGACATTGAGAATCAGACATAAGTGTGTTCGCGCCAGCTGTTTAAATGGTTCTGAAACCCGCCCCCATTCTCACAGAAAGATTGTGACGCTGGGTCCCCATGGAGACAGAGGAGGAGAAATGTCATTGTCGTTTTAAAATCACATGGACCGAGTTTTGATCGCTCTGTCTGTGTGCAATAAAATAGCTTCAAACAATTTGATATTGCCAAATATTGCTCAGAAAAGTATCCAGGAGCTGCGGGCGACTAAGCAGTTTAAGATACTATCGGTAGCTTGGAGACGGTAAGCCTCTATCAAATCAAATATGAATTTGCATGCAAGCGCTAGTCTAACGTTACTGTAGTTTAGTAACGTTACGGATGTAGCTAGCTTAGTGCTAGTTAGCTTGCCCGTAGCAACAGTAGCCGTCTGTTTATGATTGACAGGATGGTCTTTGTAACTAGTTACCATGCAAACTGTAAACTTGCGTTGTGTGCTTTGACTTTTTGTTGACACAAGTCATCTAGCTAACGATGAACCATGTGAAGATTCTTGAAACAGGCTTTGTGTTTTGATGGTAACAGGTTAGCATTTTTAAGGTGGTGCGCAGTCCTTGTGCTTCTTCCTTGAATCAAACCATTTTAGAAGCTTTCTTGCTATTGAGGTTGGCTATACAAATACGCACGAAAATTCAAATTCCATAACGGTTATCTTATTTCTATCACAATTCCCCGGAAACAAACGATTGGTTTTTCTTGAAAATGACCGGCTCGCTGAGATGCAAATATATTCTTGCTCCAGTCCTTTGTTTACTTTAGTTGATGATGGCACGCTAACGTTATGCCCATCTTCTGCAACTTGATGGAGGAGCTCTCCCTGAAACCTCGAGTCCAGCTTTTGTACACTGTAGGGTAAGGGTGCTGCGCCCAGTTTGATTTCAGATCAAGATACTGGTGAAATTTAGCAGCACCAGACCAGACAAGATTATACTTACGCATATAGACAATTGCACATAAAAGCTAGTGCAGTTGTTTCCTCATTCTCAAAATGTCCAAAGCTGATTTGTAGATTGCTATAGATATTTTAAAAGCAGTTATACAACCATGTACAGCAGCTTAATCCTTTTCACTTCACGAAATGTTCTATATCCAATCAGTCGAATAAATCCTGATGTAATTGCACCTGGTTTGATCAAATTGCCATGTCCCTTGTAGATGACCTACGCCCTTTGTGTGTGCTTTGAATAGTGCAACATATAGGGCTAGTAGTAGTAGCAGCTACGTCACTTGTGTCCAGACTGGCTTAGGTAGTGGCCCAAATGGCACCCTATTTTCTATGTAGTGCACTATACACCTGAGTGTACAAAACTATGTCATGCTCTTTCCATGACATAGACTGACCAGGTGAATCCAGGGGAAATCTATGATCTGTGTGTGTCTGAGCTGTGTGCTAGTCGTTTAAACAGACAGCTCGGTGCTTTCAACATGGCAAAACTTCTCACAAATACAATTAGTGGTGAAGTCAATCTCTCCTCCACTTTGAGCCAGTAGAGATTGGCATGCATATTATTAATGTTTGCTCTCTGTGTACATCCAAGGGCC